GTGCACTAACTGCGGGACCAATAAGACCCCCAGGACGGCCCTCGACGGGACATCGACCTGCGTGGCGAAGACGCTTGAAGGATGCGAGGGCGCTGACGAGGCCTTATTTATGAAGGAGGACAAAACGTGTGCTCTTTGTAGTGATGTGACAGATTCAACTCTTGGTAACGAAGGAAAGGCCAACTGCAAGACATGTACGAAAACAGGAAGTGACAATCCAACCTGCTCAGCCTGTCTCGATGGATACTTCTTTGATAGTGGTACTAGTACATGTACAGACAAGTGTGGTGATAACTGTGCCACATGCTCTGTTGCTGGTGATCCAAATAAGTGTGAAACCTGCAAGACTGGATACTTCTTAGTAACTACTACAGATCAACAGGGGAAGAAGTGCGTCCCATGCGATAGCGTAGACGATAAGGGTCGCGAAGGCTGCAGTGTCTGCTCTAACAACGGTGCTTTCAAGTGCACTGACTGTAAGCCTAACTATCGCAAGGAGGGCAGTACTGGCTCTGTCACATGCACCAAGATCTGTGAAGATGATACTGCCTGTGGAGGAACTTCTGGTGCCTGCGATGCAATAGTGATTGATGATAAGGGTGTAGAGCATCATTATTGCTCATACTGTGGAGAAGCTAATACGTATCCTATAGATGGGAAGTGTAATAGTGCTAAAGCAAATAATCAATGTGATCAAGGTGTATGTACACAATGCACTAACAACTACTTCTTGTATATGGGAGGTTGTTACAAGGTTGATACAGTACCTGGACAACATATGTGCAAGACAGCAGCCAACGGTGTCTGTACTGCTGTTAATGCCAACAATAGGTACTTCATAGTCCCTGGGGCAACCAATCAGAATCAGTCTGTATTGGCATGTAGCAACTCCCTTGGCACACTAGTAGGCACTGGTGATACCTCTAAGGCATATGTGGGGGTAGATGGCTGTTCGGCATGCACGGCCCCAACAGCTCTGTCTGAGACTGGTATGACTGCTGCTGTGTGTACAGCGTGTACCAACAACAACAAGCCCAACCTGGCTGGGAGCGGGTGCTTCGCATGTACCGTTGACGGATGCTCGCACTGTGGAGCAGGCGATAAGTGCGAGGCCTGTACCAGTAAAGACCAGAGGCCGAACACAGACGGAACGAAGTGCATCGCCTGCAATATCGACGGGTGCGTCAGGTGCAGCGAGGAGAACAAGTGCGGCCAGTGCGGGGACGACTACAGGCTGGAGGGTGAGGCGTGCGTGTCCACCAAGCCCAGCGGGGGCAACAGAAGCGGCCTCAGTACTGGTGCCATAGCAGGGATCTCCGTCGCTGTCATCGCTGTCGTGGGGGGCCTCGTGGGCTTCCTCTGCTGGTGGTTCGTGTGCAGGGGGAAGGCGTGACTTGGGTAGTGAATGCTGTACAATGGTGTGATAGAGGGTGATAGTATGATAGTGGAGTGAGATATGCACAAAGGCTGAGGGAGGACTGTGCACTGCTTGTAAGGCAGATAACGGCCTGTTCAAGAACCCGGCTGCAACACCAGAGAAGGGTAGCGAGTGCATCCTCTGTCATGATGTCAATGGGGCAGATGGATATACAGGGGTGGCTAACTGCGCCACATGTACGGCACCAAGTGGTAGTCCAGGAGCGGCCACGTGTGATACCTGCAGAGATGGATACTATAAGAACGCTCAGACATGTGAGAAGTGTGATCAGTCCTGTCTGACCTGTGAGACTACAGAGACCCAGTGTACCTCTTGTAAGGGAAATACGTTCCTGAAGGATAATGCATGCGTGAATAGTGATGGATGCACTGGAAACACTTATGCTGACCCTGTGACAATGACCTGCAAGGCGTCTGCAATAACTGATTGCACCACGTGTGAGTACAACCCGGCAACTGGGGGCCCAAAGTGCACGGCATGTAATGGAGCTAAGATAGTCAAGGAAGAGGCCGACGGGACGACTACGTGTATAGACGCCGGCACCTGCACTCAAAGCGGAGCAACTGGTGAGAACTTCTTGAGCGACGGAGATGCCGAATGCATACTATGTAGCAACGATAGCAGCAAGACAGATAATAACAAGGGAAGCCCCGGTTGCGGGACCTGCAGCAAGAACGGCGCTAAGCCAGAATGCAAGACGTGCCTCGATGGCTACTACGACAGCGGGAACGGTAACCCCGCCGTATGCGTTGCGTGCGCTGGCGATTGCGGAAAGTGCGGGCCAGGAGGCGCTATAGATACCTGTGAAAAGTGCAAGCCAGGGTTTTTCTTAAAGAATGACGGGGCCAAGAAGTGCGTCCCATGCGACGATCCGACAGATGGAGTGCCCGGCTGTGCAACGTGCACCCTCTCTGGCTCGTTTACTTGTGACTCTTGTAAGGTGAACTACCAAAAGAAGGTAGGGGCTGGAGGAGCGGTCACGTGTGAGAAGACTTGTGAAGACCCCACGGCTTGTGGTGGTACTTCTGGAGCCTGCGATGCAATAGTGATCGACAACACAGGGAAGGAGCATCACTACTGTTCATACTGTGGAAAGGACAGTGAGTTCCCCATTAATGGACTATGTGTTGGGAATGAAAAGAAAGAGGGGAATAACTGTAACAATCATACATGTACATCATGTACTACAGGATACTTCTTGTACATGGGAGGCTGCTATAGTGTGTCAACTCAGCCGGGTAAGTCCATGTGCAAGACAGCAGCCAACGGTGTCTGTACCGCTGTTAATGAGAATAATAAGTACTTCCTGGTACCAGGGGCATCCAATGCTCAGCAGTCTGTATTGGCATGTGGCAACTCCCTTGGCACACTAGTAGATCCTCAAGGTACCGCTAAGGCATACGTGGGAGTAGATGGCTGCTCTCAGTGCACAGCCCCGACAGCTCTAACAACAGCTGGTATGACTGTCGCTGTGTGTACTGCCTGTGACAGTGGTAAGAAGCCCAACAAGGGTGGTAGTGGGTGTGTGACATGCTCTGTGGGTGATTGCAAGAGCTGTGTGGTGGACAATATATGTGGGGAGTGTGTTGATGGATTCTACTTTAAAGCTGGCGATGCACCCAGCTGTGTTAGCGCAGAGGCGTGTACTAATGAGGAGGGCTTCTTCATCGACGCTACCGAGAAGAAGTGCACCGCGTGTGCAGATGATAATTGCGCTGTGTGCGTGGCCAAGGAGCAACAGAAGTGCAGCCTGTGTAAAACGTCTGGGACCAAGAAGTACCTGAAGAAGGATGGCGAGTCCACAACCGGCACGTGCGTTGACACAGCTGGTTGTCCGGCAACCCACTACGTTGATGAAGAAGCAAAGGAGTGCAATACATGTGTGTCGGCTGGAACAACTGACTGCACCACTTGTGAGAAAGGCGCCAACGGAGTGGTTTGTAAGACGTGTACGACTGATACGAAGACCATCTTTGGTCTCAACAGAAAGTCGTGCGTTGCTAGTTGCCCTGCTAACTCTACCCCCAAGGCCACCGGACAGGATAGCCAAGTGTGCGAGTGCAACGAAGGACTCCAACCTAATACTGAATCGACTGAATGCCAACCAATCAGTAACTGTAACACAGAGCACTGTTTGGAGTGCACCAGTGAAGGTGCCGATAAGGAGGTCTGTACAAAGTGTCTGTCTGAGTACTACCTCACCCCAACCAGTCAATGCGTATCTGACTGCACGACCCTCAAGGGCTACTACGGAAATGACACTGACAGAAAGTGCAAGAAGTGCAACGATGCGTGCGTAGAGTGCAAGGGTGAGGGCGCTGATAAGTGTACGGCTTGTCCTGCTGGGAGGATGCTTCAGTATACAGATGCTGATACTCCTGCCAATGGGGGCACGTGCATGAACCAGTGCAGCGTGAGTTCTACAAACGATGGATGCGCAGAGTGTGGGGCTCAGATAGGAGGAACTGCATACTGCTCAAAGTGCAAGAACACTCAACAGGCACCACTGGATGGCAACTGTGCGGCCAATACGCGAACACGATTTTGCACTACGGTGAGTAATGGAGCATGCACTCAATGTGAAAATAACTACTTCTTCAAAGATGGCGGTTGCTATCAGACAGATAGACAGCCTGGCAAGCAAGTGTGTACTACAGTGCAGGGAGGAAAATGTACAAAATGTGCCAGTGGTCTAACGGCTGATAATGGCGATTGTTCCAATAAAAGGTGCCATCTTAGCTGCGAGACATGCACGGCTGCTAACGACGCTAACGCCTGTGCTACATGCAGCACTGGATATTACAAACCGCAGAGTGCTGGGACAAAGTGTAATCCGTGCTCTGAGGGGCTCGCTGGGTGCAGGCAGTGCACGGTGTCATCCACCGGTGCGTTCATGTGCTTCGTGATGGGCGACGGCACTGGCGACAACACCGGCGGAAGCGTCAACAAGAGCGGCCTCAGTACTGGTGCCATAGCAGGGATCTCCGTGGCTGTCATCGCTGTCGTGGGGGGCCTCGTGGGCTTCCTCTGCTGGTGGTTCCTCTGCAGGGGGAAGGCGTGACTCAGGTAGTAAACGCGCCCATGTGTTACACTATATCTCAAGGCCCCACCCCGGAGCATCGACGCACCTTCTGGCGAGAGCGGCAGGGCGCCGCATGTAAGGGGCCATGGCCTAGGGCGAAACCTTGTCCCTCGACAACTAACAAGAGTTCCTCTAGGCTATATCTATGACCCATCTAGTTGTCTCTGAATCTTCATGAATAAGAATGGAGACACGCAACGTTCTCGAGTTGGTTTGATAGCTCTATATAATAAGCTTATTAGCTGAGTAGTTACTTGCAACAACCAAGTAGCTCGCTATCTGCCAATTTTTCTAGTGAAGACCAAAAGACACCCTTATGACAATGACTAACATCCTCGAAAGGGAAAGCTAACTAATTGCCAATAAGTACATTCTGTGTTGCGGGTAGAGTATGCGCTCACTAAACATACAGAGGCATAAAGTAAAGCCGCCCTGCATGCGTCTTCAATTTTAACAAAATTAAACAGAGAACACAGCTCAATGTTAAAAGCGATCAACAACAGCGATCAGTCAAGCCCACCATCACTAAATTTGATGTCTAATGCTCCTAATCGAGGAGTAGCTAATGCAAAATCAGCTCCTCCTGAAGGCCACAGATTGACTACCATCGGTATCCATTATAAAGCACCCACAGAAATAATAGACTTTACTTTATCCACTAGCTACATCTTTGTGGCAACTAAGAATACAACAATTCTTTTATCTGCAGCCAACTCTGTTCTAATTTCGCGACAATCATTTAAGTTCAACGTTTTACGCGTGGGAGCAGCATGGAATGATACATGTCTTTATGTAATAACAGAAGACGGAATCTTATATATTCTGCAGTCGTTTGGCAAATCGTACAGTACTCCGTCTGTTAGAGCCGTTGACTTAGTTCATTCTTTGGATGCAGGCCGTTGCATTGATCTGGCAATTGATAACAGAACAAATATGTATGCTCCGGTTATGCAGCTAAATCGAACAATATCAGATGTACACATGGAGATCGATCCCACTAACCACCAGAGCTTTATGCTCTCCTTTCACGTTGACTTTAATGCAGACTTGCGGATACCCTCTTTCAATGCGCTCCTTTATTGCAGTAACTTTTCTCAGATCACCCCCTATTACCTACGGAACCGTATCACAGCAATGTGTTTTGGAAACCTTGGGCTTTCTTTCATAGGAGACATAACTGGACGTGTGTACATATTAATGACGTCGGAATCTCTTAGGCAACGGGTCCAGAATCAACCTGTCCCAGCTTCCGATGTGTCACCTGTTGGTGTATCAAGCCTTGCCAACTTCATTTTCTTCGAGCGTGTTTATCCGGAGCACATCAAGCAAATACACATCCTTTCTCCGGTTACTCTCTTTCTGGGGTATATTGACGGAATGATGCTTACAATAAATATTAAAACAAAAGCGGTAATGAAGCACGACATTGCTTGTACAAATACCTACCAATCTGGTCGGCTAAAAACAAAAATAACAGGAAAACCGGGGATCAAGGCTCGTGTTCTGTTAGGCAGCGACCCACTGTTAGGGAAATTCTGCATAAGTAAGCATACTGAGGCACAAAAAAGAGCACTGCGTGATGATCAATCTACCGAAAACATTAGTCCTTTGACCGCATTGAATGCTGAGTCACATCAGCCTCCTATGCGTGACTTTTTGACAGAGTACATTGAACTAAAAGAGAGACTTGCCAAAGAACAGGCTGAGGGCGTGATGCAGGAACTTCTAGACACTTTCGTGGAGGAGTGGGAGTGTGGGTCTGCACATCGTCAATCTGGACTTTCTGGAGATGAAATCTACACTCCAAAGCAATCCACAACACTAAAGCTTCCTCGCCCTAGTGTTATTCTAACTAAGGGCTTCGAATCGTCACAAATTGCATCTATTGATGACTATCTCGTTCTCTTCACGTGCTTTAAAGGCTACCTTGTTGCGTTTAATCTCACCGCCTATGACAACGCCATCTCTAGGCCGGTGTATCTAGAGAACATGACCACCTCAGGCCTGTACAAGTGTAGTGCCTCTGAGAAACCTAAGAAAAATATGCAGTTACGCATACACAATGGCAGGTTATTAGTGTCCATGGCTAACACTATTCATACAATAAGCCTCCCGCAATTCCTACTGCCGTTAATTAGCTATATACCGCGCTTTGGGAACTATCGGTTTTACTCCCAGGGGGAGCGCGATATCCTCGGTAATAGTGAAGAGGATTATCCATACGACGTTAGGGTGATTTTCGAGTCGGCAGATCTTGCTCAACAGTCATTATTTATGAAAGGTTGTAAGGAGTTAGGCTCTAACTTAGCTCCGGCCTTTGACTCCATGATCGATCTGTCGGTGAAGACAGCTATCTCTGCCTCTGCTGCCGACCAATTTATGGACTCTCATCTGTATCAAACGGGTGGAACACCTATCAGTAGAAGTGGTAGCACGGGGCAGGGAGCAGGGGCATTAAGCAAGAGTGATCCCCGTTCGCCTGTACAATTACTAAAACAGCTAAGAGAAAAAAGGATGAAAAGCAGTCCCGGTGGACGTTCCTTTACACCGAAGACAAACGAGGAAGAGCCACGGTTTAGAACAGTTCTCTCAGACAGAGTTGCTCTTGCAGATGCTCATTTGCGAATGGCAAGAGAGACCCTTATCAGAGAGAAGATGCTCGACCAGATCATGAGGCGCTTTGAGTATGGACAAGATGACCCGGATAATTATCGTCAGCTATCCCCACGACAAGGCAACTACGACCGCTATAAACGAATTTCATGCAATGAAATAGATAGATATGATCATACTCGGTTTTTTCCTGTCACGAATATCTCAGGTGAGGTAATAATGGGTCGTCATCGGCGCGTTCATTCCCTTAATTTCGAGCAAGACTATCGTAAAGTAATAGACGATAAGATGAGGCAATCAGGAGACGGTCTTTTGCATAGCACTGTTGGAGGTAGGCTTCGAGAACGATCGCGGGATAAGAAAATTGGGTCAGGCAAGGGCGAGTGTTCTGATACTAACCTTGCGCTTAGTGACCTGTTAACTGATGCATCGGAGGTCCTATCTCAAAGTTCCTCTACACTGGCCTCAATAAGTGGCGGATCTTTTCGAACGTCTCCCAAATGTCGAGAGAATGGTGAATCTTCCTCCATATCCAGTGATATTTCTCAGGACAAAAGTGGTGGTGCCTTCTACCATGATTCTCAGCATATTACGGTATATGATAATAGTATGCGGCCTGTAGTAGACCTGAGTGGACAATCTCCCACTAGTAGTGTTGGCCATGAAAAAAACAATCATCTACTAAATGATCCAGAGCCACAACTATCTGGTTATGCTGCAACTAAAAATATTGAACAATCTATCTCTAATGTAATCAGTTGTGCCATGTCACTCCCTGAAGCAGCTGATCGTGTTGATCGATGTGCACTTAACCAGCATTCTCCGCAGATTGTAGCCCCTCCATCGTCCTCAGATGCTACTAACCTCGAGGAGAGAAAGATTGATAGCATTGTATCGTTTATTCTCAGCACGCATAAGCATACTGAAGAGTCGTGCTCTGAGTTGCCAGTTTTGAAGCCTCACAAATCTCATTCTCAAGGAAACAGCACAAGCATACCAGCTGCTTTACCATGTAATCGCACTCCTCAAATGAACGATTCTCTAGAGTCTGATCAAAGAGCTTGGCCTCGTGTTGAGCGTGTGTCAGAGTTATATTCTATATCCAAGCTGCTGTCACGCAATAGAAAGTATGCTTCTATGGCGTCTGCAATGGTTCATATTCTAAAGCTTCCCCGGCGAGATGAAACAGATGATAAGATTAAGATGCTCCTGCATATTCATAGAAGGCAAAATGTGTTTAGCTTCTTGGCGCGGACAGGTCTTTTTACAGACAGCGAACGCGCTATTTTAATAGAGACCCTTGACGACGCTAGGTTCTACTATCAACAGCTGGGTGTTCCTGCGATAGATATCAACCAGATAAAGCCGAGCACAATAGAAGGCGTATCACAGTGGAGAGGCTACTTAGATTCCCACAATATTTTGCCGCACAAACTCACAGACTTAAAGCCAGATATGTATTTTAAGCATCCAGGAAGAAACATGACTAGCGCAATGTCCACTCGATGGATTCCCAAAGCCCATAAATCAGATAAAGAGCCCTCTTTAGGGGCATCAGAACTGCGGAGACAGGAAAGGGAAGATCTGGTTAGCTGCCCATTGCAGCCAGCAAAAGAGCTGAGTAGCCTACAAGTATATTCGCTGCAAACTTCTTCTTCCACACCAGGCATTACTTCACTAAGAAAGAGCTTATCGTTATCGACTGGAGCCATGACTACTATGACTGCACCCCCGTCAAGTGCTCCTCACTCGCTTTCACTAGTAAGAACATCTAACGTATCGTCTTCCAAATCGAAAGATTTCATATACCCTTCTAAGAGCGGCTCTAGCCCGGTTGCTAGGGAGGCCTCTTTTCCTACACTTGCAGGCCCTTCCGAAGGTCTGCCCGCTGATATATCTGTTGTAGCATACTCTGAAAGTAACACTTCTCACTTAGAAGAAAAGCACACTAGCGCTTGTACAGCTCAGCAAGGGGGTCTGAGCAATGCTCCTCTGTCAGGCACTACACAACCTAATATTTTGGCTGACTTTCGTAGAGAATCACGGCCAACGAATAGTCGCGATGGTAGCATGGATTCATCTACCTCTGCAGACGATAACAACGAGCGTAGCAACTCATCCACGGCCATGGTTCATAATGAGCATCGTATTTTTAGATCATCCCCAAAGAGCTCACAGTTATTTAGTAGTCACTTTCGGAAGGAAACATTGAAAGCATCCAAGTCTGATCCACAAACTCTTAGGCCGAAACTGCGCCCTCCCGATATTTTGTATCCCATTGCATCCTCTGATCAAATGGAGGAGCATAAGGCACTATCTGCATCCACCAGCTCTGCTCTACAACCACTGCCACGGGCTGTTCACCAGAAGCCTATGCGGCCATCCTCTCTCCCTTCTTCCCGCTTTACTCGGCGCATAAGTTCTATGGAGACGTTGTTACCACGTGAAACCCATCATGCATGGCTAAAATCTAGAGCACAGACAAGGAACACAGTTCGTGTAACCGTCTTCACTGGCATTCCGAAGTACTATGATATGAGAACACGCATTGAGTATGCACACAAGCACCATTTCAACATGCTACAACAGAGGGATCTTACCGATTCAGTAGAGCCTGTTGGAAGCTTAGTTTATAAGGTTTCTCGTCCGTTATCTGTACAAGGGCCCAGATGCACTGATGCTGGCAGTGTTCTAACGCCTCTATTTGCTCCCCAGGCTCCTTTTGAAGGAGAAAGACACGGATCTAACCTCCTCACCGATGACGGGTCATTCATATCTACAACTCAATCGGAAAGAGCGGATGTCATCCATAGGCCTAGGTGGTCTGCCAGTGAAACCTCTAGAAAACTAACTAGCGTACCTAATGATGCAAGCGTCTTGTCTGCGATTGAATTCTATCCATTGTCCCGACCTGACACGAGTGATGTAAGGAGCGGCCCTACACTCATTGATTTAAACCAGCAATTAACCCACGTTCTGGACGCCCTTTCTGTGCATATGTATGGAGAGAAAGAGAAGCGCTTCCTTACCCGTTATACTGAGAGTATAACTGGTGCACTAATTCAACAAGTGCGGCGTAATAACGCTCAAAGTAAGCCTTTTTCGCCAACTGCCCTGGAGGATCGGGGGGCTAATTCCTTAGACCGCAGACCCAGCGCTGGCACTCCCATGCACCAAGGTGTGTTATTAGACAGAGGGCTTCCCCTATCTTCTCTTGCGAAGCTGTCATCAGCCCTTGGAAACATAGTGTATAAGCTCACTATAATGAGGCAGGCGGCGTATCGTCAGACCACCGAAAAAGAAGCGATCGAAGCCCGCGACGAAATGTGGAACGCCGCTGTTACAGAGATAAATAGGGCTTTTCCTAACATGCTACATGTATCCAGCGAGCCAGCAATGGGAAGGGGTCTTTCTCCAGAAAAGATAAGTGTCAGTTTAAATAACAACGGCATTCTATCCAATCAATCCGTGGGTCATCAGATTTCGCCAGTCAAAGAAAAGAAATTTAAGGAGCCTCAGAGACTAACATGGAAAATAGGCGCAGCAAACGTTTCGTCTGCTGCATTAGCGCCTAGCTACAGATACCTCCATGACACAGAAACAAGGAGTAGTAATGAGAACATCAAACCAGTTGACAAGGCCCAATTCATGCAACCTCGTGTAGCAAGGGATGGAGTTCAAAGCGCTAGGTATATGCGTAGTCTCGCCCAAGCACGTACCCGCTTTGCGCCGTATTCCCTCAAGGATGTATTACAAGTCTTTTCATATCTCGATGTCGGTGTTGGTGCTAACGGAGAGATTCGCTCTTTGAATGCCGACAGGCTGACCAAAATATACCGGGCAGATTCAGACATATATGGATGTGCAGATAATGAAGAAACGAGCAGCGGAGAGCATTTTTGGCAGGGTGACGGCGGCGGTCAACACCCCAGTTTAGACTCACAACAGATGAAAGAGAGCTTAGAAAAACGGAGGAGTACTTCGTTCCAGCACCTTCTTCCGAGGGAATCAGTTGAGTCTCTTAATGAACTACTACCACGGTATGAATTTCAGACTGACCAGAACAGTGCACCACCAGTTACTACTGCTAAACAAGTGAGTGGTCTTCGCGGCCAGAAGACCAAAGCGAAGCTAAGACATCCTCTTCTTGAAGACGCTTCCCTGATTCAGACTATATTAGCCGATTATGACATACTTCCAGCACAGCACACGTTTGACTCCCAAACCACCAACACTGCAATCCAGGTTAAGCGTAAAGATTTAGTCCGTTTGCTGTTACGTATGGTTGATTCAGCATCTCAGCCCGATAACATTAGAGCACTGGAGCCTCTTCTGCCGCAAGTTGTTAAGAATGATTCCATCTTCAAAGAGCAGCTATTTTCTTTCCTGCATGAGAAACGAGGGCTTATGGAGCAGCATGCAATACGCATCCAGGATTTAATGCAAACACAGAAGCGCTTTGAAGAGGTTCAGGAGCAAGCAATCAGCTTACAAACCATGCAACGCTCTACAGAAGGGGTTGTTTATGATAGCAGGGTGTCTCTAATGGGGTCTACTGGAAAGAGCATATGCGAGCAGCTCCGGGACACTGACCAACCGTTAGAGGTCAGTACGTTAGATTTGATCAACATGAACGTCACAAGGTATAGTGACAAGCCTTCAGTCCTCCTGCATTCCGTTGTCCTTTCACCCATGAAGTTTCACACCATGAGAAGGCGTACCCTCGCAGCTAAGAAAACGATTCAGGACAATCAATCACTGGAAATTCCAGAATTGATTGTGCCATCCATCTTTATTGGAACTTCTACAGAAAACTTGACTGAAAAGAATCTTATAAGGCGACAACCAAATAAGGGAAACAGGTTACGTAGGAACAATTTAACTGGTTCCCAAACAGTCACGGCACATACAAGGCAAGACGGAGCTGACCTGAATGCGCTACGTGTCAATCTTGCGTTTCCATCCAACCTGCACAGTTCTTTGATACAAGGGCGTAACGCTAGTGGAAAGGAGTTACAAGATAGGTATAGCTACGCTTCAAATTCCACAATGAGCTTGTCAACTTCGGCAAGGGTGAAATCGTTACAACCAATTGACCCATCTCTAACTTCATCTTTTGGATCATCCAAAGCTCTAGCAACCTTACCTACTCAGCAACATAATGATTTTCATCTTCTGCCAGAGCTAGCAGACAGCATCACTAGCTTAAAACCACAGACAACGCAAAATCACGATAACACCAAAAGAACTATTGGGGATCATGTAGTACCAGCAAGGCCAGATATGGTGGCAAAGACACAGCTATTGGAGCTCAACGATTCTACCTGTCGGATACATCCATTGTCTAATAAGGAACCAAGTACGTTACGAAGTAGCCAACAGACTTCAATGCCCCAGACTTCTAAATCTAAAGATGCTTCTTTAGTAGATAGAAAATCGATTACTCCATTTGATAGCGCTCCTGAAGTCGGTCTTGCAGATGCAGAAGATGCCAATACCTTAGAACTCAAAGAAAATCAAAACCTGATACGTTCTAGAAGTTCATCTGCTGTGTCTTTTCCCAGTGATATCCTTACTTCTCAATCCCATGATTCCCTTAACGGATCTGTCAGCGAAAAGAGTAGAGGACACGGGACCTCTATTCCGGCTGTCTCTGGCCTCGCCCAAGATAGCATCCACAGTGGCCTTCCCCCACGTCCATCCTCTGGAGCTCTACGTCCAGCGGCATCTAGCCCCCGCCCAGAGTGCTTTTCTTCTATCCAGGAGCATGTCAAAGGTCTGCACCATCCATCTGAGCTCATCAATCTCCGCTCTCGAGACAGAGACCTTCTTCTCTCTATGTCACACCGATCACCGTATAATTTGAGGCGTCCAGACATCGTTTTATCAGCCTTAGGGCTTAAAGTACCTAGCAAAGCAGACACTCCACTCCCGGCTACTGCTGGAAAAGCACGCACTTCCTCGCACATTTCTCCCACATCTAGCGTGTCATCAGCGTCGTCAACTAGGCGGACCTCAAAAAGTAATAGCTTCTCCTACTCTAGGTCATCGTCTCCAGCTCGATGGTCAGATGACAGCGACACTTTTGTTGGAGCAGTCATCACGCAGATGCGCTCTCCCCGTGCCTCCTCTAAGAAGCCATCTCACAGAAGTTATCGCTATGGTACCCTGACACCAACAGAAGGCTTTAGCACCCGTCCTGGGAGGTCTCGCTCCTGTTGTGACTTTCTTCGTCGGACGAGTGACGGCTATAGCTGTGCAGTGCAGACGTGCTTCTTGGATTTCCAGTCACATGACCATACTCAAACTGACCCTTCCCTTTCCGCGGATGTGTTTTTCTCAGGTCCACATATCGATCGTGTAACACCCGGCAATATTGAACTATCTGACTTAGACCTAACTTCAGGACAACTGCGTTCGTTTAGCACACCTATGCTACCATTTTCCTCTATATGCAATGGATCTGTGACCATCTCACACGTACCTTCACAATCTCCATCCACAAGTTTGCATGATACTAGGGAATTAATTATGCAATCATGCCCTGTCCTCTCCAATAAGAAGACCAAGCCGCAGGAACCGTTTGGTGTTCAACTGACCCAGATATATCAAAGATACATTACTGCAAAGACAGACTCGTTTAAAAGAGATGCAGCAGCCTTCAGATCCCAGCAACTAATTGTCCTGTCTGAATACCTGACCTCACTGAGCACTTATTTATACCCATTGACGCAGAAGATTTTACACGCAGAATACCACGGTATACTGGCATTCGGTACATATACGGAAGTAGAGATGCAAGCATCAGGGTTGAAAAAGCACAAAAGGTACTTCTATTATAATATGCCTCAGCTGACCTCGGAGGCCCATATAGATACATGCCTGAATCCAGAGTTTATCCTGAGACAACGGCTTGACAGCCTACGCTTTATGGGCTTTTTGCACGGGGTCTTCTCAAAACTCTCCAATTCCACGAATGCACTAGATGTTATTAACAGGAGATGCACACCGATGCACGCTGCTATTGCGGTATCCAACCGTGCCTCTATAACAACGACTGCAGACATGGTGTATCCAGAAGGAAGAAGACGCCTGATTTTATACACAGACCATCCGCTTGTCGATGTTTCCGTTGCAGATTATGATCGTGAGATAACGAACACCCAAAATCTTTTGCGTAGTACAGAAAATGTATTACTAATACCTCCAAGATCTAAATCCGCTCAGAGGTCGTGTATTGATCGCCAATCCATTCATCAAAGACCTACTTCGCGCCACAATGCTAGTCGTAGCCAATCCATGAGCTTTCAGGCCAGTCGTTCATCAAGCCCGTCATACCATAGCGATTTACACCATTCGTTTACTATTACGTCCGGGAAGTCGTTTGATACAGCTCTACGTTCCACCCAGGATCAACATAGCATTATCAGTAATAGGCACGTCAAGCCCAAACAGTCAGAAAGTAAAGCACGAAGGGCACGTTCGTTTGAAGAGCTGCGTAAGTTGGAGCGATACTCGTCTCACTCTCTTACTAAGGACACACTGTATGATGACTGCAATATATACTACAGTATTAGCCACTGGAAGTATAGCCTAAGCAAGAATTGTTGTGTCCACAGACCTGTTCCCAGCATGACCTTGTTCGGAAGGCGGTGGAATGACTCTCACGGAGCGGTTATTCCGTCTGCAGAGACGCGAAGCATCGTGCACCGGAGAATTAGAAGTAGACTCCAATGTTCGAAGATATCAAAATCGACAGAGAATGTCTTACAGAACAACTATGTAAGGTTCTATCCAGACGTAAGCTATTACACTCTTGGAGCATATAATATACGTCAGTACAGCCCTATAACTTCTGCCGTTCCAACTACATCCAATCTCTTACAGCCAAGGATGAAAAGTCTAAAGGACTTTCTAGATACGTCTATTTCCGACGAAGAACTTGTCTTCAGTGGCGTCTACATGCACAATCATACAAGCACCGCAGAGAATTGTTGTCTCGCATTTGAAACATCCCTTATCCTAGCCTCAAAAGTAGTACGAAACATTGAGTCTTGCTTCAACAAAAAGCTGATCGTCGACGCGATAGGAAGGGATGTATATGTTTCTACTCCCCGGCCAGAATATCTGTTACCACAGAAGAAAAACCTTTCAACTTCAATTTTGTTGCATCAATCAGCTTCTGGGGGCACTCAAACTAAAGACTTTCAGATCTCGTCGGGAACCTTTGCTATGCACACAGTTGCACCCAGAGGTGAAATCTACAATTCTAGGGAAGACAAACGTGCAATGGAGCACGACAAGGGGGTAGATTTCTCAGAGTCTTCCATTCATGAGCTCTCTTCAAAGCTATATGACAAGCAAAGGTACATAGACCATTTGCATAGTCTAACGTTTTCTTCCGCACGACTTGCGAGTGCTATATTTCCTAGTGGACTTCGGTTCTTATCTGTTGATTGTCTCAGTGGACCAATTGAGGCGTCCTTTCTCAATACTCTTAATGCCCAGTACTGGGGGCTAGCCAAGTCATGGGATCTGGCGTACTCCGATGCAGCAAACGTCTTGACATCAGCGACATCTGCATACGTGACGATTGCAGAGAGGACTAAGAATATTATGCTCTTTACGCTAAGTACTAAGGAAGATACTAGCGACGATCCAGAAATCTTTCTGAAAGGCCTCTTAACTTGCAGATATGATAGATATAAATATAACAGACTGCGAGCACAAGAAGAACAATTATATGAAATCTGTCCGGACACGCTTCCAGATTTGAGCAGAGTTGGTCGTCGCAAACGGAATAGAATCATGAATATGTACGATATCTTCGGCAGGCGCATAGCACCAAGGAAAACAGGGGGGAGTATATCTGAGACGCAGAAACCCGTGAATAAAGCTGCGCTCGCAGATACAGAGGTCAGTCATATTTGTGATCAGCGAAACGTACTAGAGAGTCGACCAGCCATCACTTTGGCTTCCTATTCAGAGAAGAGTACATACAAAAGCTTGCTGGAGTCAAGTATTGGAAAGGGTTGCCTTTCAGAAAACAGGGAGATAGGAGAAGATATTGGCCTCAGTTCTATGCGTCTGACTACTCATGTATTTACTGTGGATATTCAGCGGATGCTATCCCAGTCATTTGGTAGAGAAAGACTCGTCAGCACACCATCCAGAGGGGGCCAAAGCTGTGGTGCACGAGAGCTGACAAAAGAAATAGTAATAACCAGAGGCACTCACGCTTTAGCAGGTCACACCTCAATCACTCCGACCACGGAAAATTCTAGACCCGGCCAAATCAATCACAGAAGAGCGGCTTCAGCTCGTCCTGAGAACCAACTATCTGGTATAAAAACGTGGATAAATACATTTGCTCGCTCACAATCACTTTGTCACAGCAGACAGTTACCCACCTATCTTATGGAGATCATTATTTTACAAGCATCGGAGAGCTTTGCGTGCTCTCTTTCACATATTTTTAGGCACAGGGAGGCCGCTGTTTATTTTAAGACAATGGTAGAAAAGGAGTTTGTGCCGATCATAACTAAGCAAACAACGCCGCTAAGTGACCTTCCACCGTGTACAGCTACGTCTGGCTTTGCACATGTATTGTATGGATCTGAAAGTGTGTTAGACACATATTCCCTAGTTAATAGAAAAGCGGAATGCAACCCTATCGGCATATACAGCGCAACACACTTGAGACAGTTTATAATGCTTCCTGTGGACTATATAGACTATAGATCTTTTCTTCTACACACCAAAACTCTAAATAAGCATGTTATGGATGTGTCTGCGGTGCTACAGAGTCAAAGAGCTGTAAAGAGTTTGGAAGTTAGAAATGCACAGATTTCGCAGCTGATGGAGAACACTAGAGCATACAGTAATGACACGGCATCATGCTATGACCTATGGAACAGGCTCGTCTTTAACATGCACCATGTCCTGAACATTCAAGCTGTTAGGCTTTATTCCGAGCGATTTGAAAATTTGTTACAACAGCATGACTACGATTTGGATCTTTTGATTGAAAAGGCTCTAACGTTGAATAGTGAGTACTACACCAAGCATCCGGCTGTATTTAGAGAGTATCAAATTAGAAGACATCAAAAGGAAGTTGAGCATAAGGCTGAATTAGAGCGTATACGCTATCTCATGATGGAAGTCATGCGGAACTGGCGTCTCCATGGGCCCATATATAATATAAGCGGCCTGTTGCTCATTAGCTATCGCAAGGGTGCAGCATTCAAGGAGGCTCTCCAGCGATACTTCCCTATTGCTAATGAAGAACCCTTTGAGAAATACAGTCTAGAGCCGTCACTAAATACAGCACCGTTTGGAACCGGCGAAATGCCAATTACGGCGAGAGAAAGAGCCAAAGAAAGCGAAGCATCCGAGAAGAGTGATAAAACACTATTGCTGTCCTACCGCTCTACAAGGCCTACAACAGGAACATCGCATAGCTCTGGCTCACAAAGATTTGCATCTACCATCGTGAGCGAAAGGGAGCTAGATATGCAGCATCGCATGAGGCACTTGTTTCTTAGTCGTCTTGTAATGATTGAGTTCTCTACACGACTATTTGAAGCACAGCACAAGAATAACATGCTTACTAGCATTCAGTACATGGTCCTGGATGATCTCGATTCCGTGTTCTCTCAGTTGCCGCTCATCATGAAAAGTTCAGACACTTTATTTAAGCGAATCTCAATGGAAGCGTTGACCAGTGGAAAGTCGAAAGTTGGAGCGTATGATTATATGTATGGAGTTAATTCCGATGAGATGGAAGCAAAGGAGATAAGGAAGACACGCGAAAACCTGGAGGCTCGAGAGAGTAACGCTGACTTGGCAGATAGCAGGTCTAGCCTTGCTAAGAACGCTGCTGTATCAATGGCGAAGGAGCTGTCTCGACCACACACAGCGTTACCTGTTAGCGATATAAAACTAACAATGGTGAAAGATGGTACACCGAGCCCTCTGGCTTTCTCTCCCACCAAAACGGTAGCCCTCGCGCTTAAAATGAACAATTTGGACATGCTGTCTCGAGACATTAAGCAGCGACTGGACAGATTACAGAGGGGAGACCTAGATGAATTTGACGGTAGCATTGTGGAGTTTATATCCCAATCCGAATCATTCTTTTCAATGTGCGAGGTACCTGATGTTCAGGAAAAGCTAGATGATCTGTCTGAGGAACAATCTTCCATTCATGAGCCCTCTAGCACGCTCAATAAGAAAGGTCGCCGAGTCACCATTAGCGACGATTCCCACGCTCCAAGTGCTGCCCAAATAACAAGTTCCTCCTCTAGACCAATGTCAGGAAGTCACCTCAAGCCACCTTCAGGAACGAAAGGTTCGCTAAATATCGTACAGCTGAACATGTCATTGAACGTTAAGCAAAAGGCTGCCCGGCTCACAATAGACAGCTTGCGATCACGAGGAATGAAGACACCCCGCCAAGATAAGGATCTAGGTCGTATTCTGCAGAAGCTTGTCACAACAGAAAATATTGCACCGAAGAATGCATCTTTGTCATCAGATGGCACATCTTCACATGACGACTCTCCTACTCTAAGGCCACTTCCTACTGGCCATCAGGCTGCAGAGCAGATAGACGCTATTCATAAAAGGAAAGAGCGAAAGCAGTCGTGCATACCAGACAACACTCCCATATCAAGGGATCTTTCAAACATTTCCACCACAGAAAGGAGAACTGCAAGTCAGAGTTCTAGGCTCAGCTCCATCAAAAGCGCCGGGGTGCGGCTTCCTCGACACGTGGAGAAGACCTTAGAGGCAGGCATGGTGGCAGACATGACACCTAATTACTTTTCACTAAATTCGTCACTCCAGACAAGTCTCAGTTCCAACGATGACACAGAAGGCCTTAATAAATTATTTGCAAGATACACCGACACAAATAACGCCAAGGAGGTGCCTGTTCATAGATGCCAATCTTCCCTTGACAGGAATCGTCTACCGAACACTAAGAAGAGCGTTAAAAAGCCAGGGTCTATGAGCGTAGCTGAGTGCGAGTACCAGAAGTCTACTAATAGAGACGGGGTTTCCATGATCCTTACTGGCGTCCCTGTTCAGAAACCCATTTTGCCTGAAGTGCTTGCCGGTGCACAAAGACAAATCAAACTCATTTCCAGGGGTTCTGTCAATAGCTCTGCAGAACAATCTATCTGTAGTGTGGATCACACTCCAAATACCCTTCTTCGCCCTTCCAGCTCATTTGAAGCTGATCATAAAAAAGACGTCGGTAGTAAAAACCCTTGGAAAAGAGGAGCGATGGCTACATCAGGTACGACTTCTCAATCCAGATATTTGTCACAGAGCCATGTCAAGAATCTCATTAGCAACACCAATAGTATTGAGCAGAGCCTGAATGAGAACCTCACGGAAAGCGAGCTAGCGCACATAGAGGCTCTCGGACAGCGGAGATTCAAACCCGAGGACGGAAGCACATGGATAACGATTGGCGGGATAGCTAGACCCGGAAGCGGAATTGGGATGCGGAGATACACAGGCAGGAAGCGATCTGGTGGTTGAACTGTAGCCTGGGAAAAGGTTTTGTATGAAGCAGAATTTTTTAATGGGATATTGCCATGACCAGCAAACCCTTTGACTCTTCGCGATGGATGAAGGCTGCTGAGACTGGTGATGTTGTCTTTTTAAGTAAGCACCTGGCCAACTTCAAGCGGTCACAGGATGACGCAGGCCGGACAGCACTGATGAGGGCCGTTTTGGGTGTGGCACATTCTGCTGATCCTTTGCACGGATCTGGAGACATGCAGCACTATGGTGACCCTAGAGAACCACCTCACATCGGCACTGAAAGCCCTCTTAATATTTCGGCAGTTATTCTCCTGGCACGACACGAAGGAGGGATGGTTGACAACAGTGGCTCCACAGCCCTTTGTTACGCAGCCGAATCTAATAACGCCCCTGCCTGCATTACTCTTCTTCCACTAGAAGGCACCATCATTCCTGACAACGGATTCAGCCCGCTAATGCGCGCTGCACGCAACCGTTCCATGGACGCACTGCCTATCTTAATCAAGACACATGCACCGGCTCTTAGGGACTTTCAGGGATATTCTGCTTTGGATCACGCGTGTTTAAGTGGCAGCGTGGAGGCTGCAGAGTATTTGATTAATAATGGCCACGGAGCCATTATTGCCGACATTAACCGCGCGATTTCTGCAGCAAACTCTGTGCGGGCGTCGTCCATAGTGGACCTTTTAGCGTATGTGCGCCTGGCGAGAATTAATAACACAACTCCATGCACAAAGTGCTGGCACGGCGAAATAGAGCGTCGAATGGCTGATTCACGGTTGCAGGAATTAGAGCGCAGATGCGAAACATTGGCTGCAGAGCGTCCTGATCATGCTCGGCGACCCTCCTCGTCTAGTATATCTGCAATGTCAACCACGATGGATGCGACCGTCTCGAACTATCGTGTAAGCTACTTGCAGAGACTCCTTTCTCAGCTGATAAATGAGGGAGTTGCCGCAGGAGTTTATGACGTTTCTTTATCTTCTAAGTCAGAGATATACAATTACAACGACATTGGGAGGTATTGCAAGGCAATACTTCAAGCTTTTAGGCGAAGGGCAGAAGTACAGACAAAGGAAGAGGCCAAGTACGAGGAGATAAAAGCAAAGATGGCCTCTATGCATTCAGAAATATCTATTTACAAGGAAGAACTTTCGATTGCATATAAAAAGATTGCAATGCTGACTCAGAGTGTTGAGATGGTCGATGTAGTATTGCAGACAGACTCATTAGTCTCACAAGACACTGCCGTCGTCAAGGACAGCACACTCCGTGAGCTAAGACGATCATCTATAATCCTCGACACTCTGACATCATCCACCCTTCAGCCTCCTATATCTGTGTCACCGGCTAAGCCCAATTTAGGCGCTTCCTCATCCCAATTTGACGTAGAATTACACAGGGCTCTACTATCAGGTATCCCCTCTCCTCGGGGGAATCTATCAGATCTACACGGTGATGAGAACATAGAGTGCGAGCTGTCTGACATTACAATAGAGCAGCCACCATTGAAGGAGCTTCGTTCATCTGCTGTCCTATTTGACAGTAAGGCGAACACTCTACTGATGCAGGCTGCTTTGCTCGGCGATCTCAGGATGGCTGAGAGCTTGCTGTCTCAAGCTGGGACCACTAACAAAAGCGGACGTACTGCACTGATGATGGCGGCTAGCGTGGGAAATGCTGATATTGTCGCTCTTCTAATAGAAACGGGCAAAGAGGCCAGAAAGCAGGACTCGGAGGGACGGACTGCTCTCTACTTTGCAGTCAAGGCGCTCCATTACTCTTCTATTCGCCACCTTGCTCCTCACGAAGCAGGACTGCAAAAGAACGATGGTCAAACCTCACTGATGATTGGCGCTAAGCGGGGTGGCAAAACACTCCTTGAGCTATTGGACGTGGAGATAGGGATGCAATCGACCGACGGGTGGACAGCTTTGATGGCCGCGGCCGATTCGGGCAATGTGGAAGCCTGCATATATCTCGTTTCGCGCGAGGCTGGCTTCTCTATGAAGAGCGGCTGGACTGCTCTTATGAGCGCTGCGTGGAACGGGCATCTTGAAATAGTTAGTTTACTATGTGAAAAGGAGGCAGGGATGCAAAAGGTTAACGGGTTCACGGCACTCATGGCTGCAGCTAGAAACGGTAATCTGGAATGCCTGAAGATACTGATGCCCCGTGAGTACGAACTTGTACAGGCTTCTGGAAAGACAGTGTTAGATTGGTGCAAGGAATACGACCAAAGCGATTGCGTAGAGTATGTGATAAGGTACGCGGAATCCCTAGAAAAACTTATTCCGAGCTAGAGAACAAGATCACTGCCAAAAATCAAATCAGCCCTCTCCTTCTTGTCGCTTAATGGGTTGTTTAGTGCTTCTGCGTGCAGCTTATCAAATAGGCCGATTGCTGTATTGAAGTTGTACCACCTTTGTGTTGGAGTTTTCTTTTGCACGTCCTCGGGTCTAAGGGAGAGTGCCCCAATCACTCCACCTGTGGCCTGGTCAGCGTACTCTTTTTGAAATCTGCACGCCACCTTATATAGGTCTAGGTTCTGATAAACGTCCTGGATAACGTGGAAGAACGCACAATCAACGATGCTCTTAGAAACAGATGCTGGTCCATTGTAGTCTTTAACAGGGCAATACCCCAGATGGACTGTTTTTGCTTTGCAGTATGACCACAAATTACCGTACGTAGGCTTCATGTCAATACATAAACCGAGGCACTGTCGCACAACAGAGGAGATATTCGTGCCGTATACAAGGTACTTAATTACTAGAAGCCTTAGCCACTCAATGTACGTGTCTCCGTATTGCGGGGTATAGTATACCGCTTTAGCAAGAGCATCCTCTGCAGTAGCAGTGTTGAAGCAATTGTATGCTGGATTGAGGAACAGTCGAGCAAGCTCTACCCAGACGTCAGCACTTTTTGGACAGTGATAGACGGCCGCCTTTATTACCATGTAATGTGAGCTTGCACCTTTTGACTGTGCCGTAGACGCATACAGAGCCCAGAGCCGCCCTGTACTTACATTATCTCCCAGAGTAAGGGAGAAGGCAATGCTTTCCAAGGCCTCCACTAGCCTGTTGTGTCTACGAAGAATATTTGCGTATTCTAACGTGTATTTCCACTCTTTTTGATTCGTGCTGATTGCTTCGAGCAGCAAGCTTAATGCGGTGTTGATATCTCCATAGTATTCATAGTAGTGTGCCCTTTCAATTATAACAAAAAGCCGTGATTTCAATGGAGCCGTCTGATACGCCTGTGTAAGATTGTTGAACAGCTTCTCCTTCATTTCCCTCACCCAGTAGTCAGATACGTTGCTCTTGCAGCTGCGTATAAAGTAAATCTTGGCTATGAGGACAAAGATGCGCCACTGGACGCCATCCTTAGCACAGGATAGCGCCTTAAAGCAGAGATTGAGAGCTTGCTCTGCGTTATTGTTCCTTATGCAATACAGTGCACACAAGCACTTTAGCTTCCAGCGTATGTCGTTGATCGCGCAGCTGCTTGTCATCTTCTTGAGTATTCCCATGATAAGCTTTATGTTGTTGGGAAACCCCCGCATCATCAGCTCAAAGGATAGAAGCGACAGCGGTGAATACAAGATTTCTTCGCGCAAGAAGTACTGGAAGATGTAACTGAATGCGCACTTAAAGGAACCATACTTCAATTCTAGCTCCAGGTAATCTACTATCACAGGGCCTGGTTCCTTGGTATGAAGAATTAGATACGAGATTATTTCTCGGCTTCGGCCATGGTTTCCTTGCAGCATCTCAAGATATGCACCAAAAAAGATGACTCTCCAATACTTGTCTAGACTAACAGAGTGCCTATTCATGCTGCCGCCGGTTGGAAAGTTAGAACCACAAGTATAGAAAGGTGGTTGCGTATACTGCTGAACTGTACGCTCAATTAAATGATAGCACGAGTCATATTCCCCTATAGATTCGTAGAGCTTAAGAGCCTTAAGGATAAGCTGCTCTGGGAAATTCGCACCGTCTGCGGATCGAAGGTGATTTTCTACACACTTTATCAGGAGAGCAGCAGCTTTAGCTACATATCCATGCTCTTCTAAGAAACGGATGTAGTCTGTTATCTCCCTAGACACACGAGAGTCGATAGACGCCATATCCACCAGCTTAGCAGTAAAGTAGATAACCACTTCAATGTCTCTGTGGGTCATTGCAGCTTTAAGCAGACGTTTGATAATTGAGATACGTTGGTCTGGACTGGCTTCGGCGAGTAGCGTCTCCCCAAGACGAATTGAGCCAGAGGTGTCACGGCTAATTTGGTTAGTATACTTGTGAGTGATTGGAGACATGCCTTTATCCTTTCCAGAGAGCGCAGAATCCTCATCAGCGTTATGCTTAGAGAACTTAGTTTTTAGTGAGTACCGATACTGATCATCATCCTCTGTTCTGTGAGTCATAACAGGTGTTGTAGTGAAAGAGAGCTGCTGTTCTGTTAACCCCTTCAGAGGCAGAAACGCGTCATCAACGGATGACGCAAAGACCTCTTTGGGGACTGCGCGGCTTTGGTGCTTAACCGCGGAGGAAAGGAGACGCCGAGAGCTGGATGACTGAGTAGATTGGTAGTTCTGTACCCCAAATGGAACCCCAACGGGCGCCCCCTTTCCTCTCCATCGACCACCCTTGTCTCCATGCTCTCCCACCCGCTGAGGAAACGGCATAAATGATGCAATGTCCACACCCTGATAATATTGGTCATCTAGAAGTTGCTCACGGCTAACCTTTGATTCAGATCTCTCATGAGAACTCGTAGATCTAACCCCCAATTGTTCCTCTGCAATCACTTCAAAGGTTGAGAGAGCAATGGAGGCGGAAGGGTTGTTCTCGGGAAGATACTCTGTGATGAGACTCTGTACACCTTCTTTTTCGGTGACGTCTTCCTCGTCGCGACAATCCTGCAATATCTTAACGCGAGGAAAGAATATCTCTCCGTTGGTTTCGTACGCGTTCGTAGTACTCTCTGCAAACTGGTTAACAGATGATCGCAAGGCGTCCGCTGCATTCATTACCGGAGAGAGAGGGGATGCAGCCGCAAGATCTCGCTCAGAAAGCGGGGAGGCCCGTGCGTACGACGTGGATAGGCGTAGCAAAGCAGACCCCGACATACCAGCAGAGTTGATTGATCCTCTTCCCGTTGATGAGTTACGCTGAAGAAACGGAGAGTTGGTAATTGAGGTAGGAAAGGTTATGATGGGGTCGTATGCGTCTATGACGGGAGTGGGGGCATTCCAGGGAGCTGGAGAGGGGACAATATGGCAGTCGTAAATGTGAATCACACTATGCATCCCAGGGTTTTGAGGGAAATCACTCACCGATAGACTATCAGATGTTGAGTTGAATGCTGATTGATATGGGCTATAAGACTGATCAGCAAAAAGCGCAATACTCGAGCTTTTATTAATGACATCCACAACCCCCTTACTCCTATATGGTGTGGGTGCTGAGCTGTTTCGTGGGAAAGCACGAGCTGTCTCCATGCACCGCACCAAGGCAAACTTGATAATTTTATGAATTGCAAAATGGCGTAAAAGAAATTTAAGACTTTACGTCCATATAGCCGAGCTTCTACGTTACTGGCCCCCGGAATTTTTATGGAATCGCCAAAGATTTTAAAAAAGACGGCAATTGGTAGATTTGTAGGGCGAAGATAATTCGATGTGGTTTCTAAAAGCTTTTTAAACCTTTAGCAGATCATGGACAGCGCTGGACGGAACTGCAGCAGGAGGTGATAAACTGCTCTGTGATCCGCGTAGCTACAAAGTTGTCCTGGCAGAATAGCAAGAGCGCATAGTCGTTATCACCATCTTCTTTTTCATTGCTCGCAATTTAGATGAAGAAAATTTAAAAAACAAAAACAGAGTGGCCAATGCAAGCTGCTCCAGCCGATGATAACTCCGGGAAGAGTGAATGGAAGATAAGACTAGAAACAATACAGGGCTTGATTAGGGAAGAGCCATCCGTGGCCATTGCGTCAGTTAGCGATGTGTTTCCCCAGTCACTCAGAGACTCGAACTTGCTCTGTCTGAGTGCTGCACTGCAGCTACTTGAGCGGATTAAGGACGAGCCAGAATTGCACTCTTGGCCCGTCTTCTACGAGATTGTTTCTTTGCTGATCTATCCTTGTTGCATCCATTCCAAGAGTAATGTGCGTGCAATGTCGATGGCTCTGCTCCTAGATTTCGAGAAGCGGTCACACGATATAGTCATGGGAGTGGTAACTAGTACAGTTCAGAGTAGCAATCCGACTCAGGCCAAGGCAGCGCTGATAGCTCTTACAGAGCTTATCAAACAACAAATAGAGCACTCATCGGCACGGGGAAAGCAACTAGACTTCACCGACGTGATTTTTCTGCTAATTCAGACTCTCCAGGCCAAGGAACCAGAGGTTAGAAAGGCGTCGCAGGAGGCAATTGCACAGGTACTCACGCTAGACTCTAAGGACGCTCATGATCTGATGGGGATACTAGAGTCAGAGCTCCCTAAAGCACACTTCCAGGCACTTCTTAGTGCAATAGCAGATAAAACGAAGGAAGTGGACCAGGGAGGTGGACCAGGGGGGCAGCGAGGGATGAAAAAAGGTACCACAGGGCCTAGACAAGGAAGGGGGGATGCTAGGCCTGAGAACCCGTCTTCAGCCCTGCTGCAATCTTCAGTAGACGGGGGTACCCCTGCACTCCAAGACTACTACTTTCCTACAGTTGACCCTGGGTGGGAAACGATTCTCCAAAACACTTCTTCGAAGTGGGAGGAGCGATGCAATATACTAAAACAGATCTATGACGATTTAGCCAGCCACCCGCAGCCAAGAATCCCTCCGACAAACTCGTGGAGCAATCTTACTAAAATAGTAAAGCACCTGGTTGACAATGAATCTAATAATGCGTGCTGTATTCAAGCTATCAGGTTGCAAGGACTCATGGGAAGCGTAATCGAAGCGTTTCCTCCCCAACTTGCTAAGCAATTTTTTCAGTCTTTAATAGGAAAGCTCAGAGAAAAGCGGCCCGCTATTGTGTCTCACTGCAACAAATCTATGATGGCTCTGTTAATCAATAAGATAACGCTCACAGAGGCCATGACCGACGTACTAGCTGCGCTCAGCAGCAAGTCTCCCGACCAACGACAGGAAATGCTGATCTTTCTTAAGCACTGCTATGGATTCTCAACAGAACTGGGGGTTATGACCAATGTTTCATCCTTTCTAGAAGATTCATTCGAAGGGTACTCTTATTACTTAAAGGCTTCGGGTCTCAATATTAGGAGTAAGGATCAGTTGCAAAGCTTTATCGACTCCTTCAGGTCTAGGATCACGTTAACTACAAAGGCTCTTGGAGCCCTTAGCAAAGCATCAATGGGGCTTGTTTGCGATGCGTCACAAGGGATCCGTAACGCTTGCACCGAGATGCTTTCTGCGTGCTGCATTCATCACATCCAGTCTCCGCAACATTTGCAGGTCCTTTCTGACATCCTTTTCCAGCCTATGATAGGATATCAGAAGAATGCCCCTGTGTCCACCATCATGGCCGAAATTATGCGCTTCAATGCGCTGTCCACTGGTGGTTCGTCGACCGAGGTCCAGAGGTTGAAAAGTCTTGTTTTGAGTATTCAGGCCGCAGTCAACTCTGGACTTATTCCTAATGTAGATCCCCATCCTCCTACTGCCCCTGCCACCACAGCAGCAACTCCTGTCTCAACCACTGCCCGCACAAGGTCTCCTGGGGTTACTCCAGGGATAAGGCGCACTCCGTCTCGTCCAGGGTCAAGCGAGCTGGCAGACAGGAAGTCTCCACAAATACAGGTGTCGCGTACTCGCCAAACAACAACGCCCACCACCAAGCAGCGTGTCGTTAGTGGGACGCCTACTGTACCTACTGTGCCCAGCCTCAGTGGCAATGTGGCTGGCACTACTCCCATCTCTACTAGACCCCCGCAAAACACGCATAAGATATCCGAGCTTCTACTCAATCCCCTCGATGTCATCTCCGAAAGCCTTATTCTCGCTGATTTTCTGGCAAAACCTTATCGTCTTTCTAGCATCCTCATTGACCTGACCAACACTCTCCTGCTGGCAGGACCTGAAAGCATATGCCTGTTAAATCTACAAGAGTTTATAGACGGCCTGTTTGTGACAGCCTGTGAGCTTTTTAGGAACTTCGATATCAATCTGCTGCAGCTGGATATGGCATCCATTAATCACTTCTTATCCTTAGCCTGTGACTTTGCTTCCAAGTGCACCATTCATGATCTTCTAACTTTTTTACATTCAAAGGGAACAGCCTGCAATTCTCTCTACGTGCTTAAGATTTCGCCCCATTCGTCTGGTACTGCGGAAGGACTTACCTATCGTATGATCCAAGCAACCTTTGTGCAGCTCTTTGAGTTCTTCTGTCGATACTGTGTCCTTTTATTTTCTTTATCCTTTAGTACTGCCAATCCATTTCCTAATTCAAGTTTATTGTTGCCCCCAGACCTGTTTACCAAGATTGCTAAGACCTTAGAAACTCTTCTTGTGAGCTTTTTTACACCCTCTCTGCCAGGCTTGACTAAAAACTCTATCGACACTATAGCTCCTGTGCTTGTGCGAATTGTGCTTCTTCTGAAAGCGTCAACTGGTGACTGTCCTCCCACCTCAAAAGACAGTGATTGTACGGAAGCCCTTACCACGATATCGAACACCATCTTTCCTCTGTTTGTTAGTCTATCACAAGAGCCCAGACATGTGTTTAACCTCACTTCCAGTGAGGTCTTACTACTCTCGGATCCAGACAGCCTTCAGGTTCCAGTCAACATTGTCGAGCTCTCAAACTGCATAAGGTCTATCTGCTCCGAGATGAGCAGTAAGAATGTGCCTCTGTTCCCTTCTGTCAATCAAAGCACTAGTATTTCCTGGTGTCTCACCACCACTATTGATTTCCTGCGCATGTATGAGCGAGATGAGCGAGCACTCGAGTCCTTACAGTCGCTGTTTAGAACCTTTCTCTTAGTTTTGCAAAAGGATGTGCCGTTTACTGTGCTGTCTGCGCAATTCTCGCATGGCTGTCCTCCATCTGTTCAATCCATCATTGCTTCTATGATACCCTTCCATGACGTCGATACAAAGCTATCTAAGATCATCTCTCAGCTTTCTGTACCAGAAGAAGAAATCAGCAAGTCGACTGAACCGGTAATTACGGCCATGAAGCTGCTCATCAACCATGTGCGCGACCACAAGGAGCTTTTACACTCTTCTCTTTGCCGACTTCTTGTACAGCTGGTTGTACGCATCTTAAGGATACATAGGGATAATGCTATTGGAGTCATACAGCCATGCATTGGAGCAAGTCTTGGGGTAAGCCTGAGCAAGAGTGCTATCAGCGCACTTAATACAAGTGTCAATGAGCACATAGGATCTAAGCTGGTCTATCGCCTTGTACGCTACGCAGCAATTGTACTGCTGGAATGTGTTGAGTCACAAGGGTGTTCAAAGTTTCTGAGCAGCCATGACGCGGCGACCATTCTTGTTGAGATAGGCTACTTTTGTAACAGGTCATTGATTCAAGGGCTTTTTGTTGATGAGACAGAGGAGATTGTGACTGACGTTATTGAGCTTTACATCGGGATAATGATGTCTCTACTTTCTAATGGAAACATCGAGACGCTCGCTAAAGCAAATATGAGTCTACTCCTAGAGGTCTATGTGACCCTTATGAGCTTTACCTGCGACTATTTTGTTGCACGGCACAGCAATGACGCAGAAGACCTTAATGCAGAAATTACGGCAATGCCCGCGCTTGTCTTTCGGTTTATTCCTGAAAACCTTGCTCAGCATGGTTCATATTTATTACACTTGCAAAACGAAGTCCTTACAAAAATGTTTATACCCATTACAGATTCCTTACAAAGCCAGATCAATCCAGCGCGCAAAGAACTACAAGGTGATAGCAATGGATCAGCCACGATGCAGCTCGATCCACTGAAGTTCATTCAGATGCTTGCCACCTGCTTCAATACTGCTTGTGACCACGTCTTGACGTATCTTCAATTAGAGCACGGGGTTTCTCCAGAAAATGTCTTCTATCTACTTAATCCAGACACAAACAAGGTATTTGCAGATATGTATCACCGCTCCTATGAACTTTACGGCGTGGACAGCAAGGATGTTCGCCTCTGTTTGCGCTTTGTGAGATCAATGACAGAAACGTATGTGAAGTCGACAATCGGCAGTGGCATCATTGACCAACTAGAGATCATCCCTCCTTATTATGAGATATTCCTTACCAGTCTAGGATATCCAGGAACTGGATACAGCATATCTCATAACAGCGATAACTCGCCAATGTCACTGCAGGACAGTGCTTCATATTCTGAGGACAGGTCAAGGGATAGTGCCACACCTGGTGCTCAAGCTGCACGACTGATTGGGCCCCCCTCGCTGCATAATGATGTTGCCCACCATGCGGCAGCAGAGATTGCCAACTATATGAGCAGTGCTATTGCAACCACTGAATCTGCGAACGCATCTATCTCTAGACATAAATCCAAGATCCCTGGATTTGAGAGCGGCGCAAGTAAGGTCGAGAGAGAGCGTCTAGTAACTGCCCCTGCCGGGTTCTCAAGGACTACAAAGCAGGTCTCTCTAAAGGCGAACTTGTCTCTTCTGCAGACTTCCCCCAAGGAGGCCATCACTCAGATTCACGAGTACGCCCTGCGGGATGCTGGTCTAGATAGCAAGGCAACCGGAACGGAAGAGGAGGGAGAGTTCACTGCATATTTAGAGGGAAGCCTGGCTCCTCTTTTAATTAGCTCCTATAATATGGGGGAGAGCTCGGTGATGAAGCTCTTAGTATCTCTCAAAAAGCAACACTCCATCTGGATAGCTGAGAATAAGATCAATGTAATCAAGACGGCAAGGCTAAGCAAAACCGGTAAAGTGAAGGGATCTATTACGGATACACCAGGTCACTCACAGCACGCGTATATGGATTGCCTAAATGCATTGGAAGCAGAACTAAATAAGAACTCTAAATGACTTTTCCTGATTACAAAGGTGAGCTGTACCTGAGTATACTGTGTATAACAGACCCTTCATTGAGGAATGAAGCCAGCGGGTCTTGTCCACGCTTCTGTTGCTGGGATTCGCTTGTGAACGAGATCTTTATGTTCTGCAGACTAAGCATTCTTTTTCCTATTAACTGTCTTCTATCGCCTTCATTGTCGAGCATCTTGTAAAGGTTCTGGACAAAAGAGCAAACAAAAACGGCTTTCAAAGGTAGGCGTAACCTATGTCTATTTGTAAGCCTATCCGTAAGGCTCTCTTCCACTGTGAAGTTTGAGTTGTGAGCAACTAACGAGGAGATGCCTTTGAGAGTATCAGAAAATAGAGTAGTGATGTACTCATTGGCTACAACCTGTTCTATTAGCTGCGGAATCATGAACCTGTATTCCAGAAGAAGGGAGTCAACGGCTGTACAGAGAGAAAGTAAGCACTGCAAATCATTAGACGAGTTGCTGAAAATGCAGTTGACAAAGGCGTGCACATTAGCTTGCAGCAGCGCTTTCACAATTCCAAGCATAGAGGCCTCGACAACAGCTCCATTGTCAGTCTGACACAGCTCCTCTATTGGTACATCGTCAGACCCAATGATGGTGAGGTGCGCAGTCGGTGGCAGGGCACCGTACACCTTTCCAATTTGGTGGTTAGTTGTGCTGTGAGTATTCTCAGGATCCATAAAGTAATCTGGCGGATAGTATCCATGTGTCTTGAAATAATGAAAGCTACGTATGTCCCCAGCCACGCAGAGCAAGCGCGCTACCGCTGTGAGTCTCTGTAGAGTTAAGTGCAGTATTGGTGGATGCATGTAATCTCCTACCAGAGTCATTGAAAAGTCTCCGCTTTGCAACACATCTATGAACTGCTGAAAGATATCTACCACGAAAATGTTGTGCTGTTTCATATCCGAGACAGTGATAGTCGCGCCAGAGGCATATATAGGACTGTCTTGGTACGAGTAGATGGAAACAGCGTTCTGGTGTATCCGTATCATAAGGCATCTCACAGCGCAAACCCACAGGTCAACAAGGGAGCGAAGGGCGTCCGCCTTCATGTGAATATGATCAGCAAAGTCGCACAAATCTGTGTATGCTGCAGATTGGTCTGAAAATGCGATGATTCTAGTCAGCTCGGGAATCGCCTCAAGTGTACTTTCGACTATATAATCAATGTCCAGTAGTAGTCCCTTTATTAATATATCGGCAATCCCTCTGGTAAGATCTACACAGGTGATCGTGCGATTCGTATATGAAAAGGAGCGGATCAGACATGTGAGCATCCTGGACCCCATGCCTCCTTCACGCCACGCAGAGGTTATCTTGGAGGTAACCTCCATCGTTCTATTTAATTTAACTACAAACAGCGCTTCCAACAAGGTCTGAAAACAGGCGTATCCAGACAAAGACACAAGGCCATCAAAGGACGCTGGGAACGCAAGCAAGTAATTGATAAACGCTACTAGGTGCTCGTGATGCAAAGTAAATGATGACAAGGCTGCTGTAACTACCTCGAAGAAGTACCGGGTTGATGGCGTATTAAGCTTTTCAAATGAAAGTATCATGCTTTCTGTGTCTAAAATGGTGATCTCTGTGAGCTTTTGGAAAATTCTACTTAGAACAATGGGATGCTTGAACATAAGCGCTGCCAATGCAATGCTCCCAGTGCCGCAGTCCTGAAACGCACTGACGAGGTTGGTCTTAACTGTCTGCAGCGCGCTCTCAGACTGGTTTTCCTGATAATAGACCGTCACCATCACCTGCTGTATCACATTCTGATCGTCCATAAGGTTCATCACGGGGGGATAGAGTGATTTAATGGCGGCCGCGAAATACGGCCTAGAAACTAGAGAAATAATATCTTTGGCCCTTACCAGATTCTCAATCTCACTAATTGGAAGAATAGAAACAGGTACATCAGTAGATTCATCTAGAATGGGTTTCATTTTTAAAGTGATTTACGGCACCCTGACGTTTGATATTTTAAGGGCGTATATGCCTGTGCCAAGGAGGGGAAATAGCGGGCGAATATACTAAATAAGATGGCCAGCAAGGAAAGAAGAATACATCCATCGGTTAAAAGAACCTAATTAGGGCTAATAGAAATTGCTTAGTGAACAGAAAACTATACGGCGGTCCCTATGTGATTGCTAATAACGATAGTACATCAGTGAAACGTCCAGAGTGGTCTGGGTATCGGTTTTTGAAAATTGCGCCAAAATAAAAAAAGGTGACGCACGCAGAAAATAAAGGAGGCACATAGATGAAGGTCCAAAACTATTTGCAGTGGTTCAGGGCGTGTGAGGTCGGAGACATAGATGCCATCGTGGAGGCACTGCCCACGTATGCAAAGAAGAAGAACAGCCGCGGTGACACTGCTCTGATCCTCGCGTGTAAACGCGGAGATAGGCGCATAACAAAGCTTCTTGCCCCCATTGAGCACGGCATCTGCAATGACCGCGGCGAGAATGCCATCCTCACTGCCATCAGGTACGACCAGCCTGGCTGCGTCTCGGACATGTGCATGTACGAGATAGCTACCCGGCTCAAGGACGGCTCTACGCCCTTGCATTTTGCTGCTGCAATGGAGAGCCTAAGGTCCATCGTGCTGATGCACGGTGCGCTCAAACGTGCCCGCGATAGTGCCGGAATGACTTCGTTCGAGTTGGCGTGTAGCCTGGGAAAGACGGAGTCGGTCAAGAAGCTAATCGAGCTGGGGAACCATATATCCAAACACGATGCTGCTCGTGCCATCAAGATCGCCAAGGACCACGGTTTCCAGAATATAGCCGATTACATTGCGTCCTTCGACTTCCCGGACATAGACCCTAGTGTCATTACTGCGAGCATGCGTCTCCTGCAGTCGTCGAAGGTTTCGTCGAAGGCCTTGGCATTAGTTGCTGAAATGTCGGCTCAGGAAAAGGCCAACGTGATCATGAGCCACTCTAAGGTGATGACCGAATCCTTCAAGAATGAGGTCGTTCCTCCAATGGAGGGTCTCAGCGAGTCTATGCGTCTAGCTCAACAGAAGGTCTGCCAGGTCGTCAACAGATATGAGATAGACAAAAAGAAAAAGGCTATGGAAGATTTCGTTAGTAATATCGATGAGCTGGCCTCTGAGCGCGAGAAGGAGAGGCCTCCATCTGAAGAAGAGGTCCTTGCGGCCAAGGCCGCAGAACGCCGTGCAGAAGAGCAAAGGGAAGCCGACTCCATCCAGCGTAGGCTCGCTGAGAATGCTGCGGAGCGATCGCGAAAAGCGGCTGAGCGTCTCGCCCTTGCTGAGCAGGCGGCTGCCGAACGCGAAGTGGAGCTTATGAAGGCTAGCGCCTCTCGCCTGGAGGCCTTGTCAGCAATGTTTCCAACCGACGGAAATCCCGAATCACCCCCGCCTCTGCTTCCAGTCACCCTCGCCCAATTGACCGCCTATCCCCCCTCCGCTGACGTTAAGGGCACAGTTGAGGATACTCTTCGTGCGTCTGCTCTCGATGAATCTGTAGAAGGGACAGCCGGACCGATCAACGTTGGCGCTGCTACTCAGGATGAGGTCGATGTTGATGATATCATCAATCAGATATCGGCTGCCGGAGTAGTAAACGATGCGTATGAAGCATACTCCAGTGATGACGAGGGCGGTCAGACAGAGGACTCTGTGTTCCGTGCTAACCAGCGAGTGGGATACACTGTTCCGGAGGGTGTCGAGCATTACGGTTCGGGGGAGCCAGCAAACAACGGCACTTGCGGCAGGGCCGATATCAGGCTAAGCGCGGAGGAGATAGAGCGTGAGCACGAGGAGCTGCGGCGTAAGCGCCAAGATATCCAAGAAAGGAACAGGGCGTTCCACAGGAACGAAGATGTCATCGACTCCACAAATCCGTTTCCGCTAATAGGCACTTCGGTGGAGAAGCACGTTCCGTTTCCTTCCGTCAGCAGTCACGAAAAGTTGGATCCCACACTAATCGTTCCTAGACAGTACACGCCAAAGACAGACGCCAAGGGCAGGCCTTTACATGAACGTATTGACCACTCTAACTCTCCCTCCAGAAGCATCCTTGTTACCACACAGGGGAGCATACCCCCTGATCCTAATGCTACTATGGGCCCTGCTCAGATTCAAGGAATCTTACCTGCCGATTACTACGGCATCAGGCTTTATTGCACCTGCCCCGAATGTACCGCCAAGCTTACAGAAATAGCCTGCCAACTGCATGCCAAAGATAAACGTATTGCTGCCCTTCAAAACGCTCTCGAGGAAACACGTGCGTTCGCTGCAGCTTGCGTCAGCCAGATGCAGGGGTGCGCCAATTGTTACCAAATGAAGAATCTAAAGGCAGCTGGCTATACTGATGACTCTGTTCTGATAAACACGGCCACTAATACTGCGCACCTGGTAACCAGTGCATCCCCAGGAGGCATCTATGTTCAAGGAAATCCAAATGCATTTATGGCTAACAGCATCGCAGCCAATCGCTTCACAGGCACGGTGCGCTCTGCAACACTTAAGCTTGAGGAGCACGGATTTATTCCTCGGGCAGCAGACCGTCTTCTTTTCCCGCGCACACATGAAGATGTGCTTGGGTTTCATACTTCCCCAACTCAATCTCGCAACCCAGATCTTACAAAGACATCTAGCACAAGGAAAGGCACCTCCACTGTTAAGTCACCCTCTAAGACTCTCGGATTCAATCAACTTCTTGTCAGGACGAGTTCCGGGTCACCTATTACGAGCAGCAACGTGTCCACAAACTCCACACATCGTACAGGCCACAAGGTTAACTCGGACGTGCCTTTACGTAGCACTACTTCCTTAATTGATTATAGCGTGTCTCCTTTTTGTAATAAGACAGAGCTTATGCTGGCAGCGAAGGGAGGGAACATCACGGAGGTGCAGAGGCTTCTCGATACGCAGCGTGGGGAGGTAGATGGCTGTGGCCGCACGGCACTAATGTATGCGGCTGAGTACGGTCATTTGGAGTGCGTTAAATCGCTTCTTGAATATGAAGATTGTGTGGCTGACAGGGATGGTATGACTGCGTTGATGTATGCAGCCTCTTTCGGACATCTTGCGTGTGTAAAGGTACTTGCAGAGAAAGAGGCGTCGTTTAAGCGCCCACAGGATGGCGCAACTGCACTGATGGCTGCGTGTGCGAACGGATTTGATGAGATTGTCTCGGTTCTGCTCCCTCTTGAAAAGAAAATGCAGACCGTTGACGGCCGCACCGCTTTAATGATCGCTTGCCAAAATTCCCACCTCCCCTGTGTAATGAAGATGCTGCCTGACGAGCACGACCAGATGACCGCAACAGGCCGCGATACCCTCTCCTATGCACGCGAAAGCGGAAATGCTCTCATCATCCACGAGGTTGAGAAAGTGTTCAGACAGGCGCAGCACTTGATATGATTACGGAGTAAACCCTCTGTGTAGCTCTGGATTTGGTGCGAAAAGAGATGCGTTGCTCAGCGTTCACTCGGAGATGGAGCCCAGCAAGATCGCCTAGTCAGACGAGGACTCCTCCTCAGAGGAAGACGAGTCGCCGCCGAACATCCCACCGGCACCGACAATCTCGTCGTCGTCAGACTCCTCCTTCTTGGCCTCCTCAGGGGCAGCAGCCGCGGCGGTGGCAGCCGCAGGAGCAGCAACGGCAAACTTACTGGGATCAGCAAGGATCTCCTTGACACGCTTAACAAGGGGAATCTCGGTGACGTCAGCCTCAACACCTGCACCGATGAAGCTCTTGGCGGTATCCATGAAGATGTGAGGAATGGCAGGAAGGCACGGGAAGTTGGCACCAAGAGCCAAGGAGACGAAGGCCTCCAGCCCAGCATTCCACTTGGCCTCCATCACAGAGTCGTCAATCTCAAGCACGGCCGCATCATAGATCTCGCCATCGTCGTAGAGATTGAGCGCGCTCATGGCATAGAAGAAGGGGTCTATCTCAAGCCTCTGAAGAAGCGTCGCGTGGGAGGGCGTAACTATGTCACCCTTTTTAATCAGGTTGACAGGGTTGACGATTTCTATCTTACCCTTGTTGATCTTCGTGTCGATCCCGAGAGCCGCATAGAAGCCGTGCTGATCAGGCCCAGATTGCGTGAGCATGGGCTCGATGACTACATCAGCCGGTGCGACAATCCCCGCCTTGGCGGCTGCCTTGCGCTTTGTCTTCTTGAACGCCTTGAGGATCGCAGACGTGTCCCCATTCGTAAAGACAAAGGCCACGTTGAGCTTTATATACGGAAGGAGGTTCTTGAGCTTGTCGTCGTCAAGCTGATTGATGACGCGCTTGATGATCGTGTTCTTCCCGGCCAACAGTTCAGCTTTGCCTCTGAGGAGGCGGCGGATCTGAGCGATCTGGAAGGAGCGCACGTTGTCGACGCTGACGAGGACGATCTTCTTGTACTCGGTCAGACACCTCTCCAGCTTCGCAACATACGCCTGTCGCCTGGCCTGCTTCGCAGTGAGTGGGGCAGCGGACATTTAACCTACGCACGGAATCTATAGATGTCTCCAGAATCAAAATTAAAATGGATTGCTTCTTAAAAGATGGCCGGAAGAGAAAAAGATCAAAAGCAAGGCTAGAGCCATGGAGCGCGGATCTGCGCTCTGCCAGATACGCCGACAGAAAGCACCAAGGAAGGATGTGGATCTCCATGTCTGCCGTGTGCGCGCATATCCTTTACTCAATCTGTGTGCGGCTCCCCGGCTGTCCCCCCTTCTGGGGATACTGTGGTATCTGTTTGAGGCAGTCTGCACAGGTGCGCCTTTTTCGCCAATTAAAAATGGAATTGATAATAGCCTCCAAAAAATAAGTCGCTCATGGTAGACAGTTCGACCACCCAAGCCTCTGCAGTAGAGCAGCTTCCTGAAGACGAGAGGGTTGAGCATGTCGACACTGAACAGCTTTCTGCGGCATCTGCGAAGAAGATCTCTATTGTGCTCAAGGGAGCTTCGTCTACCGATAAACCTGAGTCTGATGACTGTAAAGGAGAGGAAGACAATCCTCACAAGGAGAGCACTACCCAGGACTCTGCCTCGGAAGCCGATAAAAATGCAAAGAAGCCCCGCAAAGAGCGCCTCCGCTCAGAATACCCTAAAGTCATCGAGCCTCTTCCCCCCAAACCCGACTATGGGCCCGTCGAAAAGGCTGTAAAAAAGTTGGACGACAAGATTGCAAAGTCCAAGGAGACCGTTGCCTCTATCATTGGTGAGATCAGCTCTCTGGACGAGAAGCTTAAGAACCTCAGCTTCGACGCACTCAGTGAAGACCTGCGCAACCGCCTCAAAGCGGCACGTGACGAGTTCTCTGCTCTTCAAAGTGTGAAGAAAGAGATATATGAGAGACTAAACCCCGTCACAGCCAAGATTAAATCTATTATAGGAGATGGTCAGGGCCTTAAGAACTTCAACACCATAGCGGACCAGCTTGCAAGACTGAAGTATGAGTCCGAGCATACATCCATGACTCCGGAAGAAGAGAAGAAAACCCAGGCCAGCATTAAGAAGCTCTCTGAAAAGGTCAAGTGCCTTCCGAAGGTTCGTGAATTAGAGGAGGAGCGCGCATCAATCGAGAAAGAACTAGAGGAGCTGAAGAAGAAGATTGATCCTGTAAAGAAGCAAAGGGACCAACTTGAAAAAGAGGCTAATGAGGCTCTCTCTAAGAACAATCCTGATCGCCTTGATAGGTCTGTGATCCTCGCGAAAATTAAGGAGCTGCGAGCAAGAAAGGACAAGGAGAACGAGGTCCTCGACACGCTTTACTCGGAGAAAAGGGCCATTACAACCGAGTACAGAACTGCCATGCGCGCGTACACTTCCGAGGAGAGGCGCGTTGAAGCCCAGACTAGCTACCGTGGCTTCCTTCGTAACAAGTGGAAGACTCTCTGCAAGCTTATCAACGGAGCCGGTGCCACCATCACCGAGCAAGGTGACGAGTCAGGTGAGTTTGTCGTCTCTTCGTACCCCTTGACCGATCTGCCCAAACGAGCGCTGCAGCGTTCTGAACGTGAGGTAGCTGCAGATGAACGTGTCACTGACAAGTCTGCTATTGGTCTGGCCATCGTTGAGGCAGCGAAAGCTAAACTGGCTAAGTGGTGTGAGGAGGCCATTGCCACTGGGTCGTTCGGGACAACAAAGACGGTAAAAACGGGCAAAAGGACGGAGGTCATCCTCAATAAGGATCTCTGCGAACTCCTCAATGTCCTAGACATAGATCATAGCAGTGTTTCATCCAAGGAAGAGGTCACGAAGATACTTAAGATGTGTAGGGGAGAGCTCGATGATGATGACGAGGAGGCAAAGGAACAGAAGAGGCTCGCGGAAGAGGAGGCAAAGAAGGCTGCAGCAGCGGCAGAAGAGGAAGCCCGTAAGAAGGCGGAGGAGGCTGAAGAGAAAAAGCAAAAGCGTTTATCGGAAATTAACGCGAAGATAGCATCGTGGATTGACGAGATGGTTGAGTTCAAGGCCGTCATTCGCTTTGCCTGACGTGGTCACCTAGTGGCTTGTAAATCATTCTCCGGTTTGGGCTTTCGTGAAGAAATATGCAAACAATTTTAAATCCGCTTTCGATGCTCTTTTTTTAGAGGTCGCGAAGCAATGCCCCTCTGTTCCTCCATGACGATCAAGGTCCCGACGGACGTCGAGTGCACGATCAACAAGCGCGTTGTAACTGTCAAGGGCAAGAAGGGCACTCTGGTCCGAGATTTTTCCCATGCACCCCTCGACATCACCCACGCCAACGACACCATCAGCGTCGCAGTCTGGTTCCCTCGCGGCAAGAGAAATGCTCTCCCCCGCACCATCTGCTCACACATAGAGAACATGTTCAAGGGCGTCACGTATGGATTTGAGTACAAGATGAGGCTGGCATACGCTCACTTCCCCATCGCGGCTACCGTTGTGGACAACAACAAGGCCATTGAGATCCGCAATTTCATGCACCAGATCAAGACGCGCCGCATCGAATGCCTTCCGGGCGTCACCATAGCGATGTCGACAAATGTCAAGGACGAGCTAATCCTTAGGGGCATCTCCATAGAGGACGTTTCGCATACTGCTGCGCGCATCCACGAAAGCCTTAAAGTTCCCAACAAAGATCTCCGCAAGTTCCTCGACGGCTGCTACGTCTCCTCCCGCGGGCTCCAGGAACAGTAAATGATGCCTGCTGTCGGTTTACTAAGTGTCCTCGAGCGGATTTGGTACCTTGAGGTACCTTCCAACCGTTGGATGGTCTGCTTGGCGTTTCGGGAACGGCTCCACCCTACTCACAATATCCCCCAGAGGCACCCCTGCTTTGGTCGGTGACAAGTGATCAAAAAGGTTTTTACTCAGGACATCGCTGCAGGAGCTCGCCAATACAAGAATGTCCCGAAGCTCTGTGGAATGGATGGCTGTCGAGTGAACGCAGGCCAAGACGTCTCCTGTGATTGAATCTAGAACGGCTGTAAGGGCTCCACTGAGGCTTCTTTCCTCAGTCTTTGAGGGATCTATGAGCATTGTTCTGGAGTCTGATGTTCTGGTGAAGCCTAGAGACACCGCACATGGGACATATGGGAGCGTCACTCCTATCGCCATTAGCGTAAGCAATATGGCATTACACGCAGAGGCCACTGCACTACCGTCGTCAGATAAGATAAGGAGTGAAAGCACAAGTAAGCTTCGGCCCGAAACACAGAGAGAACAGGTCTTTTGCTCAGATAAAACTACACTGGACAAGACGCTACCTACTAATACGCGTATATTCGAAGTAAGCCGATAAGCATCTGCGACTGTGGGCAGCGCTTCAACAGTAAGCTTGAATGGTGAGTTCTGAGGTGCATCGAGGTAGACAGAGGCAATAAGATCTGTGCCGCCAAGGCGAAACCGCACGGATCCTGTTGAGGTAGATATACAGTTGAAGAGCACAGTCGGCTCCCGGTGCTCCAGTTTTTCTCGTCCATCTGGGCGTAGCTCACGAGCCATTTTTAAAAGATGTGAGAGTCTAGGCTGTTAGAGGCCTCGTAACTCCCGCTAGCGATTCGGTACATAGCATAGTTCTCATCTAATAATACACTAATATTGCCTGACAGTAAATCTAGCACTCAACCTCACTCTGTCTGAAGAGACTCTGATACTTTTCCACTCAAACATTTCATAGAAACGCTGTAACCGCCACTCTATGGGGTGCCTTGCTAAGCTACTGGTATGCAGCCAGATTTAACTCCCACTAAAATTTATCCTACTTTTGAATATAGCTCTGTTGATGGATAACAGGGAGATGGCGCTAGATACTACGCCGCCAGAAGCTTTTGTGCAGCCCAGGCCACAGCTGGAACCGAAGAATCAGCTGGCTAACGATCTTCGTGAGGCTATCACCAATCTTTACTCTCAGGCACAGAAGAGCACTACAAGCCAGAATAACCCAAAGACAACCTTAGAAAAGTTTGAGGCCAGAAAGAAAGCGATAGATGAAGCGTACACTGCCATGAAAGACATGAGTGCAGACATTTCCGACATGCAAGACAGCCTCCACCAGTCCGTGGAACTCGACCCTCTTTTATCCCTCTCTGGAGACAACTGTCCATCAAGAAAAGGATTGCCGAAGGAAGTCACATTTAGCAAAGAGCGCCCAACAGTCATTCCGGCCGCCTCCCTTTCAGAAAGTGATATAGCCAGGATAACCCCTAAACAGATATATACACTGCTGCAATCTATGAACGGTGCAAACGAGTCTATAAATAACCAGGTCATGGAGGGTTTGGTAAACTTGCGACAAAACATGGCCAAAGTGGTTGAGGATAATAATATCTTAAATAGCGAATTAATGAAGTTACACGAAGAAAATCAACAAAAATCAGCAATGCAAGCCTATCTTGTCTCATTGCTTGAAAAGCGTGAGCAAGAAATAGAAAATCTCAAGGAAGCTATCAAGCATTCCGAAGACATGGAAGGAAAGAAGAATGAGGAAATCCGCACATATCTGTTGAAGTGCGATGAAATCAGGTGCCTGTCTGAGCGAACTCTCCGGGAGCGTGACACAGTCTTAGATGAACTGAAGGCAAAGATGTCCAACACGACTGCTGATTATAAACTTTTAGAGGCAGAAGCCGACAGGACAAGCCGGGAGCTCATAGAGTGCAAGGCGCGGCTCCAAACCGCGGAGTCTCAGGTAATCTCTCTGAACTCAAAGCTAACTGCATTGGCCAGTACATCCGAGACTGCATTACTACGCAAAGAGAGCGAAGTTGAAAAGCTGGAGTTGGAGATTTCCAATTTAAAAGAGGTTATTCAATCCCTTAACGAGGAGAAGCGCAATGAGGCGGACATACAAGCCATGCAGAGGCAAGAGATCCAAGAACGTGCAAATAGCGACATCCAGCGTATTGAAAAAGAAAAGCAGGACCTCCTAGCGCAGCTCTCTAACTTCAATGCGGAGAACACTGCTCTATTACTAAAAAAAGACGAAGACATTGGATCGCTGCGCAGTGAATATGAGACCCTTTCAGGAGAGTATAAGATTTACAAAGCCACTATGGAAGCTAGACTCAAGCTGCTTGAAGACAGCCTTGAAAAAGTCAATGCTAGTGTAGAACGGGTCACTGAAGAAAAAACTACTTTACTTAACACTTTAACTGCAGAGATGCAAAGTGTAAGAGAAGAGAGCAAAGCCGCGGTTCAAGCCGCTGAAGCGGACACAGAGCTTATTCAGACTCGCCTAGCAGAAACAATCAAAGAAAAGGATAGGCAAATTAAGGAGTGCAAGAACAACATTATTGATCTCCAAAACGAGCTAACGGAATTGCGTAAAAACCAAGAGTTTCTCATTGCCGACGGAAATAGCACACAGTCAAGACTGAATGCACAGTTAAAGGGACTCTGTAGTCGATACGCAGTGCTCCAGGCCCAGAGCGAGGCTGATGCTGCATCTCAAGAGGAAAAGCTAGCGCAGCTGAATTCAGAACTCTCTCTGGCAAAGAAAGTACACGAACGGTACGTTACAGATACAGAAGAGCGAATAGTTATGCTGAATGAGCAATTAGAACGCAACAAAAAGGATTATTTAGCAAGTGTTGATGAAAAGGATGCACAACTAAGAGAGTTATATACTGTGCTAGAGCAACAAAAGGCTCAGTTCAGCGAGTTGTTGGCAGAAAAGGAACACGAATTAACACGACTAACAGATGCAAACGAAGACATGAAGCAGAAACGGAAGGAAGAACTGGCGCAAATGTCTCAGCTGCAGTCTCAGCTCGAGCAATCCCACGCAAAGTGCAATGCCACTAGGACCACTGGGGAGATGGAGCAATTGAAGCTCCAGTCCGAGTTGGAAATGGTCCGAGCCAAATCAGAGATAATACAGAAGACTAACACTACAGAAGTTGAGCGCCTGCAAGCTGAACTTTTATCTTCGAAGAGCATGCTTGCCGAGGTGAGGACTGATTTAGAGGCACAGCTAAAAACTAAGGATGAGATGATAGAAAAACTTCAGGAAAATATAAGTGCTTTAAAGGTTGAACTGACTGAGACAACTATGGACGCCACTATAAAGATACAGGAGCTCAATGGACGGCTAGAGATGCTGCAAGAAGTGCAGGTGACAGCAGACAACACAAGGATTTCGGATGTCGATCAACTTAGGCGACAGCTTGAAGAGCAGCAAGAGCATGCTAAGAAGGAGATAGCACACTATAGGCAACAAATTTCTAAGCTGATGGAGGACTTGGCAGATGTCAACACACGATACGCTAACTCTGTGGAGAAACGCGAAAGAGAAATAATTAGGCTCAAACAGGAATCAAAAGACGAGGCTCTTGCAAACGCAGCCAAAATAACTAATCTTACTACTGAGCTTTTGGGTGCAAAGCGTCGAGTGGAGAAGGAACAAGCTACAGTAGCCGAACTTTCAAGCCGGCAGTTAGCGAAAATTTCAGACTTACAGGAACAACATGGAAAAGAACTAGCAGAGAAAGATGGGCAAATACAAAAGCTTCAGGCGACTCTAAAGAAGCTGAAGACAAAATATACTGAAAATATCACTGAGCTTAAGGCAACTGTCTCTGCTCTCATGACACAGAATGGTTATAGTGAAAATACGGTTGATAGTGACGGTTCCCTTTCCGCAGCTAACCTCACGTCATCTATCACGGTTAGCTCGCTGAATCCGGGGGCAGCCACGTATGCCTATCCGGCAAGCGCATTTTCTGAGCCATCCATGACTCCAAATGCTCCACAAGGACAGGAAAAAATGATGTTACAGTTACCACAAGCAGGAAGCTTTCAAGGATTAATGCTTACACCGCGCATGAACAGCATAGCTAATGCATCAGAGTGTACAGCAAGACATGCTATTTCTATGACCCCAGGCTCAATGGGGGCCATGTGAATTACTGCAGATTGATGTTGTGTTCTTATATACTGATGAACATTAGTACAAGTTAAGTTCCTGTTGTGGTAAGCATGGAGAGATTTACTTAAGCGTATAGTCAACTGTACCAATGGGGTATCGAGGTTGATCTGCTAGTCGCTGTCCAAGTAATCCATTTACTCTCTGTTTCACTGAGATGGGGCTTATCATTTGCTATCTAAGTAAATCTCTCCATGCGAGCCATCGCTCTGAGTGGACCTCCCGCTCACCTTCCGAGACCCGAGAGCCGGATGTCCTAGATCCCCGTGGGAGAAGAAGAAGGTTTGCCCTATCCTCTTGGGAGCTGCTGTGCTTCTCGCAGGGCCTTCTAGGACCTCCCCTTCCGCCGGCTGGTTGTGGGCAGCCAGGACTCGTCCGCCTCTGTCAGCCAAGCACCCCAGGGGCCCCAACTTGCCCGTCGAGGGATTCACATAGGTCACGTGTGGGTCCGTCTCGACAAGCGGGGCGAGTGATTGGTGCCATTACCAGCCTCGAACGCTCATCTGCATTCGCTATCACCTCGAGGGAGGGGGCATAAATCTTCCCCGTCAGAACTGGACGACATCCGACTTTCGGATTCTGGGTCTCAGCTAGTGAACGAGCGAGAGGTTGTCAACCTAGGGCGGCGGTGGCTCGCATGGAGGACCTGGTCAGGCAACAGCTGACAAACTAGCCTCAGTGCAATAAGGTAACTGGCTAGTTTGAGAGGAGCACTTGGAGGCACCAGACGTTGCTGGCTGGGGCTTTGGAAGTGGGAGTCCATCGGGGGCATGGGGCTCGTCGCCCCTAGGAGAACCAGTGGCTGCCAGGGACGGCGTCTCGATCGGACCGTCCGATTCCGCACCTACCAGCACATCTTCAGGAGGCCTCTTCTCGAGTGCATTGTATGCGCCGAGCAGTTTAGAGCCGCCCTCATGGACAGCAATCTTCTGTTTCTGGTCTTGTAAGATTGCTCGTTAGAATTGAGAGAAGAGGGTATGTGTCTGTGGCACTGTCTCCCCCACGAATAACTCGGGTTGCCCGCTGTCCATATAACAAACTGAGCCGCTGTGGAGTCGTTCTTTGCATGGAGCTTCCCACAATAATCGCCCTCGGGCAGAGTAAGAACCTGCCTCGCTCTGTGGCAGCTGGCAATTGCAGAGCTCAATGAGGAGACCAAGTACGGTAAACCGGCAAGGACGCGAGCAAATATATTGAATGGACACGCAGCCGCATAGGCGCTGGCCGTCGTAAGGGTGCCCGCTTAGCACTGACAAGAAGGCACAGAGAAGCATGGCGGGCCAAGTCATGTAGCCCACCAAGTGGATGCATGATTGCGCAGCCCTGCTATTGCTTCGGCGACATGCCGTGCACGACATCGCGCGCAGCAGCACCCCGTCCTCCAGGAAGAGATTGCACAGGGCCAGGAGGCCATGAAGGGGAGCGTGGGAGCCCACGCCCAGCAAGAGCACTCCTTCAATCTGAGAAGCCAGGATAAAGCGGTCGTCGGCAACGTGAGTGGCGCCGCCGTATCCTTGGTGTGTTCGACACTAGATTAGAGACGGAGCGGGCACCACCACTAATGAAAGTAATCACCGCCGGGGATCAAGCGTGCGTCGCTGCAACGTTGGGAACGCGCGCGAGCTTCTTGTAAGTAGCACAGCTGGCCGATGCAATGGCTGGAAGGCGCCGTCAAGAGCTGTGCAGCAAGGCCGGTAACTACCATGCCCATGCCTCGCGGAATAAGCGAGCAAGCACGCTGCCACCAGAGTCACAGAGGTCGGCTATATGACCAGTGCGGACGTCGGCCATGGCCTTTGGCTGCACGTGAGGGGGAAGCGCGGCAAGTCCCACTAGTATGGAGGACACACCAAGGAAGGGCCAGCTCGCCTTCATGACCAGAGGCCGATGCGGGTGGGTCTAGCAGTTGCCCGTGCCACCGCCAGAGCGCCTTCCAGCCTAGTCAGAACCTTACCGTAGTTCATGGTTGTTGGCAGAGAGGAACGCCTGAGGCTTCAGTGCCCCTGCCGCGAACGGTGCCATCCGTGGAAACGTATAGTAGAGGATGAATGGGCGGCTCTCGTCTGCTCAAGCCCATGGCCCTATGGATTGGGGCAGAGGGACACGCGGGGCCAGAAAACGCAAACATGGGGGACGGAAGCCTGGACTGGGACCGGACGACCGCCCCGCTCTCGGTCGTGTGGTCGGACGTGGAGCCGGCGATCTACGAGCTCAGCGAGTCGTTCCTCTCGCTCTTCGAGGACGAGCTGGGCGCCGACGAGGCGAGGCGGGCGCTCCTCCTCTTCCTCCACAACGGCGGCTCCCTTTTCAGGCAGGTCCTCAAGCGGTTCGGCGTCCCGGCGAGTGCGCGGTCTCCCTCTCGGACTTGAGGGCGGAGTCGACGCAGAACGCAAGCAAGCAGCTCCCGCCTCCCCTGACCCACTGCATCCAGGTCCTGCATCTCGTGCTGGCCTCCCTGAACCTGCGGGGGGTCACCGTCTTCGAGCACACCGTCTACGATCGCCTGGACGGCTCAGTCGACTGCTCGCCCTACCTCCACACCTTCGAAGGCTTCGTCAGGGCTCTGGTCCACCCCCTTGCGCTCCTACTCTCCAAGCTGATCCAGGCAGACGCGGGCCCGCACAACAACACCTTCAACAACGCGATCGCCCGCTGCGTGGCTTGCTGCCGCCCGGTGGCCCTGCTGAGACAGGCGCTCCTCCTCCTCCTGGGCCCGCTGGGCGACCACAAGCAGGCCCGGAAGTGCCGGAGCATCCGCAGGATGGCCCTGGAGGAGCAGGGCAGCGCCGGGTCTTGCGCGATCAAGACCGTCAAGCGGCTTCCGCCCCCGCGCTTTCGTGGCTACGTCAACCCCACGTCCTCGTCTGTCGCGGCCCTGCTGCGGTTCTTCGAGGGCTCGTTCAGGCCGAAGGACGCCCCCTTCTCGTCCGGCAACGTCTCCCCTACGCCGACAAGGGCGTCGCAGACCAGATAGCAGAGTGTGCAAGCGTCATGACAGCCTTCAACGCCCCCAGCCCAACAGGCGGCGCCCGGGGCTCTTCCAGCCGCTCCCCGGGCCGGACGTGCGGATCGGCCTGCAGTCCCTGGCAGACCTCCACGGGGGGTACATGGCCATGCGGTACAGCTGCGACGCCAGAGAGTCCGTCGTGTCGCGCTCCCAGGAGACCTCTGTCGGCGGTCGGAGCGACCTGGGCGGCGGGCACGACGCCGAGCTGGAGCGCACCCTCGGCAACGCGGTGGCCACCGGCGACTACCGCATGTACCTCAACAGGGTCAAGCGGGGGCTGACCGCGTCCTTCCCGTTCTCGGGGAGGCCGGGTGCGAAGGGCAATCTGCCCTACTTCGAGCGGTGCATAGAGAAGGTGCTGTCCTTCAACTACCACGAGGAGCGGTTCCGCAGCATCAAGTACCACGAGCTGGTCAATGTGCTCGCCTACGCGCTCCCCCTGGACGTCCAGCAGGCGATGCTCGTCGGCATTTCCAACGAGGCCGACTGCGTCCTGGGGCACCAGCTCTACCACCTGAACCGGGAGGTCGACATGCCGGCGTTCCTCTCGTCGCTGCTCCGCCTGGCGCTGTGCGGGGTCCCCCACATGCTCGAGACGGTCCTGTCGGCCAAGGCGGCTGCGGGCACGACGAAGGACGCTGAGAAGGGCGCGTTCTCCAACAACACCCCATCGTCCACGCAGCACGTCCGGGAGTCTGTGCTGAAGAGCTGCCTCCACATCCTTCTCCTCCTGCAGGCCAGGCCCGCCAAGCAGGGCGCCCCGCCGGACCCGGCGCTAGGCCCCGCGAGGCCCCTCCACAGCCTGGCGAGCGGCAGGCGGCTGTTCTGCCTGCTGACGGCGTCGCGCTGCTTCTACGGCTACGTCTCGCACATCCTGCAGCCGTCCAGCACGGCGGCCAGCCAGGGGCCGCGGCGCAGAGCGTCCCGGGTGGGGGCTCCAGGCCGCCGATGGCGTACATCCCGAACAACCTGGCCAACCTGATGGAGTTCCTGCGCGGAGACAATAGCACCAACAACCCCGCCAACATAAACACGGCGGGCACGCTCACGTGCAACTTCCCAGGGTACCAGCTGTCCAAGGTCAACAACCTTTCGTCCATCGTCGTGCTTCTGAAGATCGCCAAGCACATACTGCTCTCGCGGCGGGGACTACTCGCGCATATACGGGGTGTTCGAGCTGCAGGGCCTCCCCGCCTTCCGCGAGCACCTGACGAGGCTCATCTACCAGCTCTCCATAAGCCCGTGCAGCGAGGACGGCTGGCGCTGGCCCACCACGGCTGGCTCTACGAGAGCAGCCTGCCGACGCCCCGGAGCAGTACGCGGCGGAGGAGGCCGTTGCGCTCTCCCAGCTCCACGCGGGATGGCCCTGCAGCCGCATCTGAAAAGGACCCGCGTGTCTTTAGCCAAACAAATACACTGAACAGCGGGAAGCATCGGTTCTACAGTAAGCCTTGTCTGGGTGGACTGATGGGAAAGAGGGCCAGGGTGGGTCTCGGCTACGGCCGCTGGGTGGAGGGGCTTGCAGAGGCAGACGTCTTCACAAATCTGGTCCTGTCAGACTGTCACGGGTCGCGTCCGCTGGCTCCTTCTGAGGCTGCGCCAATCACCGCGTCTCCGTCCTGTGTGGTTCGTGGCGCAGCTGCCAAAGCAATCCTACTGGTGAGCCCCGACTAGGTGGACATCTGCAGTGCGTGGAGCGCCTCTTAGCGTTTACTTGAAGACCTCCATGAACTCCTCGACCGGCTTGTTGCAAGCAGGACAGACCTTGCTGGCCACGTCCTTCCCGCAGTCCTTGCAGAGGACGTAGTGCTTGCACGGCATGCAGACCAGGTTGGGGGCGTTGGCGCGGCACTTCACGCACTTCGTGTACTTCTTCGAGTTGAGGAGCTTGCGGATCTCGCCCAGGCACTTCTCGAGGGACTTGTTCAGCTGCTCCTCCGAGATCTCCGCCCCCTGGTCGATCCCCGAGCAGGAGAGGGAGTAGAACGCCTCGAAGAACGAGCGGAAGATGGCCATGTTGTGGCTCTTGACCTCGGCCTGCTGCGACTTCTTGGCCATCTCGGTGTAGGTGGCCGCGACCCTCTGGCGGAGCTGCTCCAGCATCGCCGCGTCCATCGTCTCGATGGTCTTCAGCCGGAGGACCTTGGCCGCCTCGAACTGCTTCGCCCTGGAGGCGTGGTTGAGGGCGGAGAGCTTGCCGGCGTCCCGCAGCCTCCCCTCCTTCTCGAAAAGGGCCTGGATCAGCTCGAGGTTCCCCCTCTTTGCCGCCGCGATCAGCGCGAAGGACCCGTCGTTCGAGACCAGGCCCGCCTCTGCGTCGACCAGCTCCAGGGCGACGGCGGTGTGCCCGGCCTCGGCGGCCCACATGAGCGCCGTCTTCCCGTCTGCGTCCCTCTGGCCTGCGTCCGCGGCCTTGTGGGCCCTGACGTAGTCCAGCCTGTTCTCCTTGGCCGCCTCAATAAGTGCCATTCTTTGCCTCCCAATTGCGATCGCGGCTCTTCATAAGACATATTGATAGAAAACTTGGAGACGCTGTTTCATGGTATTTTGGCACGGCCAGAAGCATGGGGCGCTGGTCCGTATGGCCTGTTCTCCAGGGCCTTCTGCTTCTCGTGAAGGGAACGACGGGTTTACTCGTGAGATCGTGAAGCAGCTTGGTGATCGTTGCAGTCGTCGGCGCCCGGTATACGGCTGTCCCTAAGGAAGGATGCTATCTCAGAGTAGCCCTTAGCCTCAAGCTTACCAAAGAGGGATTCGTCAGACTTGTCTATTAGATGCCCCTCCTTTTCAAATAGCAGCTTCACTATCTCTAAGTGGCCGCCATACGCTGCGTGCGCGATAGCGGGCAAGGCACGGACATCCAGCATGCAGCCTTCGCGCTCCATCAACAGCTGTACTACTTCTGCATGATTCTCAGAGGCCGCCTTCATGAGGGCGGTCGCACCACAACCATCCCGTGCCCTGCTCTCATATGGCATCAGCAGTCGTACTGCTTCTACGCGGCCGCATATTGCTGCTTGTATTAGCGCCGTCCCAGCATATACAGCTCGCTTCTTCTGGATGGGTATAAGTACGCTTACTGCTAATGTGTCGTTTAGTTTCGCGGCCCGCATGAGCGCTGTGACGCCCCTATCATCGGTTGGGTCGAGAGCCTCCACCACAGCTTCGTGTCCTGCCTCTGCCGCAAGGATCAGGGCCGTGTTGCCTTGTCTGTCGATCATGTCCTCCTCGTACGGAGCCAGAACAGAAGCAGCTTCTGCGCTGTCATTCTCTGCGGCAATCATGAGAGCAGTGCGGCCGTTCTTGTTCCTCTTCCCATGCTCATGAGGGACGAGAATTTCAATTACCTCAGGGTGGTTCTCATGTGCAGCGTGCATGAGCGCGGTCCAGCCGTTTTTATCTTTGAGACCCTTTTGCTTTTTAACAAGCAGCTTGACGGGACCAATGTGCCCCTGCTGGGCCGCGTGCATGAGGGCCGTCATCTCCCGCTCGTCGCGCTGGCCGGTGACCCCCTCTTCAAGTAGCACCCGGACAGTCTCCATGTCATTCGTGTGTGCAGCGTATATCAGTTGAGGCAGCGCGGAGAGGTTGCTCTGGGGGCTACTCGTGTTCATCCCACTACTGGATTGTGCAAGCTTATCCTCCAGTGCTTTTATCCGGCCTTCAAGCGCGTCAATCTCAGAGGTCTTAAGTCGGGGCTCCTGTCCCAGGGCGTCGGCCTCACTTGATCTCCTCTTGAAGGCTGCCTCAAGAGTAGCAATCCTAGCATTAGCATTATTCAAAGCAATCTTCAAGGAGCTGCATTCGTACTTCAGCATCACGCACTGACCCCCCAGCTCACCAACTGGGATGTCGAATGTAGCGAACGTTTCGTGCAGCTCCCTGGCCGTCGGCCTCCTCCCAGGATCCAGTACAAAGATCCTCTCCAGAACACTCTGCATGAAGCCATCAGTGACACCGCTCAGGTCCGGCCTCCACCTGTCGACGAAGACGTCTTTTGGGTCTTTACCTTCTAGGAAGTCCGGTCTCCTCAGAGTGGCCATCTCGTAGAGGATGACCCCGAGGCTCCACACGTCAGAGGCGGGGCTGGGCTCGTTGTGGAGGAGCACCTCGGGGGCCATGTATACTGCCGTGCCTGCAATGGTGCTCCCGCATCTCAGGGCGTTCCTGCAGAGGCCGAGGCCAGCGATGATGAAGCGCTCCCCGTCTTCGCTGATGAGGACGTTGGCAGGCCTGAGGTCGCAGTGGACAAGCCCCCTAGTATTTGCCCCACTGAGGTCGTGGAGGTAGGCGAGGGCGGCGGCGATTTGCTTCATGGCAGAGAAGATCACTTTGGTGGGCACAGGGTTCTTCCATCGTTTGTGTTTAGCGAGGAGGCGCTCGAGGGTCTTGTCGTGACGGTCCATAACGACGTAGATGAAGCCCCCGTCCTCGACCACTTGATGGTGCTTGAGGACTCCTGGGTGGGAGAGATCGGGGAGGGCGGCCAGCTCGAGTCTGATGGCGTCTGCGCTGTTCTTGTCCAGGCCATCTAGTAGAATGACCTTTACAGCGAGCTCCAGATAGCTTCGAGAGAGTAGATTGTGCTTGTGGGGTCTTTGGCCAGCACATCATCCAGCCGCTCGTGGAGCTCCCTAGGGGTGAACTGCGGGGCACTGAAAGCCACCGTTGCAGACCCAGACGAGGCAGTGTCCATCCTGGTTTTATTATTTTGGTAATCTACAGTTTTGGAAACGATCCGTTTCCACAGGGGTTTGTGTCTACATATCTGTAGTGGTCCAATGCTTGCGGAGGGCTTCTGCATCAAGGGCAAGAAGGCCACCCGTGCGACCGTTTCACCCACTGGCGCTCCAGTGCTGGCCGGGGGTGAGAAGGCCTGCTCCCCCTGACCTCTGCGGAAACGGGCAGCTGTGTGCCTCACTGACAGCCACCACTTCATTGAGGTGTCTGTTTGCTGCACAGCTGGAGGGAGATTCTATCCACCGCCGGATGCAACCAACAGTTAGGCGCGTTCACTCACGGCCTTTCTGGGCGACATCCGTAGACAGGGCTCCTCCAGTCCAATACCCTCACTCTCGAGAAGAGACACCACCTCGGAATGACCCTCCATATCAGCTACGCAAAGAGCAGGCCAGCCGCCTATGTCCCTCTCCTTCTCCAGCAGTAACTTGACACAGTCCAGACGACCAAAGTATGCTGCACTGACGAGAGCAGTCCAGCCCTTGCCCTGCTGCATGCCACCCTCAACCTCCATGAGTAGCCTCACGACCTCAGCGCGACCATTTGCTGCCGCCCACATGAGGGCCGTGTACTCATTGCTGCTCCTCATGCAACGCTCGTGCTTCATCAGCAGCTTCACCGCCTCAACGTGTCCAAGCACCGCGGCGATCATCAGTGCCGTTCCTTCGCGTATCTCTACTCTCCCTGCCTTGACAAACCTCGCCACCATCCTTGCCTGATAAGGGATGTAGCGCTTCACCGCGTCCACGTCGTTTCTGCTGGCTGCCTTCATAAGTGTGGTGACGCCGTTCTCGTCCACGCTGCCTTCATCATCCATTTCTGAAGGCTCAGTTGGGTTTCCTGCGCCCTCTTCGCTCGTGTCCTTCTCGGGCATAAGGGGCGGGGCGCAGTCGTGCTTCTGAAGGAGTTGATCTGAATCATCCACAGACGACATTTTTATTCCATGGTCACAAAGGTGGTTTACTCCACCCACCGGTTGCTTCCAGTGGTGTGCTGCTGGGGCCCTCGCCTGCGGGCGCTGTCCGCAAATCTCGCGAGTAAATTCCCGCTCAATTTTTGGCGATGTCCGGAGACGAGGGTTGGTCACGGACCGTAACGATAATCACATCGGTTGTAGGGAGAAGCTATTGCGTTCCTCGGCTATTCTACAGGAGTACACTTAGACTGGATGTGCACATAGGTCCTTTTGGAGATCAAGCCATCTCATGGACTCACTGGTCTACTAGGGCACCTCTCTTTGTTCTCCCCTCACGGTGAGTGAAGCTCTGGTCTTTGTTGTCATTCTCAATACTGTCCATGTATATCAGCAGCAGCTAGCGGGGCTTTCTCTTCTGGTTGGGATTCAACTCGGTTGTGTGTCCAGTCTTGCGCCCCTTCTCGGTCGTTGTCGACAGGTCCCGGGGATGGACTCATTCGGTTGTCAGAAGTAGGATGACAGGAGACGGTCGCTCTGGGTGGCCAGGCTTTCGGCCCGGCCCGTCTGATCAGCTTCGTCGGGTGCTCGTTCGCCTCTGCAGCCATGTGGGCGATGGCGAAGGCAGCCCGGACAGAGGTCCACGTGGAGCTCCTCGAGGTGCCCCTTGGACTGGGGTGGAGGGATCCGTCTGTCCCGTAGATGATCGGGAGCGTCCCGTCCCTGTACTTCTTGACCTTCTCGTTGTAGTAGGCATCCATCTGGCGGGGCTGGATGACGCCCACATCTATCGCCTTCCACTTGTCGACGAGCCAGATGTCGGGCTTCTGGTTCTGGTCGCTGAGGTGGCTGTGGGTCTTGACCTCCAGCTCTGCGTTGAACTTCCCTGAGACGCGGAGGTACAGGCACGTGACGATCGTGTCGTGCCTCGTGGTCCTGGTCCACGCCGTCTTCGGGCAGTTCATGTCGTGGTCGAGGGTCTGCCGTGTGGCAGCCCGGGCAGGTGCCTCTTGTCTGCGCCATGATCGAATCGCCCTTCTCCTTCAGGGCCCTTTCCTCCTCGGTCAGCACGCCGCCGCTCTGTCCGGAAGCTGGTGTGTGGCTGAGGAGGCGGTTGGAGTAGGTCCCTTTCCTTGCAGTGCCTGGCCGTCCACCGACAGCTCCACCGGGTCTCTGGCCCCCTTGTTGACGTCCAGGGAGGCCCATGCCCTCCGCAGCTCGTCGTGGTAGAGCCCCGGCATGAGCAGGCCCGGGCCGCCCTTCTCCTTCGGGTACGCCAGGAAGTCGACCAGGCGATCGCAGCTTCTGTTAGTTATTTTGCTGAAGCCTTGTGCGATGTCTGTCGAGCTCCTCGTAGTTCACCTTGTTCGATGTTATCTCGACCAGGGGGGCGTAGTTCACCATCGGGACCACACAGTGACAGCAGGATGAGCTTCTGGTGGATGGTTATGGGTGCTCTCTCGATCTTCCTCAGGGCAGTCTCGGCACCTGCGATGGCCTTTGGAGCTTGCAGGAGTAGGGGACGCCGGGTGGTTGAGGAAGGTCACCTCCTCGCCCGCCATGGTAGACTTGCATTTGTCGCTCCTGATCGTCAGGTCCATGGCGGCGGCCTCCACCGTGGCCTGCTGTGTTATCGTGCCTGCCGGGTACCCCTCGTCGTGGAACGCCACGATGTCGTCTGCATAGGCAAGGAAGGTGATGCCTCTCTCCTTGAGGCGTCTCAGGAGGCGCTCGGTGGCCATGCAGAAGAGGAGCGTGCTGAGCGGGCCGCCCTGGGGACGCCGCAGACCTCGCACTTCACGTCCCGGCTGTGCCTCGGCTCGAGGAAGTTCCTAATGTAGTCGACCAGGACCTTCGGGACGCCCGCCTCGTTCAGGGCTCTGACGACCTCCGCCCTTGGGAGGGAGTTGAAGGCGTTCTTTGTGTCGAGGGAGACGGGGTGCATCCCCGGCCTGCTGATGAGCTCGTGGGCCCTCCTCACGCCTACCGCGTATGCGTTCTGCTTGAGGGCGATCTGCTCGCATGAGAGGTAGCTGGCATGCCTGATCAGCCCTTCAGCAGGACGCGGTGGAAGATGTTCGTGACCGTCCGCCTATCGCGATCGGGGTATCCGTCGGACTCCTTCGGGATGAGGATCGCCCGGAACTCGAACATGGCCATCACGTCGGACATCGCCTCGGGGTGGGTGGTCAGCTCGTTGTACGCCTGCGTGAGGCATTTCACAGTCGTCGTTCTGCTTCATCGCCTTGAGATGGACCGGCCCGAGGCCAGACACGCCCGAGGCCTTCTTGTTGAGAGTCCCAACAGGGCCTTCCTCATTTCTTCTTCGGTTGCCGGCTCCAGCCCCGTCGAGTTCATCGATGGAGGGTAGTCAAGGCCAACGTAGCCTTCGGGAGGACGCACGGGTGTAGCGCGCTGAGGGCGGCCTTGGCTTTCTCCGGCTTGATGTCTACCATGGGTGTGTCATCAAGGGCACGGAGAGCCTTAGCAACTGCTCCGAAGCTCAGCGCGTTACTCACCCTGTTTGCTATCCGGCGCCTCGCCTTCTCGGGGTCTGGGTCTGCCTTACTCTGGGCCTGCTCTACTGTGTTGCTTGAGTCCTCTGGGGCTTCCCACCAGGGCGTCTAGGCCCCTGATAGCGGGGAGCGCTACCCCAGTCCCGGCCTGTTCGATGCTCGCGATCATGCGTGCCCCCTGGTGGATGAGCATGGCAGCTGTCTGGTTCGGTATGTGAGACGGAATGATCAGTTTGTCGTCGCCTAGTACTCTGTGTCTGTCATCATTTGCTTCTCTCAGGTGCTCGGTTAGTTGCTTGGCGCTCTCGCACGGCAGGCCACAGAGCCAGCGTGTGTGTCCTGCTGAGAGAGTAAATGTCTTCGGAGTGGTCCCCCGAGCAGGAACTCATGGCTTGCTCTCTGGGGCCCGGAGGTACGATCTTGCATTCAGAATGCGGATCGGGTCCTCGCGGGCTCTCCTTCGCCTCAGGTACAGCTGTGTGCACGCCCGCGGAACAACCGAGGAACGCAATAGCTCCTCCCTTCCACTACTGTGGTCATTATCATATTCCATAGCCAACCCTCGTCTCCGGACATCGCCAAAAATTGAGCGGGAATTTACTCGCGAGATTTGCGGACAGCGCCCGCAGGCGAGGGCTCCAGCAGCACACCACTGGAAGCAACCGGTGGGTGGAGTAAACTACTACTAAGGTCCACCACCATACAAGGCCCACACCTGCTGTAGTGATCAGGGTCAACTACTAGAGACAAGAAGATCAGCACCGATTCATCCAGTACGCTCAGGGGCGGGGTGAGCGCATCGTCTGAACAAGCGTTACCCTGCTGCTATAGGGTCTGTGACTTCTCCTGCGAGTCTTAGAAATGGAAGCGATGAAGGAAGAGTGCGTGGTGATACAACCATTGGATAACCTTAGCAGATAGCTCCCTCTGCACTCAGCTGTCCAAGCGCCTCCTCCGTTCGGGTAGAACATGTTAGCTGACGAGTTCTGAGCTGGGCGGCATCTAGCGCTATGTCCGAGGCAGGAGTCGCTGCTGTCTACTGGTCATCGTCGTGGATGGGGTACTGAAGTGCGCAAATAGACAAATTATCCCAAGAGGTTGCAGACAGTCTATAGCTCTTCTGTAAAAGACTGGGGGTTCTGCTGAGGCCGCAACTTGCAGTCTTCGAATTCGTGCATATGGATAAGTTAGGTTTACTGAAGATGCTTTTTGGTAAAACGTAAGAACTACCAGCTTCTTACCATACCTTCACAGATCATCAAGAATATGCATTTTTATATTAATATTGAGTAGAACAATTATAAAGTATTCATAGAGTTATTATACAATAAATTTAGACACAATCTCTTACAGTATTATCCTTTTGCTTTCAAATATGATTTAAGTAATTGCGCACATTTTTTGTTATCTTTCTTAGAAGCATGCATTAAAGGAGTCATACCACTGTTATCAGCAATATTGGCCTCAGGAAGAAGTAGGCGGACAATAGTAGTATCTTCGTACCAAAGGGCAAGGATCAGAGCTGTTGTGCCAGATGCCTGGTCCCGTAGCCCTAGTTCGGGAAGGAGAGCAGGAACACAGTTCCTGTGTCCATTTGCAGCAGCAAGCATTAAAGCCGTAACGCTACTGACTGTCTTATTATGAGTCTCTAAAGAATGACGCTCTTCCTTCCTTTGGAAAGTGCAAAGACCCTTACATTGAAAACACAAGTATTGAAGATTCTGCTCTACTTCAGAAAGGTCCCCAATCTCTGCTGCTATCATTAGTCTTGTTTTCCTGGTGACTGCTTTTCCAACCCTCTTTTGTACAAAGATGCGCTTACGCTTAGTCATTGCATGCTCACAGATAACTGGAATAACAAGAAATTTCTGTGAACAGAGAGCTTTATGTAATAAACTTTCTAAGTTGTTCTGTCCTGCACTGACCAATTGATACTCTGCTTTCCTTTTCAATACAAGGTCGGTTAGCTCTGGATCATTGAGGTCAACACTCATTTCTAAAGTGATATATTTGGCCAGTATAGTCAGGTCCACGTTTGCTCGAAGAGCCCCCCACAATACCATAAATTCTCCCCCGTGTACGCTCCAAATACATTTGACAAGAGCTGCAGATAGCACAAATGGCTGCTTGAGTAGTCTCACCGCATCGCCTATACGGTCTAAAGCTAAAAGTTCGTCAACCCGATACGCAACAGTTAAATGCTCTTCATATTTAGAAAGAAACCGTGCACACGCCTTGTGGCCTTTTTCCACTGCAATATCATATGCTAATTGACCGAGAGTATTAGTAATTCTCGCCTCAGTGGCGCATAGCAAGCTAACGCAGTCTAAATGTCCATTCATGGACGCGTACATCAGAGCAGTCCAGCCAGTTGGAGATACCATCCCTTGCTCATACTGCAATAGGTCCTTTACGCACCTGTAGCTTCCCGCACCTGCGGCTATCATAAGGGCAGTTTCACCTCTAGCAGACATTAAAAGAACCTCATTCAAGTGAGCTCTTAAAAGCTCTGGATCTCCGTGTCTTGCCTCCTTCATCAAACAGGACTCAGTATCAATCGGAAGATACCCTTTTACAACCGGGCTCCGCAAGAGACGGGCGCACTCATAGCGGTTAAGCTTCTCTGCTAACTCTAGCGGCGTGGATCCATCAGGTGTCGTTATAGATCGTTCATACCGTAGAAGAGGTGGTATACAAAGGTAGTTGTTATGCAGAATAGCAGCATAAAGAGCTGTGCTACCATCCTCTGCCACTACTCCTCCTTCTTCTGAAGCAAGCTGACACACTGTTGCAACGTCATTTTGTATAGCGGCAAACATTAAAGCTGTGTATCCATAGCTATTAACGCGTGCAACACGGTGTACTCTGAGCTGCAGTGCATATGGTTCTAATATCATGGTGCATCTGTTGTGCCCCAGCTTCACGGCAATATCATAGGCGCTCATATGATTAGTGTTTATCATAGCAACTTCTTCTATAAGCAGATGAATCACTTGATAGCAATCTTGCTCGACCGCATGCATAAGAGCTGTCATCCCTCTGTCATCCACCAGACCACACTCGGCCGTACAAAGAAGTTGGACAGATGTAGCATCACTTCGAAGCACGGCATACATTAGCGCCGATAGTCCGTGAACATCTTGCAAGCCAGCTTCACACTGTGCCAATAGAGAGACACATTCATGTTTTCCCCCTTTCGTGGCTGCCATTAGAGCAGTACCACCGTCTATATCTTGTTGTCTGGAGCACCTACCGATATAGATAGCTACTAAATCGGTACGTCCTACGGTAGCAGCCTCTATGTACCGGCGGAATGCGCTATCGGCTAAGTTGTGAGACCAAGCGTCTGACTTAGATCGTGACCGCTTATCGTTTATATCGACTTCGTTAAAATAGTCAGATTCATTAGGTGCGTTTTTATAGCAAGATATTGAATGCCGTCGTACTGCCACTTCATCTTCCAGTTGCCAATAATCACTTGAAATGCTGCCAGCGTAATCATCAGCATCAAAAATATCATGAAAACCTGGTGTACCATGGATAGCAGTAACTAAATGATCCTCTCTCGGCCTTTCTACGCATAAGTATTCATTGGGAAGAATGAGAAAGTTGTCTTCATCCGAAATCAGACTAGTATTCATAGAAACTACTGAATGCTCTGAAGCATTAATAATGGAGACAACTTGCGGGATATTTTGGACAGCTTCCAGACTCATCGCAAGCGTCTGACAGTCAGCCCGCGATGCAGGATCTTCTACTAGGCAAGCGCAGAGTATCTTTCGAACAAGACAAAGAACATCACAATGCATAGCGCATCGGTCAGGGAACACGGTATCGACCATTGCGTCAGCTATACCGTCTGATCCCTCTACGAGAGAATAAAGGTCCGACACTAACATACCAACAGACCATGTAAGGACTTTCTCCAGAGTGTCGATAGATAGCTCTGTGCCACGGTCTAACAGCAAAAAATGTATTTCTGGTGGTGCATATCTTTTCCATTGCTCTTGCTCAAGCAACCTATTAGAAAACCCCAAGTCGGCATCGAGTGTAGCTATGCATGGATTCGGGAAAAGTATGGTATCATCATGCAAAATAAACAATGTACTGGGCAATAAGATTGCATTACAGAGAAGATCCTGGGTAACGGTAACGTTGCGTTGTAAATAATAGTCTAGAAGTTCAACTGTACCATGCACTAAGTCAGAAATCAACCTCACAGCCCTCTCAACAGAAATTACATCCTCAACTAGCAAGCATTCAAACGTTTTGTTTGTAGACAGATACAGCTCTATCAGGATCCTGGATTTGTCTGGAGCTTCCTGAAGAGAGTATATCTGTGTAAGATACCGACTTGGGTAGCGCAGATTGGCCTTGACTCTAGCTGTCATAACAGTTCGTCTGGTCTGAGGAAGCTGTCTGAAATCCAAAATTCGCAGCATCACTAGCACCTCATCGACTTTCCTGATGGCAAACACGCCCCGAAGAAGATCCTCCTCCTCATCGGAAGTGTATCTCAAAACTTTATGGGTAGCTTCGAGACAAAATTCATGCATTCTACCGGCATTAGAAATTGCAACAAGGCTTAAATATTTAATTCTTATTGCACATATTTATTGCCAGTTTAAATTAAATTCATAAGTCAAACAAACTAACACTACAAGGCTTATCTAAAAAACGCTATGAGCGAGAGGGACCAACAACGCGTAAAAAATGCAATCGACGCCCTCAGACGCAAGCCTGAAAATAAGCAGTGCGCTGACTGCAAGTCTCTTAGTGTGCCGTACATTAATCTCACATGCGGAACATTTGTGTGTGCGCGTTGTGCAGGGATTCATCGCGAGTTTGATCACAGGGTCAAATCGGTGTCTAATAGCGTCTTTAAGTTAGATGAGATTCAGGCCCTGGGCGGCAACGATCTCGACAAGCGTACCTATTTACCTTACTGGAGCGAACAAGTCTTCAAGCTCCCTGAGCCTGGCAGTGAAGATAATGGGCGAGTACGTGACTTTATCAGGATGAAGTACGTTGAGAAGAGGTTCTGCCACGAACAGCCACAGCAAGAGGTCCCACAGGTCCCGGCATTTGCAGGGGCACCTGGTGTCACCCAGCAGATAACCCCAGACGTGACTCCCCCACTACCCCAGTCTGTCTCTGCTTTCGGTATGCCTCAGATGGGCATGGGGATGAAGCCGATGGGTATGCCAGCTTTCGCCAGGCCGTCCGGTATGGTACAGCAGCCCACGATGGGCATGGTGCAACAACCGCCAGCACAGCAATTCTCTGGGGCAGTGCAACCAGGGGTGATGCAGCAGACTGCTCCGGCCATGTTTACCGCTCCGGCGGTTTCTACCATGCCAGCACCTGTGGCTTCTGCTATGCCCGTGATGCCTGCCGCGGCTCCAATGCCCTCGCAACCGGCGTCCATGGCGCAGTTTTCGGGTGCTGTGGGCACTATTCCGGGGGTTCCTGGTCCCCAACCTGTCCTTAATGCACCCAGTATGGCTCCAGTGCCTTCTATTCCAGCAGTGCCTATGCAACCGTCTGCACCGATGATTCCAGGCGGAACCTCCGCGCCGGCTCCTCAGGCAGTACCACAGACAGAAATGATGAGACCCGGCCTCGACCTCTTTAGTAACGCTATCTCCGTTCCATCGCAACCTCCTGTGGTGCCCACAACGCCTGCGCAGCCAGCTATTATTCCAGGAATTATGTCTGCACCTCCTCAAGTTCCGGTTACGATGCCAACAGCAGTCCCGCTAACGGCACCTCCGCTAGTCCCAGCGCCAACGCCAACGCCAGTGCCAATGTCAGCTCCTGTGCCTGCACCTGCGCCTGCACCAAAGACAACCAACTTTAATTCTCTTCTGGACTTTTGAGCAGCGGCTATGCGTCACTGTGGCTGCTTGGCTTATAGTAAATAGCTTTAGCGCTTACTTTGCTCTTTCTGTAAGATTAAAAATTCAATGGAGGACGAGCAGAAGAGCGCTGCTGAGCGGCTAGTAAGTCTTGCAGATACGCTAACCATTTCGCTTAATACATTTGTAACGAAGAATTTGGACGCCATCTCCAACATGGGGTCTACCTTTATATCGTTTGTTGACGAGACTCTACATCTATTAAAGAAGTCCAAAGATGACTACGAAGAGCGGCTAAAACAGGAGCTCGAAGTGGAGAAGCTTTCCACTTCTGCGTCGGAAGAGGAACAGAAGCTGAATGCACAACTTGCACGCGCTCGAACCCAACTCGACACCCTTAAACAACAATACTCTATAATGCAGGAGGAGTACAGAAAGGCACTTGCAGACTTTGAGGAAGAGAGGCGAGTAGCATTTGAGGCACTTCCGGCCACACAGAAAGCCCATGTTAAAGAGGATCTGGAGTGGCGTCTACGAAACTATGAAAGCATGCTTAGAATGAAGATAGAGCAGCGGGACGAGAACAGCATTATTGTTATCTTTTGGGGCCTTAATCCAGCCGACGAGTCTCAGCAGTATTCCTTTCGGCTCATAACAAGGGAGGACGGAGAGATTATAATAGAGGATCCTACAATAGAAATAGCTAACCTGGACCTCTTCCTATCAGATGCAAAGATCACTGGTAATATCCCCCTATTAATCAGACGGATCCGGCTTTCATTTTTGCAGCTTGCTGAATGTGAAGATTCAGAATCTGTGACCCAGGATTGATCTCTTTTTGGGGACCCTTGAAAGCATGCAACTGCTTGCAGACATGTACTTGCGTTTAAAAGGGTTAGGAACGATGTTCGGATAGTGTATGAAATTGAAAAATGCTATCATTGGGGCCCTCGCCCACTATATTGCCCGTATCCGTTGACATTCGCGTTCAGCAGCTCCCTGGTGTTGTTCTGCACATGCTTCTAGACACAGGAAGCACGAACTCAAGCCTTTTTCTGGACGCTATCGATATTCTTGGCACTCAAGTAACCCTTAAGCTGTGGCCTGTTGTGCCTACAGAACAAATTGAGCCATTGTTTACTCTTCCTATATCTGCAAGTGGTAAAGTGGTAACAAAGTATGGTACTTCTGTACGTCCCTACGTGCGCCTTGACGTCAGCTTGGTTAATCATAATGCCCAAATTCCTTCAAAAAAACTCCAAGTGTCTCTACAAACCGGTCGTTCCTTTGGCAAGTACAACGGAATCCTGGGACTGGATTATATGGCAGGTGTTCCCGATCTCGTCTTAGATTTGGTGGCTCCTTGTACTTCGGAAAGCGATTTTAAGATCCAAAGCAGGGTATAAAATAAATGCTGTTAGTTGATTTGGCTTCTAAAGCATGTCGAGACCCCACCAACTACGCTGAGGAGGTGCAGAAACAGCTGCTGGTTCTCAGAAGCCAGTTGGAGCTCATTCAGAGCAGCTCCAGTCTGACAAGTGAGGAGGAATTCGTTGACCTCTTGAACTTCACTGCGCGCCTTTCAGGTATTGCCCAGTACAATGCAATATATTCTTCGCTAATACCCATCTTGATTACATTTACAGAATCGTCTGCACTCCTTTTGTCACCCCCTTTGCGTCAAACCCTTGTCCAAACCCTTATTCTCTTTGTCAAACGCGGCGTCCTAAGCCTAACAGATACTAATCTCCTAAGCCTTTACTGCGGACTCTTGAGGATTCACGATAAGCCAATTCGCCAGCTAGTCTATAGCCATCTACTGAATGCTTGCATAAAGCTGTTCAAGGCCGGTAAAACAGGGGCTTCACAGAAGATTCTTTCGTTCTTTAACATGAAGATGAGGGACGGAAACGCGCTTCTTGCATTTAAGTTAACACAGCTATGCTGTGACCTGTACTCTAAGCACGCGTGGGAGAATGAAAGGACGATGTCTGTCATTCTTGATAGCCTTCTAAACTCCAATGATAAGCGCATATCATTGTTAGTCTTGCATTTTCTCCTTTTAGAAAACACAGCTGCAGCCAAGGACTCAGACGAGGAAGAAGATGATCAGGGAGTAACCAAGGACGAGAAGAAAGAGGCACTCAAGGCGAAAATAAGACACCTGCGTGCTGTTTCTAGCTTCGCTGGGAACCAGACGAAAACGCACAAAACTCTTGCCAAAGCTCAAAAGTCTCTGAAGAATCTAATGGATGAAAACAACGAAGAAAAAGAACTGACGTATGCAGGATCAAGGCATCCATATGATAACATTCGCGATCCATATGTGTTCATAGAAAAACTGTGCCATAAGTACTTGGGCAGGAACACTTCGTTTCAACTAAAGTTATTGACATTTGAGGTTACATCCAAGATAATAGCGCACCACTCATTAGAGATTCAGAATTATTACCGCTACTACATGAAGTACCTTAAGCCGCAGCAAAAGGATGTCATCAAAATTCTGGAGTACCTGGTCTCGTCCGTTCATCCTGCCATTTTTGACGAGGAAGTTTTTGCCGTTATGAAGGTCATAGCCCATGAGTTTATACACTCTGGGTCCACCGACTATATAATGACAGTTGGTCTCAATGCTATTGCAGAGATGGCAAAGCGCAATCCAAACGCGCTCATCGCAAACCCCTCTGCATGCGAGTTACTTAATGAATTGGCAAGTTATTCTAAGGAGGCAGTCGTCGCGCGGTCATACCAAAACAGCAAATGCAAGACAACGAGCAAAACTCGTAGGGGTGTTATGACTGCTGCAAGGTGTCTACTACAATTTTATAGAGAGCAGGCGCCCGACAAGCTTGAGGCGAGATTCCAGAATAGGGATAGTGCACAAGTCGTTCGCCAGCTCAAGGCTATCGAGAGGTTGGCCCAAAAGGGCCAGGTAACTGAGGATGAAGGAGAAGAAGACGACGGAGATGATCATGGTGCCGAGGAAATGGAAGAGCTTGAAGAATTAGAAGAGCTGGAAGATTTGGAAGAACTAGAAGAGTTTGAAGAGCTGGAGGATATTGAAGAGTTTGAGGAGACTAGTTCCAGAGACAAGACAGGTACTACTCAACTCATGGGAAACCAGAAAGCGGTTCCCAAGTTCGGCGTTCCTTTGTCGAACAAAAAGATTGATTCGTCGGATTTCTCCAGGAGAAACATTGCAAAACTCCTAAAAGAAACCTACTCTGATGACGAAGGAGAAGAGGTAGCACCATCGAAACACCAGCTGAAGAAGATGAAACTGGAGCGGAACAAGATGGGTCACATTCTGGTAAATTGCAAGAAAAGAGGCTTACCAATACCAGAGTGCTACTTTACGAGAATTAATGAGCTCTTTGGGCCAATAGATGAATATGGCAACCCGAAGGAGCAAGATTCTGAGGAGGAAGAAGACGAAGGACAAAATATTGATGGTGACGCAATCGAGCCCGAATCAGGTGAGCCCGGAAAGTGCATACGAATCATTAGAGGAAAGAGAGGAAAGAAGAGGGCCATTCTCGTTGATGCAGAGTCAGCAGATAGATCTGAGGCCGACTCTAGTGCTGGAGAGAACGATTCTAATGTTCCGTTACAGTCTCGCAGACTTCTAACAGATGAGGAGCTAGCGCGGATAAGCGAATACGTCACGCCTGCACGCATGAACGAAGTCGATCTGGAGAGCTTTTTGCCCAGAAAGAAGCTCACCCGCGCTGAGAAGACCGTTTTAGCTCATTCTGGTAGAAGTGCCAATGATCACAAAGGAAGTAGGTGGGCAGAGAGTATTGCGCGTAAGCTAGAGTCCAACAAGTCTCTTTCCAACATACAAAAGCAAAAGACGACAAAGAATATGCTTATGCTCTTGCACAGTCAGCGGGTCCGTAATAAGAGAGCTCGTAGTGGAGCCGAAAAGGATCGGATTGCTCGCTCACACACGCGTAATCAGAAGTTAGGAATATCTAAGAAAGCGACTGCTCGACGAAACTAGCCATTCATGCTTTAGAAAGCGACGAAGGAGACCGGTGGATCAACCTGTTTTCATCGTTTGCTTTCATTTCGGTAGAATTAAAATTCAGAATTTAAAATTCAAAAAATATTTCAACCTGCCTGGCCAGAAAAAAAGTTCAGAGGACGTAGCAGATGGAGGGAGACATGCCTATAAACCTGCCCCAGGAGACCCTGGAGGAATTCAAAGAGGCCTTCAACCTTTTCGACAGAAACGGAGACGGGAACATCACCACAGCCGAGCTGGGAACGGTGATGCGCTCCCTCGGGCAGAACCCCACGGAGGCAGATCTCGCCGATATGATCAATTCCATCGACACGGACGGCAACGGCGTGATCAGTTTCGTGGAGTTTGTTCGGCTCATGGTCACGAAGTCACGCAACACAGACTCTGAGGAGGAGCTCAGGGAGGCCTTCCGCGTCTTCGATAGGAACGGTGACGGGTACGTCAATGCGGCGGAGCTGAGGCACGTCCTGACCCACATCGGAGAGAAGCTTGACGAGGACGAGGTTGACGATCTCCTCCGTGAGGCCGACATAGACGGCGAGGGCCAGATCAAGTACGCAGACTTCGTAAAGATACTCTGCAGGAGGTAAATTAGACGGGGACTCATGGCACCCACGCGTGTGTTTGTGCGTTTACTCGCCCTCTGGCCACCGGCAGCCAGGAGGATTTACTTTGCAAAGCCGCAGCGGCCGCAGTGGCATCGATCCGCGTGCCTGGCAATGCGGATTCCCGGTCCGCAGTTGGGGCAGTACTCGCGCGTGGGCTCTGCGGTATCCCCCTTGATCGTGTAGTACTTCAAACAGGCAAGCCTGACCTTCTTGGGCTCGTGCTTGATCTTCTTGGGGGTCTTGTGCGCCTTCTTCTTGCGCTTTTTGTCTTTACCGGCGCCATCAGCAGGGACAAACGCGTCGATAACCATCTTATCATTGAGCTCAGCCGCCTCCGAGAGGACACGACCCTGCGTGTGGAGAGAAAAGGCCATGCCAGAGCTAGAGAGCAGGTTCGAAAGCTGGGATGCGCGTGCGCCAGCCGGAAGCTCAAAGGGTAACGTCTGATCCTGGAGTCGGACTATCACCAGCATTTCAATTTCATTATCATTTTTTGATTCTAAAAAATCAAAAAAATGGAAGCCGGGATTTTTTCACTGGGGATAGGAATATGTCTTTCGAATCTGATCGGCAGACCGTAGCGTCCTCGAAGACCCTTGCGCGGACTGTCGCATCGCTGGAGAAGTGTGGCTTCTATGACAGAGACCCAACTGTGGAGCCTCTTTATTGGACCTTTGCTTCCTCCTATGACTCCCTGAAAACAGGGATGTGGGCTGCGCTCACCGGAGTTCAAGAAAGGAGGATCCCAAAGGAGGATGCATACCAGAGCATATCCCAACAGATGAAGGGGCTAATTCACTCTCTGGTATCAATCTTCCAAGTCAAGGAAAGCAAAATTCTAGAGCTTAGCATTCAGCTGGCTAACTATACGGAAAAGGAACACTCAAGGGAAGCTGCGAAGGAGATACAGCAGGCCGAGGAAGGACAAGCCGCAATCCGTGAGGCTGCAAGGCTGAAGGAGCGACTTGCTCAGTTGATCCAGGAGTTTAACGAGGAGCGCACTACATGGAGGAATGAGCTCAACACCCTAATAGCAGGTTGGAGGACGGTATATTCAGACTTGGAGCAGCATCTCTTGGCCTTGCACGATTGACGTCTCTATTGTGCCATCCCCGGTCAGGAATTGCGCTATGACACTGTACGTCAGCTCGTATGTCTCAATATCGTAGCTGTTGTGGTCTCCCCCGGCAATGAGCAAAAGACTGAAGTTATCTGCTCTAAATATGCAGTGATTGTCCATCGTGTCTAAAGGGTGTGCTTTTTTAATGAAGGACTCAAAAGATTTAAGATATGAAGGGTGATTGTGCTTGATTACGTTGCGAGCCATTATAATCGCGTTATGCACGGGAACAATGTTATCGCAAGCACCATGAATGATGAGACACGGAAATGACCAATTCCCGACTTTATCATAATTGCGCAGGCAATCGCAGATTACATTTATCTTCCGTTTCCGAAGCGTTTGGAGTGCAGATGCCACACCAGATTGGAGTATAATGCCTGCCAGCACGTCTCTTTTCCTATCTTCTTGATATGCTTTCTTGTTGGCGTAGAGATTTGCAATATGAACGGTAGTCACGCTTCCAATGGACCTTCCCATGAAGATTAGCTTATATTCTGGATACGTTTCGCGCACGTACCGATAAACTGCTTCTATGTCCCTCCTCGCCGTCTTTTCGCCACTCTTCCCTTCCGATGCTCCATAACCTTCATAATCATAGAGGAGGACGGGCATCCCGCTGAGGTCCGCCAACATGAACCCGTAAGCGGAATTGTGCATCATGGTTTCTGCGTTCCCATGGGAATAAATTATGAGACGGTCATTGCTAGCGGCATCTTCGGAGGGTCGCTCGGAAGTGCTTTCGAAGAGGGCCTTTCTTATTGTCATGATGGAGTAGACCATCTGCTCGGGTAGACTTTGCAAGACATCGCTCTGATTAGGATAGCAAATCATGGCGCAGATGGAAGTGTTGTGCTTGACGGGTATCCAGATGTACCGCTTGTCATCTTTGGTGATTTTCTGTCGGGGTAAATATTTCGATGGATATGCGATTTTATCGACAATACAGCCCATGATAAAGCCCTCCCTTGAAGTATGATCTTGTGACAATGGTCAAGAAAGGGGCGAAGCCAGTCTTCCAGCTCTCTTTCAATTTTTTGGTCGCAAGCAAAATATCTTCCTCCAGACACGTGGCAAAAATCGCCGAACATAGCCATAAGTGATTTACACAGGGAAAAGCAACTAGAAGACATCGGCCTTCAAAACTTATCGATCTGGGAGACGTGGTTAATGATGACTTCTTTACTGGTCTCCTGAATCTCGCCAGCAAGAAAGACCTCGTCGCAAATAAGGTTCACCTTATGGAAGTCAAAGATCAGATTGAGCTCGCAGACAGTTTCGAAGTAGGTATTGAGTGTTTCGACAAACAAGTGTATTGCCTCCAGCATGGCAAGCTCATTATCGTTGAGATCACAGCAGATGGTGAAGTAGAGGCCAGCGTAGCGCCTGTAGATTATCTTGTGAGAGCGAAACTCAATGAAGTTGGTCTGTTTGACATTACGGCCTATGACTAAACGGTGGACCTCCTTTTCAAGCTGGTGACGCTGATCTGCATCGTAGTGAACAAAGTACTTGGCAAGCCGGGTGCGTCCGAGCTTGTTCTGGATTAGAAGAAAGCGGATCATTTCTTTTTTGGTTAATGGGGACACGAATATTTACATTTGTGCCAGCGCAGGGAAGTTGCAGGGAACATCAGCCAAGAAAAAACTAGAGGAAGGGGAAAATGCAGAACCTTTTCTTCACCTCGGGGAACTGAGTCGCAAGTCGCGCACGCTTTTGACGAGCCCAGATATACATCTGGACGGCCCCACAAACATTGAAGACAGCACACACCCAGGAACGGGTAAACATGGCGAAGGACATCCATGAGAGGATCTCTGTGGTATAATTTGGACATGTTATCCTGTCAAAAAGGAGTCCACGGGGCAGAAAGTGTTCGCGAGAGCCAGGGGGTCGTAAATATCGCAGCTTGAGGTGGCAGTACAGATTACAAAGCTCTGAGACGAAAAAGAGCGCTGCAGGCATGATACTAACCTCATAAAGAAGATGGTTGGAAATGGACTTACTAAGTTGAAGAATGTGAGTATAATCTTTGGTGTCTTGAAAAACACGCAAAAGATCTTCCCATTCCCCAACTTTCTCCCTGATACTCATATTTATTCGAACGTTGCTCTGCAAGATTGTCCATGATATTGCAGACGCAAACCCCCAATAGTAGACACAATTTCTTATCAGATTGCGCAGCGGCATTGTCTTATTCGAAAAGGTGTGCACAAAAAGTGTCTCAAAGAGCCTCTTCACATAATGAAAAACCCACATCACAGTAGCCAGATTTGTAAAGGAGGTCTTCATCTTCGTGTTCATGGCCACGACAACCCATATGACCAGGGGACCAATGTACTCCAGCAAAAACACGCCTCGGTAGCTGAACTGGGGTCCAATGTCCTTGACGCCAAGTTGAAGAATTGTTGATTCTGTGGGTTCTTCCTCAAGATAATCTGAAAGAAGCTTTGTGGTGCTCTCAGGATCAATGTATACCTTTCGTTGACGTGTAGCTCGCCCAGTTTTCTGAGATTCATCAGTTGCGGCATCGCTAGACGATCCTTTGGGTATACAAAAGAAACGCGTTCTGGAGGCCTTCAGGCCCATCTTTTGACAAAGATCTAGGTGGAGTTTAGAACTTCCTGTGTTAGTTGGAAACTCAAACTCCTTCGTTGCACCAGAACAGAGCAAGGAAATCTTCATTATTTTTCAACAAGGGGTCTACAAAATGTCAGAGAGTACGCTGTAGTAGCTACAGTTACTGTCTCGATCAAGTGTGGGAACTATATATGTCTTGATCTTAAGGATGCTCTTCTTCTCGGCAAATCCTCTTAGATCGATAAGCTCTAAAGACTGCTCAATAACGGTCATTAGGTTAAACGGGGGATTATCTGCACTAGTAGGCAATGCTGTGGAGGGGTTGACTACTACATTATGGTACTGGAAGCTTCTCCTTCGCAGATCTTTAATACTAAATCCGGTAACGACCTCATCGACAATATGGACCTCTGTGACGCAATCGTAGAGATACACTTCATGTCCTGTAGTGGTGGTAGTAGGGAGAACTAATAAGATGACGTCCTTGACAGAGCGCATCAAGAGGTAACAAAGAATAGGCGGCACACCATAAACTACGCTGTTGATAGATGGAAGATATCCTACAAATGTGCTATTCTCAAATCTCTTGCGCATGTTATTTATCCAATAAGCGCACATGGCTATTCCCGTGCAGGTGGACTCGAAGACATATGGAGTGTATGGAAGATTAGCAATAATGGAAGAGAGGAGGGCGACACGGAAAGCAGGAAGGATGCTCCAGTTGGTTGCATCTGCATCTGCATGCACAGACAATTTCAAAGTTTCACTGGGGCACGAAGTTGTTCTGCAGAGTGGAAAGCCAGATTTAAGCGCAAGCACCAAATTGTTGTCGCTGCTGTCCACAGTGTTTGATTGAAGAAGTGTGATGCGATATCTAGGAGACGTCTCTAATGGCTGCTGCCTACCCCAAATGAAGGCAATGTTTGAGGATTGAGAGAGGGTGATTAATGCAGAGGAATTAAGTGGTGCATGTAAGAAATCTTCGGAGGTGTGGTAGTCCAGCTTGGGGTTGGTGAGGGGACTTGGAAACAGTGAGCATGCAAAGTAATCTTTGTTAGGGTCAAAAATATAGCTACCTGACTTGCTATAACAGTCCCCTTCATAATCTACAGCAATGGGCCTACAAGTCTCATAGAACTTGTCAATTACCAACTGTATCATCTGGGCCCTTATTGCAGAATCGTGAGTCGTCAGCGCTAATTCTGAAACAATGTGATTAAAGATGGGAACTCCATTTATTGTCTTTATCTGAGGCTTGATGTGAAATAGTCTCTCAAATGCATAATCCTCAGGGAGCTCAATATATATGTGTTTAAGATTGGCAAGAAACTGAGGCGTTTCCAAACATAGCAATTCAAAAGCAGAGATATCTGAGGCCAAAAACACAACAGTGTCCACAACAAGCGGCTCTGTCTCTTTCTCTACACATCCTTTAATGGTATCTTTCAAGTCTGAAAAAGTTAGCGTGAGATACTTTCTTCCCAAAACAGGATCGAATATGATAACTTGTTCAAGTCTTGAACAACCGTCCCAATGACGCATTGTGTCCAGAGCTTCTTCGTTAGATCGAAAGTTATGATCTGTTCCTATCATTCTCACGGATTTAAGACGCTTAAATACATGTATGGATAAAAACTGTGAGATCTTCTCTGCCGTAAGACGGGGATTAAAACTAAAATCAATATGCTCTACGTCTGCATATATCTCTCCAAGGCAAGCAAATTCAAATGAGAGGGAAACACGGTTTCCATGCGATAGGTCAAGCGCTGATACTTTTCCGTCCACGATTGAAAAGATGGAAAGGTCATCAACGGAAAGGGGATGGGAGGAGATCGTACTAGTGCCTGTGCCTAGTTCGCATGGGAGGTACTTCTCTGGAGACAATCTAGAAATAAGGCTCTGAGGCATGGCTTTAGTGGTGAAGCCATACATGTCCTTTGATGCGATTGTGAAGAGCCGCATACTAGTCCCCACTGTGGACAACAAGGCAGAATTCTTTAGTACAGTCTTTTCGAATGGCTGCGCCAAAAGGTCTTGAGATGTGGTGGTAAAAATCGAGTGACAGACAGCATAGCATGCTGTCAGTACGTCAGTTTCGGTTCGCTGCGCCATCAGAATTGCCTCTATTTGCTCTTCAAACAGACCCCAGACCCTAAACATCTGCTTCAGACCCTCGATATCCATTTAAACAAAAAGAAATCGTTATGTTCTTGAGGATCGTCTTCTCTCAGTAGCCATGGAGTCTGGCTGTATGCCCTAGTAGAGCAGGTTCTAATGAGTAGAGAATGCAGATCAATTCCCTGCATCGGATCCTCCTACTCGATCTTCCTTAATCGTCACCAGACACTCTGAAGTAGTATCTATGCTTACACTGTCGCTACCATCACAAGAAGGATCTTTATAACACTTTCACTCCTACTGTAGAGACAGCTCTCAGATATGCGTATTCGTTTGTACCGTGCAGTTGCTCTGTAAAGATTCTGCAGACATTCCCCATGAATTTTGTCTATACAGCTCAGTATTCTGGACCTCAATCATCTATTTTATAGCTGTTTACTTACTGTCCGTCATGGCAATCTTTTGCTTACTATGATACAGCGTCTATCGGACAGATCTTTTAGAATTGACAGTGCAACGGTGCTGATTCACGTATCATCACCATATGTAATTGTTAGCCAAAGTATAGCTACTCATGCTATCGCAGCTGCCTCTGCCACTGGGTCCACATGAACCATCTTAAAAGAAAAGTCAATACCACTTATAGAGTTTACTATGCTTTTTATTTGCCTACATACTTTGGTAGCATTACACTGCCTAATGCTCAACGTCAGGAGGTTCATGAATCTAGCATTTATATATTCATTATGGCTACCTTTTGTTAAACAATCTTATCAAAGGCATTTTATTATAGTTACACTAAAGTAATTTATTGCCAGCTACATTATCGGATGGTACTGACGTATCAGTTCTCTCAGCTTTTGTTGTTACTTGTGATTGTAGTAAGGTGGTGTGTGCGAAGCAATCCTAAATATCGGACTTTAGGATTGTGCTATGATTTATAAGAGCTTCTTCACTTATCAATTGTTGTGATCTAGAACTCAAGTTAGCGAGGCTTTTTTACGATAAGTACTTAAGAACCAGTAGGAAAAATGTTTACTCAATCGTTTCAATACGTTGTGAGTTAGTCTTAGTAGCTTCAAAAGAATGTCCTGGCTATGGAAATTGTACAGCTGAAGATATTTGCTTAGATATTAAACATTATAGTATCATTAAAGAGCTTTACACAAAGTGCGCTGCCACGCACGTCCCAATCGACGGGGTGTGCCAGGGGAACACCTACCTCTACAGAGGCGACTGCTACGCCACGTGCCCTCAGGGAACGCCAAACTCTGAGACTAACACGTGTGACGGAGTCTCGGCAATACGTGTACAGAGTGTAACGACGATTTGTTCTAGATGATGATAACAAGTGCGTGTCTTTTAGTGTTAACAGAAGCGTGCTTCTACTGGTACTATTACAGGTATTTCTGTGGCTGTGATCGTTGTTGCAAGTGGTCTTGTAGAGTTCATTTGCAGAGGGAAGGCGTGACTTAGGAGTAAACGCGTCATTGGTGGATTCTATTGGTAGTTGTTTCCATCTGTGCGGCCGAGCCTCCACCTGAGGCCATCTCTATCAAAGGCCCATTGCCTCTGCATAGCTTCTGGGCACCACCGGACCACGACACCCTGCTCTGCCTACGCCCGGTTCACAGGCAGGTACGGTAGCCATGCAGTCAATCTTCTTGCTGTGCCGTGCACGTCAGCGGGTATAAAAGGCTGGTAGTGATCGGCTGCCTCACCTACAGGTAAAAGAGAGGAGGACCATGCCATCACGCAATAGCAGCACCCTCACTCAGCACAGCCTGCAGAGGGTCACGTGTCAGGCCCCTCTACAGAGACTGTTGAGTGGGTGCAGGGAAGGCCTCAGACGACGATTCGCTGGATGTGCCGTGCCTCTGGAAGGAGTGAAGATCCTCCCGACACTGGATCTGCACTGATGAGTCTCGAACGGTCATTGCGGAGGCCAGCACTCTGCTGACTGGACATCTTCTGGGCTCGATGCTTCAAGCATTGAGGGCCTTGTGGACAATGAGGCACCGGTGGGCAGAAAGACACAGCCCCGTGGCCACGATCCCTTCCAGGAAAGAAGACCTGGATAGCCTGTGCTGGCAAATGATGCCTTCTGGCGAGCTGGTGCTCCCAGACATCCAGCGGACCTTGGAGTGCTATCCTCATAGCACCCTACTTATCAGAGGTGTTAGTGCTGGCCCTTGGCGCGTGACTTGTCCAGGTCATAGAATGGACAACTACTTGAAGCCATGCAACTCCCTAAGAGCTTGCCCACAGGTGCCCACTCACGACCCGAAATGGTGTTCATGAAGCTGAAGAGCCCTTGGTGAGATACATTATGTGCTAGACGCGTTCGTCCAGTGCGTCTCCACTGAGGAACCCTCTGCACCGTAGACCTTGCGGGAGCGGTAGGGCATCAACATGTCGATGCTGTAGCGTAAGTAGTCTCTTTAACAATGAATACAAGCAGAATAGAATGACGTCTTTTGTTGTGGCGCCTAGACACAGACTGCCTAGGCTGTCGTGTAACCAGGCAATTCGTGTAAGTAGAGTGAGTTTTTCTACAAACAACGCGCCCATGCTCTTCTTCCGGGGATCGTGAGGGAGGCTGATTCAATAACCTTGTTCCTGAAACTGGTTTCCCAACAGCCTGCTTACTTCATTGCATGTAAATTCTATAGGTATTTGATAAAGAATAACACTCGGCATGTCACGATCTTTATCAGTTCTGCTATTGGTTTGTCTTCTGGCAGAGTTCTTCTCTGAGGAGGCACCTATATATCGCAATGGGTTTGGATACTTCTGCGAAGGTAAAATACCAAATTGCCTTCCAAATAGTTGCATATTGGGTGTAACCTCGCGATTTCTTTGTACAGAATGCGAGTCTGGATACGTACCGATTGATGGCAAGTGTGTTCTGGCTGGAGATTCCAAGGCTACTCGGTCTGGCTGTGCTAAATCTCAAACAGGCGGATGGTGCACTAAGTGCGGCGATGACCACTTTGTTTTTTATGGTGGGTGCTATAATTTATCTCAAGACTGGACAAAGTTCATTTGTGAACGAGCAGAAAAGGGGATCTGTGTAGAATGTGCAAAAACAAACGAAACGCAGCCATCTGTAGCCTTCACCAATCCCAGCACTAGCACTCCCGAGCGATGCATCTCATGCGGAGACACTGTGGGCTTTGGTGGATATAGTGGGATATATGGGTGTCTAGTTTGTAACTCTTCAAGGATAAAGCAAGAAGTGGTCCCAAATTGCTACCAATGTTCAGACCACAAAAATACATGCTCGTATGATTATCGATGTAAGCACATCACTGAAGGTGCAAGCAATGGTCTTTGTGGATACTGTCCCGAAACACACATTTGGAGCTTTTATGCTTGTTATGCCAGAGATACTCCAATAAGCAACAGCATCTGTCTACCGGAGAATATCATGGAGATGTCTGGGCAATCCCTATGCTCTCGCTGCACCAACCCATCAGAGATTCCTCTGAATGGCCTCTGTCTATCAATAACTGGGTTTGAAGACATTTGCGTAAAGGATCCTGAATCGGGAAGGTGTACATCTTGTAAGAATGAGGGCAACAGGCAATATTTCTTGTTTTATGGTGGATGCTACTTATTTAAAGATGTTTCGGATCAAATAGAATCTCAGATTTGTCAAGCAGTGAAAGAAAACGTTTGTACCGCATGTAACAGCTCAACCAAAGAGGTGTTCACCAAGAACAACGGATGCTGGCGCTGCGGGGACTCAGCCAACGGGGGAATAGAGGGATGTCAAAGGTGTGAGATGAAGGACAGTAGTCTTCAGTGTCTGGAGTGCCGCGACCTCTACCTGAGCCTGGATAAGAGGAGCTGCCTGGCCAGCTGTCCCAAGGGGCAGAAGGGCGTGCAGGAGTCCTCATCCTCGGTCCACAGCTGCGCATGCGATGACGAGTCCTATCTGAAGGACGGGAAGTGTGTCGGGTGCGCGGTGGAGAACTGCGCTGAGTGTGATGAATCGAGCTGTAAGAAGTGCAAGTATGGCTACACACTCTCCGATAGTCAGTGCGTGGCGACCAAGTGCAAGGACCCCAACTGCGACACGTGCGAGGACAGAGACGTGTGCACAAAGTGTACCGATGGCAACAGCCTCGACCCCCACGGTCTGTGCGTGAAGGACTGCCTGGGCTCCGCCGGGTACTACAAGGCCACCGTGGGCGGCGTCTCGAGGTGCGTGGCGTGCACGCTCGGCAACTGCGCAGTCTGCGAGTCGGAATCCAAGTGCAAGGCATGCAGGGACGGGCTCTACGTCGAGGGCTCGGGAGGATGCAAGCCGTGCAGCTCTGAGTGCGCCACGTGCAGCGGACCGGCATCCGGCGACTGCACCTCCTGCCCTGCCAAGAGGCGGCTGCAGTACAGCGACGGTGCCAAGGGATCGTGCGTCCCGCAGTGCGTGCAGGACAGCAGCTGTGCAGAGTGCGGGCTCACGGTGGGCGGGACCAGCTACTGCTCGCGCTGCGTCAAGAGCACGGAGTACCCCAACAACGGGGCGTGCACCTCCTCCAGCTCGCGGGCGGCTGGCATCGCGTGCGCGAATGTCGCCGCCGGTAGGTGTGTTGTTTGCAGCTCGAACTCCTTCAGGCTCAACGGGGGGTGCTACACCTCCACGCTCCTCCCCGGGAAGACTGTCTGCACGAAGGCGAGCGACGGCTGGTGTGACAGCACCGTGGCCGGGTACGGGATAACGTACAACGGAACGCTCCTTACATGCCCGACGAACTGTGCAATGTGTAGCGGTGGAGCCTGTAGCGCCTGCAACAGCGGGTTCTACCTGGAGAAGGGGGCGTGCAAGGCGTGCTCCAAGGGCTGCGCCACCTGTCCTCATGGGGAGGCATGCTTCGACTGCCTGGCCGGGTACTACTTCTCCGAGAGCACGTGCAAGGCGTGTCACAAGGCGATCTCCAAGTGCAGCCTCTGCGTGGTTCCAGAGGGCGCAGTCAAGCCCATATGTCTGGAGTACGATAACACCTCTAAAAAGTCCGCCCTCTCGTCTAGTGCTATCTCTGGCATCGCCATCGGCGTGGTCCTCGTCGTCGGCGGTGTGGCGGCTGTGCTGGTTTGGTTTTTCGTTTTCCGAAAGAAGGCCGGAGTTCCACTGCTCTACAAGCAGTCTATCGTTGCAAGCACCCATTAAAATAGTAACTGCGCTAGAAACTACAGCTGTGTCCTTTATTAGCTTTCACCATGTGGTATTTTGTTTGATATTTTAAATGGCTAACTGAGTATCACTAAGGCTGCTATCTAAGTAAATCTCTCCATGCGAGCCATCGCTCTGAGTGGACCTCCCGCTCACCGTCCGAGACCCGAGAGCCGGATGTCCTAGATCCCCGTGGGAGAAGAAGAAGGTTTGCCCTATCCTCTTGGGAGCTGCTGTGCTTCTCGCAGGGCCTTCTAGGACCTCCCCTTCCGCCGGCTGGTTGTGGGCAGCCAGGACTCGTCCGCCTCTGTCAGCCAAGCACCCCAGGGGCCCCAACTTGCTCGTCGAGGGATTCACATAGGTCACGTGTGGGTCCGTCTCAACCAGCACGGCGAGTGATTAGTGCCATCACTAGCTTTGGCTCTCCGTTGCCTTGGGGGCTCCTTCGAGCCCGGCCAGGAGAGAGGCCTCCTGTCCCTCCGTACTCCTACACCCAGTGCTGATCGTCGAGCCATAGCATTTCCTAGGCCTGTCGCCTCTGTGGCTATCCCCGTCGCATCACTGTTGCTACTATGGAAGATGGATGTGTCGTCGGCAAGGCAGTGAGCGAGGTATCTCCTCAGTTCCTGGTGAGCAGGTTCTGTACCACGCAGTATGGGGGCATGCGCAGGGCCCCGAGGGACCGAGTCCAGGAGTGCAGCGTGTCGCAGCCGGAGGAAGGCCTCGACGCAGCTCCTTGGAACTGTGTTGTGGAGCGAATCATGATCGTCCGTTGATCGTGCTTGTCCTGTCCCATTCTTGGGGAAGGGCCAGGCGGAACCGTACAGAGCACGCATCCCATCCTATGGATCGCGCCGAGGATCTCGTTGAAGGCCTGCACCCGGATGGACTCGCCAGCGCAGGCCCGGAGACTTCGAGCCCCGTGGACTGGCCGTCCGTGCTCTCCGATGGCTGAGGGGGCTCTTGTCTCTCAGGGGCCAGGCCGTCCTGATCCGGCCCTCTGGATAGCAAGGTGCTGGTCGTCGGTGGCGCTGTCAGGGTGCAGCTCCCCCTCGAGGCGAGGCAGAGGCTGCAGGCCGGGCAGTGGGGTGGTGAATGCCGCTCCTCCGCTTCCCCGCTGTGTGAGCGAGGCACGTCTCCTCGGCTCTCACCTGGGGCTCTGCGGGGTGTTAGGTACCCTCCCCTGAGCACGTTCGCACGACGGGTGCTGAGGGGGGTGTCCTTCTCTATTCCTATTACTCCACTCAGCAGCGCCCTACATCCGGTGTCTGTGCTGCATACGTCTGGACGGCCTCATCGCGGAGGGTTTTCCTGCAGGACGGGCACGTGCTCTTCCGCTCCTACTAGTTCAACGTTCACCCGGTGCCACCGCCCCGTCTCAGTGGGCTCCTGAGGCCCGGGCCGGACCTGGAGCACCGGAAGCGCGCTCATGAGTGCCCGCGGCCCTCGTTCTCCTGGCGTCGGAGCGTGTCCCCTGCGAGGGGCGGCGCTTCGCAGTGCCCTGGACGAGCTGGGCGCTCTGGTGCTGTCGTCCGCCCAACACCGCGGCCTCGGTCGTGCTACTGGGCGGCAGAGATTGCGCCTTAGTTCCTCGGCTGGTCTGGAGGGCGTTCCGGTTGATGCCGGAGCTGGCGTGCACGGCCTGGCTCTTCTCCCCCGGACTCGGCCGACGTTCTGACCCGAATACCGGACTCTGGGCTTGGGGCGGCGAACGGGCGGGGTCCACTTGCCGCGGGGAGGACTTGTACGGGGTACGAATTGCTCGGCCGGCAGGTGGCAGACCAGCTTCGATGAGGCGGAAGGTGAGCTGCGTGGCCCTGGGGTAGCGGGTGCCCATCGGATACGGGGGAGCAGCTGGCCCAGGTTGGCCAGAGGAACGCACCCCAGGGCAACAACGGCCCCCTAGGGAGGAAGCACAAGGTTCTTCTCTAGAGGTGGGCGACCCCCGAGCTCGAGTTCTTGTCTCAGATGCCGGGCGGTGAACGAACGAGAGACCTGCCTTCATTTGTTGTCAACTACTATTACACCCTCATCTTGCTCAATGCATCAAAGCAAAAATAAGGTTGTCTGAGCAGCTCCCACGAGCCACCAAGCGTCCTCAGAAGCAGGCAAGCCGTGGAGATACGTTCGCTCTATATGGTTAGTTCTTGTGGTGCGCTACTTAGACTGCTTTATAGGGGAGCGGCGGCACTTTTCCGTCTCTCGGTGGTCAGTAAAATGTGGCACTGGCGCTTCAATCCATTGGCTTTAAGGCGTTTACTCTGAGAGGAGGGCGACTATCTCATGGTTTCTCCATAACTTAGCCATTTCAAGGGCAGTCCCTCCATTATAACCCTTCAAGTCCTTCTCTCTCATGAGGAGCCTGACACAATCTGTGTGATCGTTCTTCACAGCCCACATGAGGGCCGTCCATCCGTTGCTATCTTTCAGTCCCTTCTCTTTCTCCACGAGCAGCCCCACGATCTCTGTGTATCCATATACCGCCGCTCTCATCAGGGCAGTTCCCTCGTATATTTTCCAGTCACCTACAAGTGCGCATCCCTTCATCTTCGTGCCCCCCTGGAGTGGTATGAGGGCCTTCACGGCCTCCACGTCGTTTCTATCGACTGCCCTCATGAGGTCGGTGGAGTCGTCCTCCTCTATTAGGTGCTTCTTCTCTGGCTCTTCTGAATCCTCCCTTTCGTCTGGCTCGTCTGTTTCGCCCATCTCTGCCTTAATCTCCTGTATTTCCCTGAATAGCTTGGCGGCAATAGCACACTGCTCCCTGATGATGTCCATTCTTGTAGCTCGATCAGGAGGGTCCTTCCTAAGAGCTACTGTTTCGTTGTTGGCTCTATTCAAGGCGTCTGCAAAGGCTGCGCGCGCCTCCTTTAGCCTTGTGTCTTGGGCCTCCTGTTCATCAGCAGAGATGTCAAGCCTCAGAAGTAGACGGACAAGCCTTCTGGCTGTCGGCCTCTCGGCAGGATCGAGGACGAGCATTCCTTCAAGGACGCTCCTTGCGAGGTCGTCTGCGACACCGCTCAGGTCTGGCCTCCATCCGTCAACGAAGACGTCTTTTGGGTCTTTACCTTCTAGGAAGTCCGGCTTCCTCAGGGTGGCGAGCTCGTATGCGATGGCCCCGAGGCTCCAGACGTCGGATGCTTGGGTCATGTCACCGCAGAGGAGTGTCTCGGGGGCCATGTACGCGGGGTCGCCGGCCTTCGCAGCTCCACTCAATATGCCCTTGCAGAACCCGAAGTCTCCAAGGACGACACGTCGCCTGTCCCCAGCGAACATGATGTTGTCGGGCTCGAGGACAACGCTAGAGGGCAAGCCGCTGTGGGCACCTCTGCTGAGCCCGTGGAGGTGGGCAAGGGCGCCAGCCAGCTGCCCCAGAAGGGAGAGGACCAGCTTGCTGAGAATAGGTTCGTGAATGTCCCTGTAGTCGGTGATGAACTGCCGGAGGTCTCCACAGCAGCGGTCTGTGACAACAAGGATCGCGTTGCCGTCTGTAAGCACCTGGTGGTATTTGAGAACGTCTGGGTGAAGGGTGCCTAGAAGAGCGGTCAGCCTACGCTTAATAGCATCCACACCGTGCTGATCCAAACCATCGAGCTGAATCTCCTCCACAGCAAGGTAGGGGCATCCCCTGAGAGAGTAGATAACACTGAGGGTGCCTGCTGAGCATGTTACCTAGGCGTCTATGCAACTTTTTGGGGCTGAACACGGGAACGCCACCAGCGCCCATCGGCCCTGCAAAGCTGCTAACTGCACTGTTACTAGCATCTCCCAGGGCACCCTCTGCGGTGGCTGGGACAAGGAGTGGAGTCAACAGCCGCCGCTGATTTTAACTGCAATCCGGAGCCACCCTTTGGTGTGACCTTGGTTACTGCCCGAGCAAGGCGCCTAGTGCGAGCTGTCGATGGCAGGCCAAGGAGGGCATACTAGCGGCTCGTATGGCCCTGAGCAGGCCAGATCCTGGAGGCCGACACGGAGCGCCCCAGACAGAGCACGCCGACTGGGACCACACAGGGCTCTGGATGCATCGATGGAGAGGAGCTCTTAGTATGTTATCCACAACCAGCCATAGTCTTCGGACGACCAGGAAGTGGGCGCGGCTTACCCGTGGGATCTCTGAGCGCACCTGCAGGTGGGCCCAGTGATACAGCGACAGCAATGTACAGGAGTGCACCCCAATCAATCACTCCACAAGAGAGGTGCGATCTGAGTCTGGCCCTCACTCATCCTGTTCCTATCGAAGTCAGGGGGAACCGTGCTATCAACTGGCCTCCGGTGGGCATGCTCCTATCTCGTCTTTCTCCAGTCCAACTGATCAAGAGAGTAAGAGCGGCTGTCTCTCACTGCTCGCGGCAACACATCAGCCTGACAGAAGAGCAGTGGCACATGAACTCCGGCTAATGTTGGTAGGATTTCTCCTAGTTTGTGCAACCGTGCTGGCAAAGGACAGCGGGAAGACCGCGTGCGTGGCTTCCAACACAAACTGCGCATCAGGGTTGGACACGGCAGGGTGCAAGACGTGCGCCGGGGCAGAACCCGACCAGACGTGCCTGGACTGCAAGGTCTCTGGCCAGAACGTGCAACTCGATAAAAGAAGCTGCGCCGTGGGCTGCCCGCTGAACTCCGCGGCCAACGACCAGAAGGTGTGTGTGTGCGACCAGGGATTCAGCCTGAACGATGGGAAGACCGCGTGCGTGTCTTCTGGCACCAACAAGAGTAACGGCCTTTCTACTGGCGCTATTGCAGGCATTGTTGTGGCTGCTGTCATCGTTATAGGAGGGCTTGTGGGCTTCCTCTGCTGGTGGTTCCTCTGCCGCGGGAAGGCGTAGACTTAGGTAGTAAATGCGTCCACGTGCCACACTGTGTCTTAAAGACACCGCCCAGGGCTGCTTCCAATATGCTAACGTACCTCCTAGCGAGAGCAACAGAGTGCTGTTCCTAGACCGTAGTCAGCCGCACGCGGTGCTCTACCTCGTCGGGAACTGGCAAGGACGTTTCGCTGAAATGGAACAAGTGAATTTAATTAAAAGAAAACTGGAAAGAGAAAATGTCTGGAAAGAACACCAACCAAGGCCCGGTGGCAAAAGTTAAGGGAGAAATCGCGAGCATGCGTCGTTTCTGGAATGGATGCGATAAGCCTACTTCAGAGGAGGTGAAAAAGCTCATTGTTTCCACAGGCATGGGAATCATTGCCATCGGTGTAACGGGCTTTGCAATCAAAACTGTAAGCTACCCTGTCTTCCGTCTTCTTAGCGGCGCAAGCATGATGTAAATGATATAGCAGCAAGTGACCCTATTTAGGTTACAGCGAAAGTCCGTCTGTGTGTGCTTTTGAATTTTTTAGCGAATGTCTGAAAACGATGCCTCTGCCATCGCTTACCTTCACGAGCAGAGCTCCATCAAGAGTACTGCAGAGGAGGCTAATGATGCACAGACATGCAACGATGTTGTTTACGAGATTACAGACCACGGGTTGAATCGAAATGTCCACCAGGCTCTGTGGGGGCTCGGCCTGAGCATGCATATTTGTGGCATTCTTGTGTGTGTTTGGCACACTATCGATACTGTAATGATTCTTCATCTCTATGGCCGAGAGCAATTCTATGTGGAATCGGCCATTTTCCTGTTCGGGTTTCCCCTTTACCGGGGCATTCCGACCGTCATCTCATACATCTCCTCGCACTTTATCAAGCACGCAATAGTCCACCGGAGATACACAGACTCCAGCATTTACTATACACACACACTTTTCTTATGTAGCATCCTGGCCATTCTTATATCACTCTTTTCTCCTCTGGCTCCACAGCTATCTTCACTACTAGATGGTGGAGGTCCTCTTATTCATCGTCAGTTAGGATCGTCTGCCATGCTCCTAAGTGCAGTTCTTGTCCCCCTTCTTTCTCTCTTCACTCACGCAGTAGATCCAATTATGATGATTCAAGGAAGGCACTTTCTTATGACAGTCAAAAACCTCGTTCTGTTTTCGCTTTCAATCGTTCTTCTAGGCCTTTTCAATCTATTCCTGTATGCACACACTCAACCAGCTGACCCATCCAGGCTTTTGCTTTACCCTCTCCTCGCATACTGTCTTAGTGGCGTCGTTGTGACGGTATGGATAAGCCTGCTCCTGATGAGGGTCAATCTATATGGGATCGTGTACAACAATAATCTTCGTTTAAAAGTTAGGCATTTGGTTCCAATCAATGTCAAGATTCTTGGCACGCTTTTATTGAGGTCCCTCCCATCAATGATTAATCTTACTCTTCAAAGCGTCACCATCTTACTAATATACAGAGCATATGGCACCTACTATACAGACTATGAGGGAATGGTTAATGGAAAAGCAGCATTGTCTCTGTTTTTACGTGCATCGACTGCTACAACCTTTAGTGCAGCTAGCTTTGAAGTAGTAGTGTCCTATCTTGTTCAAATCGCATATTATGCACGTAGATATAACAGAGCTCGCTCAATCACTCTATGGGGTGCCCTATATGCTACACTACTGAATGCTCTGATATGCATAGCTATCTTCTTTGCCGCTAAACCCACTCTCCGTAAAGTTATACTTCTTCCACAAGCAAATGCAATAGATCCGGAGTACTCTACTTTGAATTCTGAAGAGTTCTATGTTGAGATAACCAGGTACCTGAAGCTATCTGCGTTGTTTCATCTTCCATCTGGCCTTTATGCCGTCGTTTTGGGTGCTATGCAGGGATCTAACTATGGAGCAGGGGCTTTAACTATGGCCTTTGGAAAATCAGTGACTGTGCTTGCCTCTTTCATTGCAATAATGTATCTGCAGGGCGCAGGAGGTATCTATGTCCTGGCCTTTGGCTTTGGAGAAGCAACGGCGTTTCTTCTCGCTATTGTAGGCTTGATCTTGCAGACTAAGCGATTTACTTTGTTTTCTCGCGCAGACACGATGACAGATCTGACCATCTCAAAGGTAGAATCAGCCAAGAAACAAATGCGTCCACTAAGCACCAAGAACCAGAGATCTTCAGCTAAGGGGAACAGAAAATCAAAGCCTCAAGTGGTTACCAAGGAGAAGAGAACAAGAGGACAGCCAAAAGTGCAGAAGCGAAATAGGCCCGATAGTAACCACAGCACGGGAAACAAATATACAGACAGTAGTGTAGCCAACTCGGAAAAGAGCCTGTTACATGAACATCCTACTGAATCAAGTTGCTCTGCCACGCGGACTAACACATTAGAGCCCTCAAGCAAGATGGATTCTGAACACTTTTCAGTTGGATATGTATCATCATCGACAAGCAATACCTCAAAGAGACCAGTAACTCAAGCACTTCTTCGCCATGAGCATCAGTCAGCAGCTCAAATACGACTCAACACCAATTTGCATATCTGCGAAGCACATGCAACACCGAATGATCAACTAAGCGACGAGAATTCACACAGTGTAGGGCACGAAAAGGAGGGTAGCGTTGTGAACAAAAGTGAAGTCCATATGTCTAACGAATTACAATCTGCGTCAGTAGAGATGTACCACAGCTCTGAAAATACGCAGAGCTATGAGACACCCGTAGTACATATGAATTTCTTTCAAGTAGAGGCCTCTGCTGACTAGCACTCACGGTTCACATAGTGATTATGATTTGCTGGAGCTAACTACCTCGTAGTATTGAGACAAGCCTGGAACACTAGCAAGTGCCCGAGTTGACTGTGCGACACCTTCGAATACAGCCTGCACATTTTCTAACAATTCCGGTTTTAATCTAACCTCGCGCTGCAAAAGAATCGTTGATTGCATGAGGCAAGCTATGTTGCATAGTTCATGCTGCTCTGGGAGGAATTCGTCACTGTCGCCCGCTTGCACTTGGTTTAGGTATTTCTTGCATAACTTCACCAGGGTCGTAGCAACGACTTCTGTGACGTTCTCTTGCAAAATAGATGCCTCATCCTTAGTGTCGTCATCTGCCTCCAATGGCAAGAAGTATCCATTGGTCAGTAGCACCTCAATGCAAATCACTATGGTCACAGGAATAGGGTATAGATAGATAGGACAGTCGTCTATCTTCATTAGATTTAGTAACGTCTGAGACGCCTGTACAAAACTGGCCAAGTCGCCCTCTGTGCAAAGGACCCCTAAGCTTGCAATTAGACTGAGAAGAGCCCCAAGAACATGACACTCGTTTGCAAAACCTTCGCCCATATCTGGAGAGACTTCGGTGAGCACGACGGCAAAGTCTGGTGCTATTGCAGTAATAAGCTCTAGGGTGTCTGTTCCAAATGCACAGAAGTATGCTAGTAACACCTTTGCTGTGTAGTAGGACATTGACCACAAGACACTGTGCTGATCATGCACCAGTTCTAGTAGTTCTTTTGACAATGGCTCGAATTGACTGATTGCATTGAGCTCTATACTAGCATTTGCATAAATGCAGTTGGCCATGTTAACTCCCAATTGGCAAAGTGTCTCCCCACCTTCAGGGTACTCAGACATATTCATAAATATTACAATGAAGTTTCCATAGTATGAGTCGTCAATGATGTTATCAATAGCTGCAGTCAACTCCATATAAGCAGATCCATCGTCCCGAAGTGCAACCTCTGAGCCTGTGTGCTCCTCTGTTCGTGGCATGAACGAGACCCCAGACGGCGTTGGGAGCATGCTTAGATTCTGGATTGTATGATCAGCAAGTATTTCCGAAATATCAGGGACAACTCCTGACATGAGCGTCGATGCATCCAGTACATTGATGCTTTCAGTAACACCTGCTGATTTTGTCTCTATATCCATATGACTCTCCACATTCGTGTGTTGGGGTAGCTCGTTTTGCTCCTCTCTTTTGGCTTCGTTGCTTTCTTGTTCTTTTATCTCTGGCTTCTCTGTGCTGAGTAATCTGGCTCTGTCATTGCTTGGCAGGGTTATTGCTGGCATAAGATCAGTAAGCTCTTCGATATTCACCTCCGAGGGTCCGTTTTCGCACACTGCTGTGTCTTGTTGGTTTATATGGTCAGTAGGAGCAAACGCCTCATGTTCTAACGGCCTTACGTGTGTCTGCGTTTGCATCTGAGGAGCATCATCAACCTGTTTCTCATCGAGCGCATGGTCAGCTTTACTGCAAACCTCTGAGTCCAGCTGTGGCTCTGATGTCGAATTCAATTGTCCCTCCAGCTTGTCCTCTCTTGTATTCTTTACGTTGTGTATCTCTTTATCTAGTAAATGATTATTCAATGATTTTTCTGAAGATAGACGCGGAACCGAAGTTGCTAAATAAGTTTCTTTTTCTTCAGGAAGAACTGGCTCTTCGAGATGTGCGTGTAGCTTCTCCTCTGCGTGAGGTTCTTCGCTAACAGTGGTGTCTGGAATATGTGCAAACTCCTTAACTTGAAGATTCTCTAAAGCACATACAGCATTGGCCTCAGTGAAGACTGTTTCCTTTTGTAATGCAACAACAGTAGTGATTGCATTGGATCCGTCTACAGAGTTAATTTTATTATCAACCTCAGGAAGCTCATGGACATCTTCTTGCAGTTCAGCAAAGGTATTGCCATCAGGTGGTGGCAGTGGCTTAGAGTGCAAGGAAATGCCACGGAGAGGATCCTTGTATATATCCGGGGACAAAGTCATAGGTGATGACTCTCCAGATTGTGCGCTCTGATCTCGTTCTGATACAATAAGGGCCTGGGCAGTGAGCTCCTTCACAGCTTTTGTTGTGGAGCCAGTCGACTTAGAAGTGATTGGGGTAGAAACTGGGATGGTGATAAGTGGCGACCTGCTTGGCAATACCTCTTCGGAGCTCTTATCGGCCTCATCCTTCTTCTCACTATCAAAGCTATTCCGTTCCTGGGTACACCCACTTCTCGTGGCAAGAGTAGGCTTCTTTCCCTTCTTTAGGTAGTCTATGTCGGACGACTCATTGGAAATCCGGGACACAATGGGCTTGGCGGGTTCCTTAGTTCTTGCTACAGTGTTCTCGCTGTATTGCTTATTTGTTACCAAATTTGAAAGCGCCAATTCTATGTCCCCGTCCTTGCCACGATGCTTTGTTCTCCGTTGCTCTAGCTCCACAGACAGATCTTGCCTAAGCTCTCGTAAGAGCTCTATTTTTGCTTGTTCGTAAGCTTCACGATAGATCGCCTCTGTATCAACTGGTGGCTGGGCTGATAACTTAATGTCCCCTCCATCCGCTGACGATCTGTCAAGGAGGGACCTATCGATGGCTATTCTGTGGGCTTGGTCAACTGTAGTGTTGAGCTGATAGATGATCTTTTCCTTCTCGTCTAAAATGGCCCGAAACTCGTTTCTCATCTCTGCCTTTGTGCTTTCTAGATGCCTAATTTGCTGTCTTGCAGCAATAAGCTCAGATCTTTCTGCTTCCAAAGTAGCTCTCAGTTCAGTTAGCTCCTTTTCAAGCGTTTTCTTTTCTTGCTTAAGATTGCGGTACTTTTCTCTGAACAAATTGAATGCATCATTGGCGGTCGTTATATACTTTGGTAATGGCGTCTCTCCTGGAAGCTGGTGAGGTACCACCACCGCAGAGCTATTGGGGGTTGCGCGTATAGATAACCCGGAGTTGCTAGCATTAGCCTTTTCGCCAGACTCCCCGGCAGGTCCTCCAGATGCTAGTAACGCAGAGTGTGAGAGCACTGGCTGTTGGGCGTTAGGTTGTATCATTTGCTGTTGCTGCTGCACAGTGAGCCTGTACCTCTCAGAATCCTTCAGCAACATATATCTCCGGGCAGGCTTATCAGTGAGGCCGTTGCGGCCTTGAGTTTCAGAATAGTTGGCTTGCAAATCCTTATTTTCTAGCATTAAAGGGGCTGAAGAAGACGTCATAGCGTGAGATCCTACACCAACAGATAGATCTGCGCCTCCAGACGTCGCAATGGCAGAGGATATCAGTGGGGCAGCCAATGAGCCTGCCGATCCAGTGATTATAGACAGGTCAGGTGTTCCGGTACTGTGATGCCTTTTGTTCGATTTATCCTCATTAGAATGGGTATCTTGGACCTGTTTCCGTTTAAGTTGTTGGTGCCTACGTGACTCGTTGATAAATCCGGTTGTAGATCCGGCCAGCCCATTCTCCATGTAAGAGCTGCGCTTCTCTTGTCCAGAGCTGAGAGCAGAGTCTTTCTTACTACTGTTTGCGGCATTGTATGGATGTACTGCCATCATTCTGTTATGCTCTATGAAATTCATCGACCCTCTACTTACCTTAGTGTTTGGAATAACTATCTCGGTGTTAATACTATTTTGCGAGGTTGAAAGAGATTGGTGTATAACACTGTCGAACTCGTGTTCGCTACCCTCCTGTTGACTTTCGGCAAGAGAAAACGTCTTTTTGTGTGATTTTGGATCTGATTTGGAAGTAGATCGTGAATTAGGCTGAGATGCTCTAGCAGGCCGTTTGAACGCAGAAACAGATGAAGGCTTTTTCTCCTTAGCCCTTGACCTTGTACTTGGGTTGTCTCTACTATCACGAGAGTGCTGGCTGCTAATCGAGGTTTCTTTGATTAGTTCGATTAAGTCATCCAACATAGCAAAACTAGTATCCTTGCTTCCACTTGCCCCATGCTGAGACACTGATCGACTAGTGATAAGGTCATCGAAGTAATCCGAAGGATATGAGTCGCTATAGTAACTATAGTAATCACTGTATGAATCTGACGGTTCTTGACGGCGGGCAGCCGCTCGTCTGTCAATAGACTTCGGTACTTGATAGGCAGGCCTATCTCCTACACTTTTTGCTTCACGACGAGGAGTTCCAACTGTTCCTTTGGCCGCTTGGAGAGCATTTGCGAGCTGGAAGATGTTTGAGGCAATAGTATTCCGTTGAGGGACAACTGGCCTGCGTGTGGCTTGCTGTTTTGATCTAACTGGCTGCAGATTCTGTACCCGCGTCCCAAGTCGCGTCTGATATGTCGCTCCGGTTGTGCCAGTTAGCCGCTTCGTTTTACTCTGTGCTCGAGGATCATAGTCGTTCCGGTACGTGGTAAGCACGCCTCCTGCATTCATGTTCGCTCTTTGTCGGCCAAACTGGGAAACAAGCGGGGGCATTTCTCAAAGAAATCCTGACACAGATTTTAATTTTGGCTTTGCGCTGCAGTTTTGGTAAGTTCCCGAAGATTAGGATTGTAGCTGCTACTACACCTACATCATTCATTTTATCGCCCACTAGATTATTCTATCAGCGAATTGAGACATCTGTTTCGTTAATGAGTAATTTACTAGCTACACACGCCTGCTAACACATCTGCAAGAAAATATAGCATAGATACGCTCAGCTCTAACAATATTTACCTCTTTTCTGTTCTGGTGATTATCTCATCAATCTCAGGTACCAAGCTAATCAATTGTTTTAGACCCAGCTTAAGAGAATTAGCTTCAAAGCTGCCCTCTGGTGGTGATAGGTTTTCTTGAAGCAGTACTCCTGCGCGATACAAGCTTGCAAGATTGCAGAGCATTCCTGCTGATACAGGATTGCCAAGGGCAAGAGGCTCATCAGGCTTCTTACTATGTCCGGTAATCGTGACGTAAAAATCTGTCACGTATGACATCATCGAATAGAAATAGGTGGAGAAGTACACGGCAAATTCTGCTATTCGCTTCTGCTCATCATCTTGCGGTTCCTGATTGGACCTAATCCACGTGTTGACCAGCTGGAACTGCTCTTCTGAGATTAGTTCCTCCATCACAACTAATAGGCAGACAGGAAGGGGAAACACGTGCGCTGCAAAGCCTACCTGACTGAGAGAGGGAGCCACTGTTGCAATTGAGCTGACAAGACGCGTCAGGTCGCCTTCCTGACGGAGCTGCGTGACTCCACATATAAGATCAAGGACAGAGGCCACTAACAGACAGTCTGCCTGAATCTCCTCGTTACCAACCCCTGTCATCGTTTTGAGAGCAGTGTAAAACCTCTGGTATATCTCACTTAATCCTGCTTCGAGAACAGCAGAACCATATGCAACATACAGCGCAAGAAGGTACCGTGCACATTGATACGTCGCTCTCCAGAAAGGCCCATCAGTGTTGATCATCAGGTTCCCTAGCGTTCTGCACGCGGTAGACCAGGTAGTAAGCTTATTATTTCTGAGCCCAGGAAGAATATAGATTGACTGCACTATTTCAATTGTTTCAACAATCATAAATTCAGTGTCATCATTGAAGATACTGGGACTGCGAGACAGATCAGATACAAACAACTTTTCGATAAGACCATAGTTGGAAGGATCCAGAGTAGCAGCGTGCTCGGCACTATCTGGATGGCTCAGTAGGTACGGGTGAATTGGAGTATCGCTCTGGTTCAGTGGGACCTCAAGCTCTGGTTGCACCATATTGGCTCCTAAAATATTCATAGAGACAAGTTGCTCAGACAATATAGACTGTGAGTAAGATGCTTCCTCATTCCCTTGGTAATCTTTAGTAGAATTAGAGTGACTCTTGGACTTCCGCTGCCTTCGCTCACGGGGTTTAGACTTACCTGATTTATGTATGTCACTTGCCTCATAGGTTGACGCGTAGCCTGTCTGATCTTGAGTATCTCCCCTATCGCTAAATTCTATACCTCCTGTTCTATGAGATCGGCGTGAGGTGGACTTAGTGTCCCCGGTCCGTTCAGGATCGTCCGTGGAAATTCCTGAGACTGGGGCCTCAGGACCAATTACAGCAGGATCCTCATTGTGTATGTCCATATCTTCTACATAGGATGCCGTGCTGTTCTGGCAAAGAGAAGGATTTCTGCTTGGGCTTTTCTCACGTGTAGAAGAAGCCTCTTTTATGAAGTCCTGTATGGACGAGCGTGTGTGCTTCCGTGCCGATGGAGCAGCCATATCACTTAGCCCACTTTTTCTGTCTAAGACCTCTGCTGCGGCAGATAGAGGCGATATAGTTACACCAATGCTGTCCCTAGGCTCGCATTTTGACGACGTATGGTGTTTCCGTTTCTTTTCTTTACTAATCTGGCTGGCTGTTAGAGCTGATATCTTCTCATCACCCATCTGGACAATAGAAAGGGAATTTGGTTCTGTCTGAGAGCTAACAGAGTCGTGCACTGATTCTGATTGCCCGTCCGTGGATAGCACATAGTTCCGTAAGTCGCATCTTCCCATCACGTCTGTAGCCCCTGCATGAAATGAGGGCACCATGGGCGGCTTGTGTTCTGACCTCATAACGTCTATAGGCTCTGGGGACCGAGAGACCATCTGAGTAGAGCTGCAAGAGCTTCTGGCAGGATCTATTAGAGGGGTACTGATTATCTTTGGATACTGCATAACGCTGTTGGCCCCCGTTCCGGATGAGCGTCCAGCGGCGGCGGAGTGATCTTTGTGGATCAGTGAATCATGCCAAAAGATTCCGCTACCACGCGCAAACGATGGCTGGGCATGTACGCCTATCTGAAGACCGTTTATCGTGCACTCTAACATTTTGATCTGAGTAGACATCGAGGCCACAATCTCTTGCAATTCAGCAAACTGCTTTGCAATCTCACTCTTGTAACGCCGAAAATCATTGGTGATTTCCACAAGCCTCACTGATATAGCCTGTTTGTTAAAATTAACTGATTTGAGCTCGGTATACAACGAACTCCCCCCAATTGCAGCAAGTTGTTGATCAGCAGAGGCACAGGGGACCAGACTATCATGAACAAAGGCTTCTTTAATACCGTTCTTTTGAGAGGCTGCAGCCTTTATATCGTCATCTGATGGCAGATGAGAAGAAATCGCTCGGGCGTCTACTAAAGATTGCTTCTTAGATGCCTTCCTTTCTCGCCCTTCAGATATGCATGAGAAGGCGTTGGCTGCAGCAACCGCAACTGATGTGACATTATTGTCTTCTTTCATATTTGATGACAGTTTCTTCATGGGAACATAATTTATCCCATCCTCCCTATTAGAATATGTTGATGAATCTGTATTTGAATCGGATACAAATGAATCGTTGTTGTCACTCGCAGAGCTATCGACTGAATGCAGATGATTGTCTTCTGCACTGAATACTACTGTCTGAGACTCTAGATGCGCACTCGTGGGCTGGGTTCTTCTGACTTTTTGTGAGGCGTGATGAGGCATGGCACGCTGACTGTCTGGCGGCTCTGCCGGAAAAGGCTCAACAACAAGCCGACGAATAGCTGCTTCTGATCCTTGTTTATCGGGCCTAGATCTCTTAGAAATTCTAGTTTGGAGTGCCCGTGGACTGTTGATGCTGTCGTCTCCTAAGGCCTTTGCATTAGGGCTCCTGGCAGCACCGTGTTGTGTTCTTAGTGGAGAAGACTCCAACTGAGCCATGCCCCGCTTAGCTGTAGGCGCAGCAAGAGGATTCTGTTGATAAGTGTAACGGCCATTGTGATGAGTATTGTCCTTGCCTTTACTGTAATGAGCTCCCCGATGAGAACCAGAAAAAATCTCATTGATAGACTGGAGCTTATCTTGACTTTTGGTCAGCCTACTATTTCGCGCAAACTCACCGTGGAGAAGAGCGCGACGAGAGCTGGCATGACCCTTTGATGAAGCAGGGGCTCGATCATCCATCCCATCGTCCGGGCTAGCAGATAGAATCGACGATGCCGTGTCAACATACATGCTACTGCTTTGGATGGCAGATCGTGTACAGGCCTCAACGACGTACTGTGCTATCTCTGTGCAGAAGGCCTTAAAGTCCTTGTTATAATGCATCGTACGATCTGGGTGCGGTGCGTCGTAGTTTTCGTTGTCAGTCCGGTCATCCAGCTCAGAATATATATAAGAGTCATCTGAATCGGAATGGATAGTATAAGATGTCCGTTGATGGGCATATCTGTTTGGCCGACGATCATCCTGATAAAATGAATAGGACGTCTGAGCCCGCGCGCCGTGGCTCTGTTTTGATTGCTTTTTATGAGGGTGGTTCCGAATGCGTTGAGGTCGTTCAACGCAACTCATTGTATCATAAAAAATGCTATTATCGCGGTTCCTGGAGGCCCCGTCCCTCAAGTGCCGAGAATGCAGGCCGCGCTCCAAAGCGGACATGGAAATTGTTACGCGTGTTTTTATGAATGTGGTTAATTTTTATGAGTCACCAATTGTCGCCAGAGTATTACCTCTCCTCTCTGCTCGGTCACGGCTGCTTTATGGCCCGGTGCACAGCTTCTTGCAGAGGAAACTCGGAGATATGTGGTCTTTAACCAACTGTAAAATTCCAGCAGAGCAAGGCAATGAATGCATAAATGATATTTTACCGGCTCTGCCATGATGATTTCTTTCTCCATGCTTTTGCTGGAGAAGAAATTGTATAGTCTCGCATATCATATTAAGCAAAATGACTAGGGGAAGACAAACACTTAACCTAGTCGCTATATCTACTTGAATGGATAGGACAATGGCTCCAAGGCTGATTAGATATAGGTGGTTGTGGGCTACACATCTAGGGAACTTGTGTGTCTTTAGATTAATGGATGCATATATGGCTAATGCTCTAGAAAATAGCACAGGACCCAATGGCGCACTAGCAAGAAGAAATAAAGTGCTAAGATAGAGCCTTTGATTCCAGTAGCGGCTTTGGTAGTGGCTATATGCTATGCCAGCCCCAGCCAATACCCAGAGGTTAAACGGAAAGAACAGTGCAATTCGCTTTTGATGTTCTATGCGTGTTCGAGGACACAGCGCCACGTAGTGTCTATGGCCATGCTCTGACTGGTGGTCCTGGAGCGCCACAAGCGAGCTTAGATAGTGTATGAATTTAGGTACAGACTGGTTGGGCGTAGACAACATGATGCTTATGTGCTCTATGATTGCATGCCGTTTAGACATGACAACTTTTGGTGGAGGAGCTAGCGGCCTCTGGGTGAAGTACGTCCCATGTGCAATGTGCGAATGAACGTAGTTGTAGAGCTCACTGTTTGGATGGCTTGAAAGTTCAGGGAATAGTAGGGGGTTCAGAAGGATCTGAGAGCTGGTCGAATCGTGGAATGAGATATAGGGCGAGTCTGGCTCATAAACGGAGACTACGATAATGCGAGTACGATGAGCGAGGGCCTGTTCCAGCTGTAAACTTGTGATATCTTCAAGCTTGTCCGGAACTACTGTGATTATTGGAATTCTACTTGCATAGTGCGATGGACAGCTTTTCAGATGGGCCAGGTGCGTGAAAATAATATTCTGAAACACCTCACTTCCATACACAACAATGACCAGTGCGCTATGGATCATTGGAGGAAAAGAGTCTGAAGGGAGAAAGGTATGCACACCACCGTGGTCTACAGAAACAGTCATCTCTGCGGTCTCAACCTTATGCATGGGCAGAGGCAATTGGTAAGACGGAGGAGAAAGTATTGATTTATCAAGAATTGAACTGGGTACCTTCTTTCCTGGTCTGAGAAGGCCTGTTGGAGACACTGACAGAACTGCTAGTAGCGCAACTGTCCACAAAAACATTTGATATCTTTATTATGGAGCTTAGCAACTTCATTCGCAGAGTTCGCACGTCGCGAACGTCTACCCAGATGCGCGAAGTTATAGAGGTAGAGCTAGCAAATGTCAGGGCGGAGCTAAAGAAGCCAAGGACAGATGAACTCGCTCAGTTGGTCGCCAAGATGACGTGTGCGTACTTATGGGGTTTTAACGTTTCCTGGGGATATGTACACATGTGCACACTATGTAGCGTCGCCAAGATGCATGCGGAAAAGCGCATAGCTTATCTGGCATTGACACTCAGCTATGCAGAAGCCACCCAGCTCTTCAGCCTGACAACCAACGCCCTGGCCAAAGATCTTGTGGAGGACAACGTGAGCACGCACTACAAGGTGTCGCTTGCTCTGACTACTATATGCACCATATGCTCCAAGGAGGCAGCGCCCGTCTTTAGCACTCGTGTCTATGAGCTCATTTCCGGCGGGTCTAGTATTTACCTACGTAAGAAAGCAATCATGGCCGCCTGCGCCATCCTACAGGCCTGTCCAGATCTCTCACCACGATTCGTAGATGTCTGTTCTGCATCCCTCTCTGACAAGGCCCACTCCGTGGTATTGGCCGGTTGTGAGTTGGGCATAATTATTCTGAGCGCAAATGAGGAACTAATTCATAAGCTAGCGCACAAAATCTACCATCTTCTGAAGGTTCTCAACAAGCTCTGTGCGGTGACGACTTTTCCAGACCACAATGTTGGTGGGTTTTGTGATCCTCTTCTCCAGCAGGCAATCCTGCGCTTCCTGGGGCGCGCCATTAGAGCTGCATTCAGCTACAATTGTACAATCTTCCTTGACACGCTACCGTCCTTAAGGAGATACTTTTTATCCGTGTTCAGTAGCATACTAGAGAAGTGCTCATCAACCACAGTAAGCCGCAACATCGGCCTGAGCATCTGCGCCCAAGTCTTTACGCTTTTCTCTGAAATCCCAGATTCATTTTTCTTCGAGAAAACGGCTCACTTATCCGAAACAATACCCGAGGAGGAGGCATTGCCAAACCTAGTCATGAGCTTCATGCGACTGTTATTGGAAGCGGTGACTGACTACTCAGATCTCATATCCTGTACAGCTCTAGAGTCATTGAAAAACTTTGTCCTACACAAAAAGCAAACGGCTGGGCTAGACTCAGATACGAAGTTTAAAAAGTTCTCCCAACTGCTCAAGCGACAGAATCCGGCCGTACGTAAGCGGGCGCTGGACTTACTTCTGCTGCTTGTCCACAAGAAGGATATTAGAGGTTATATTGCTGATCTTTTTAAGTACATTGAGAAGGACCCGGTTATCAAGATCAATAGGATTGATTTTGCTAACTCTATAAGAGACATTGTCCTTCTTTCCGTTCTTTCTCCGTGCGATGGATTTGACTACCTGCTTAGACTAATTCTTCTCATTACAGAGGGGTGTAACAATGCTCTGGCACAGGCTATTATTGCTACAATCTCGCGATCAGATGCCACAGTAGCAGACAAGAAACACTTCATCGATGCATTTGCAGCACACAAGGAAGCGATGCTCGAGAGTGTTCATAACGGGAAAATTACTGCTCTAGTGGATACTTATTTATTATCAATCTCGTACATTCTACAATTAGAAAATGTTGGTACAAATACTGCTAGCCAAAATAGCATCCTGTCTGACATCGACTTTGACTTTAGTTTCAAGCTATGTCAGTACATCTTCTGTATGCCAGACACTGATGAAGCAACTACCCTCAAGCTGACAGCTGCGCGATCACTGGCATTCTTGGCAGAACTAAGTGAGTCAGCGAGGAAGCAAGTGATGGAGTACTATGATTCTATTAAGCGAACAGTCTCTCCACTCATTCTAATGACAATCTTACAATTAAAGCACATCCTCCTACACCCATCTCTCCGCTATACATTGGCTTCAGTGCCAAACTTAACCCTCACTCCACCCAACATCAAGAGCACAAAACGCTACACCAATCCTTCTCTGTTCATGCACATACCACACAGTGTCCAACCATCCAAGTCTTCTGTTGAACAAAACCCCAATACAGACATCACACTGAGCGCGCTAGGAGCAGAACCGACCCTTGAGCGCATAGTGACACTTGATCATGCAGGACAAGCAGCGCAGCGGAGCTCCCAAAGGGAAGATTCAGCTTCTATTTCACCCGTCTTTGTTAATGATGATCTAAAAGTATACATAATGAAGATTGTTAAGGGTTCAGATGAAGCAGTAGAGTCTAGGTCCTCTAGGCTCAGTACTAATGATGATGTACACAGTCCGGACACAGGGCCTGTGAAGTTGCAGCTCTCGTTGTATGCAGTGTCCAATCTATTGACAGCACGCATCCAGTACTCCGTACCAAAGACGTGTAAGGTTTGCATGGAAGACCCCAGTGGAGATGTTACCGGACCATTGAAGCCACCCATTACTCAGTTGCTAGAAATCGTTTCTGGCACGGAGAAAGAAGGAAGCAAGTCCCACTCTACCTCACAGCTTAGTGAGAGCGACACTGCTGAGCTCACGACACCCATTCCTATTCGTCCACACAACAGGGGCGAGTCACACTTGGAGGCACTCAATCCTATGAGCCCGAGGGGAAAAGCAAACGGCATCAATCTGTGGGTCCGTGTCAAGTATATAATACCTCACTCTATAAAGCAGGCCGTTGAGTTCAAGGTGTGTGTTTAATTGGAAGAGGAGCTGACTCATGGATTGATTGCTGTGTACAAAAAAGTGCGCCGGTCTATCGATGCTTATTGACGCACGAATTTCTATGCACTCCTCCTTTCTGTCCGATATACCTCTAGAATTAGTAAAGCAATACTTTCTTGACCATGATTACGGCAATTTAACTGAGGGCTGCATTTCTATTATCCCGCGGTGTGCACTACAGGGAGCACCAATAGACGCCTTTGTGGCAGGAAGAGGTGACCCCATAGAGCAGAGAGATGCATTTATTGTTCTACTCACTAGGGATACTGACCCCTTGACACAGGTCCAGATAGAAGCAGCCAAAGTGGTGCTAGTATATACAACAATTCAGGAATTGCCACAATTACTACACAGGTTTTGCACTCAGCTTTATCAGATGATACGCTCGTCAAGACCGTTGAGGCAAAAGGTTCAGTATCCGGTGCAGCTGCTGGCTTTTCGTGCAATTCCTGGAATAGGGAGAAAGAGAGCAGAGTTACTTCATCGAGAATACTCTACTCTGCGAAGATTTATTGACGCACTTCACAGTGAAAACACAGCACAGCTCTCAAGTCTTCTCCCAGCCGCACAAATTTCTAGGCTGCGGACTCTTTTTGCCGTCGACGAGCCCCCATCCTCTGTAACAACAAAAAATGGACCGCATGTTTACTAAGACCCCCAGCGTCTTCTATGCTGCAGTGGTTACGTCAGCAAAGAACATAATAGACGAGTACAACAGAGGATACTTTAGCAGGTCCAGCTTACTAGGTATCTATGACGTGGCCTTGCAATATCACAATGCATATTCTTCAAACGACCCCGAGACTACCCAGCTCAGCATATTGCTCCCGCTATCACACCTTCCAGAAGACACTCGCAGAAATTTTAGCAAGGATTGGACCAGCGTTCGGCTCTTTAGCGTAAGTGTTCAAACGGATATGCTGCAACTCGTGAGTGAGGGAAGTCATCTCGGTCTCGTGATGGTTCGGTTTGAAGGGTTTGCAGTACTGGTCTTTTGCTCTCCATTTTCGAAGATAACGGCAGCAGAAGTCAGGGGGATGGTGAAGGATGCTTACTCGAAATGAACTGCCCTTCATTTGGGCAAAATCGTGATGGGAGCTCCTTATCTTCAAAGGACCTTTCCGGCATTTCCTCTAGTATCCTTCGCCTCTGCTCCCGCAGTAAATGGATGGTCTGTCTCTTCTGCTCAATTATGCCGGTCAGTGCCTGTTCGGTGTTCGTTATCGCCTGGAGTATCCTGAGCTTGTCTATCATTGCACAAAGGTCGTCCCTGCGAGCCAAGAGGCGCGCTTTGAGCTGTGAAATCTGAGTGTTTCGTTTGTTGCTAATGTCCCCCAGCATATATAAGCTATCAAACGCTAAGACCATTTCCGCAAGATAGGCATCCACAACATCCAGAAATTCGTCTCTGAGCAGTTCCGGATCAGTACGGAGCGATATCAAAGTAGAATCATTTGCCCGAAGGAGCTCAACGGATCTGAGATCCTCTGGAATCAGGCGTATGATCCCAGGGTCATCCGGGAGAGCTGGGGGAGGAGTGTCCTCATTCACCAATGTATAATAGGGAGGAGGCCGAACAGGGGCAAAGCGACCAGATATCTCTAGAGGCATTTTGTAATTAAAGAATTTTTCGCCTCCAAGGGCTTACAGAGCGTCTCCTGGAGATTTTCGCAAAAGTTGACGATGTGGCATCACGGCAATAGCATGGTCAGACTTATTCTTCCGTTATAAAATGAAAGAATAAAATCAAATTGATCAAGAATCGTCATCTCGAGAAATGCCTTACCAGCCCGTTTTGACTCCTGAAACCTGCTACAAAGGCCTCTTCGATGTCAAGTTCTCCATGGTGAACCTAGATCTCTCAAGCGTCGAGCAGAAAATCGCCCAGAAACAGGCGCCCTTTAGCTCCATCATTAAGTGTAATCTGGGCAACCCGCAGGGTGTTGGGCAGAAGCCTGTCACATACCTTCGTCAAATGGTAGCCGGATTTGCCTGCCCAGATCTTATAGGGAAGTATGTATTGCCCACAGACGTCGAGTTACGTGTCAAACACATTCTCAATTCGTGCTCCGGGAAAAGCTCTGGGTCGTACCAGGCGACAGCGGGGATTCCTGCCGTTGTTGATGACGTGGCCGCGTATATTTCTGATCGCGACGAGATTCCGTGCAATCCAGCCACTGTCTGCATGGCTAACGGAGCCACTGAGGCAATTATGACTCTTCTCCGCCCAATAATTCGCAACGAAACCGACGCCATCCTCTGCCCACGCCCCGGATTCCCCCTTTACGCCTCCACGATCGTTTACTATGGGGGAAAGGAGGTCAGCTATGACCTGGACGAATCCAATGAGTGGGCTCTTACACAGGAGGCTCTGGATGCTGCACTCCAACAATGCAAGGATGAAGGACTGACTCCCCGCTGTCTTGTCCTCATAAATCCGAACAATCCAACGGGCTCGACGCTGACAGAGAGCGATATAAAGAACGCTCTCCGTTTCGCATACAAGAACGACATGATGGTCATGTCTGACGAGGTGTACCAAACGAATATCTATGAGCCAGAGGAATTTCCTTTCCTCTCCGCCAGAAAGCTTCTCTACGCGCTTAACGCCGAGGGTGAGTGTCAAGGCCTTGAGCTGATCTCCATCCACTCGGCCTCAAAGTCCATCTTTGGTGAGTGTGGACGGCGCGGCGGCTATTGGCAAGCGGAGAACTTGAATCCAAAATTTATGGAGCAGATAATGGACATAATTTCACTGGGGTCAACTAATACGGATGGAATGATGGCTATGGATGTCATCGTTAACCCTCCGAGACCCGGAGAGCCGTCTTATTGGAAATTCAAGCGAGAATGCGACGCTCTCTATACTAGCCTTCAACGCAAGGCGAGAATGGTATCCCATGAGATGAACAGTTGGAGGGGGCTGAGTTGCTGTAAGCCTTCTGGGGCAATGTACGTTTTCCCCAGAATCCATGCACCGCCAGCCGCTATTGAAGCAGCGAGGTTGGCGGGCAAAGAGCCAGACCAATTGTACTGCCAGGATCTGCTAGATAGCGTAGGAGTCTTCACGCTTGACGGTGGCATGTTTGGCCAAAAGCCCGGAACCTACCATCTCCGTATGACTATTCTTCCTTCTGAAGAGGTAATGACCGATCTGCTCGCCAGATGGAAGGTTTTCCACGAAGGATGGATGTCCAAGTACTCTGCAGAAGAGTAAAATGCAATGTAAATAGCCTCCTCAATTTTTTATTCCACGGCTTTCCCTGCGGGATTCCCTGCAGGTCTCCCTGCGCCACTGCTCCGGGAACGGCCACGGAAATAAAATGACGGTACTTCTACCATTCTTACTATTGCTATATGGCACACTTGGCAGAGAGCCTTCCCCCTTGCGGGAGGGTGACGACCAGATGGACCCCGAGGGCGGCACGATCTTCCCTTCCGAGGACGAGTACAACGAGCTTCCCGATGGACCCGACAACGCAGATCTGACCCGCGCAGCGCTCCCTACCAACTTCACCTACCGGGGCCACCGGTGCATCCAGATCATAGACCAGGGCTCGTGCGGCTGCTGCTACGCGGCGGCGGCGGTGGAGATGGTCACTGCCCGGCGGTGCCTCCAGCTCAACGACAGCAGGCTTGTGAGCCTCGAGGACCTCGTCACGTGCGACCACACCAAGTATCTGAACATCCAGAACAACGGGTGCCGCGGCGGCAATCCCCTTGCGTCGCTGAAGTTCGGAGAGACGACGGGCATGGTGTACGACACCTGCGAGGACTACTGGAACCGGACGTATCCCTACCCCACGGAGACGTGCAAGACCGTCTGCAAGGATAAGCGCCCCAAGGACCGCACCATTAAGAACAAGGCGCCCTACAGGCTCAGCGGCGTGGACGCGATGATGCGCGACATATACCAGAACGGGCCCATTGCGGTCTCCATGTACCTGGCCAACGACTTCCCCTCCAAGGACAAGAAGGGCATCTACAGCTCCGGCCCCAATACGAAGCTGGGGGGAGGCCACGCCGTGATGATAGTCGGGTGGGGCGAGGAGAACGGCGTGCCCTACTGGGACTGTGCGAACACGTACGGCACCAATTGGGGCGACCAAGGCTACTTCAAGATCAAGCGCGGGTCCAACGAGCTCAAGATCGAGACGTGGCCCGGTTCAGCGCTGCCTATAGACACGACTCCTAAGCCAGAGCCCCGAAACGGCACAATCACTGTAGAGACGGCCAAAACGTACATTGCCGGATACGAGGTTGCAATACCGTACGAGAAGGTAGCGACCCCTGCAGAGCTCCAGCTGAAGTCAGGAGCAGGAGCGGTGACGTCGCTCGTTAAGCTGACGACCTCTAGTGGCACCGCCCGCGTCACCATACCTCGAGACACGTCTGCAGGGCAATACTACCTGACAACCAGCACTGGAGACGCAACGTCTGCGCGCTTCTCGTTGGCGTCCTACTTCACGCTGGCATTCGACAAGGCTAGCTATCAGGGACAAGAGGGAGAGAGCGTCGCACTCCGGTTCGCTGCACCGCTCCAGGTGCCCTGCAAGTTGATGGACGGCGCGTCTGTGCTGGTGGAGCTCAGTAAGGGGGCGCAATCCTGCATGGCCCCGTCGAGCATGAGCGCTGGCAAGCATGCGCTGACCCTAACCACGTCCGACACCGTTCCCGTCCTATCCGCAAGCACAGTGCTCACAATAGAGAAGAAGCACAATGATGAAGCAGTCATCACGATATCTAAGCCGGTCGCCGGCGCACAGGTGACTGCGTTGGCCGAGGGCCTGCAGATTTCGTATACCTCAACGGGGACGGGCGCAAAGCTGCTTCTCCAGGCGTATTGCGGAGAGCGACTGCTGGATGTCATCGCTGCTGGCCTGCCTCCCTCGGGAAGCATCGAGGTCCGCCTGCCGTCTTCCTATGGCAACTGCTCAGCTGCGTACCTCCGATTGCGCTCAGAGACGTCCCCCTTCGCGTACGCCGATGTGGGACCGCTGCATGTCACGTCGTACAGCTACCCTGCAGATAATCTCCCGGCCCCGTCTGATAAGAAGGATCCCGTGCCCGACCCGGAACCACAGCCCAACCCAGATCCCGAACCTGAGCCCGAACCTGAGCCTATTGGCGACGTGCCCCTGCTTATTACGGAGCCGTCTACGCAGAGTGTCTGGGTCCCCGGCGGTGCAGTTACAATCCGATGGACCAGTAACCTAACAGCCGGTACTGAGATGACGATCCTTTTGTACGAAAAGGTCGGATCGAAAAGCTACCTGCGCCACACGTTCACCCGCTCTGCCCCTAACACGGGGCTCTATGCCGACACTCTTCCGGCCTCTGTCCCCTCTGGCCCTAACTACTTCGTCCGCATGCGCTCCAACAGTCCCATGTTCACGAACACTTCGGATGACTTTGAAGTCAAGGCGAGCAGATACCTGGTCAGAGACGTTCCAGACGCCATTACTATGCGGGATCCTCTGAGCTTCACTATCCATAGACACGGGTTTGTGTTTCCCTTGCCTCGCAGAAGGTTCTCGGTCACGCTAATGCAGGCGGGAAAGGAGGTTTGTGCACTTGACGGAGTCGAGGGAGTGGCAGGACTCAACACGATCTATCTAGATAGCTGTGCTGAGAGGATGCAGGAGCTCCGAGACAAACAATACTACCTAAAACTATGCTCTCAGAAAATGGAGTGCACGGTAACGCCGACTTTCACGGTATTGGATGACACTCATTGACACACTCTGATGAACTAGATGGTAAATCTATCCTAAGCAAAGATGTTGTCGGTTACACTGGACAGACTGTCATAAGCTCCTTCCCTTCATAGCCGACCGACTTTACCGAGGCTCCGAGAAGAACAGGCCGACACCAGTTTACGCCGAGCATGCCACAAACACACCAGCCAACCAAAAGCCTCTGACATCAGCGCTCGCTTCTTCATCCAGACAAGTATCTGGCAAAGCCTAGAGCCCCGTGCCCTTGTCTCATTCTGTTGCAGGAGCGAAACTCAGGGGCGTCCCAAGTTCTCTGTACTCGACATAGCGAGAGGCCAAAACTAGGATAGAGGCCGTTTTACCACTGCAGACCGGTGTATGCGCACACAGAACCGCAGCAGAGAGGATCCTAGAGGCATCCTTAGCACCTCCGTACTAAGAGGGCCAGAGCTGGACAGAGCCCCTTTCCTATAATCCAACTGGAGTCCGGCACTAGTATTGGGGGAATAAGATCCTAGCCCCTAGAGCACAAAAGGCACAGGGTAATCCGATCCAAAGCACTCTGTTCTCGACACGCATTGCAGCCAGCGCCCTCAGCAGCATACGAACAAGAGGCGTGCACTTCCGATTATATGCACCAACACGATCCATTATACGGCGCATCCACTTCTGCCTGACGAATCCCTGTGCATGGAGGCATCCAACTAAGCCACGGAGACAGCGTGGGCCAGCTGGGCGCCGAACGCATACAGAAGAGCGGCGTATTAGTAAGGCATCTTGTCAGAGATTCGAGCCGTACAGCGCTATCATTAGGGGACCGCTGCAGAGAAAACTGTGAGGGGATGAGGAACAACTGGACTGCCATACAACCGGCTCGAAGCAAGTCACTTTGCATGACAGAACAGCTCTCCGTGTCAATATGAATATTGTCGTCGAGAATGGCTCGGAGAAGGGAAGCACATGGTCAGAGCGGATGGTATAGGAACAAAGTGTTGTTTGCCAGAACTGCGACATGGACACCCATATTACCAGATTCTGGAGGTAGATGGCATCGGTGCTTTTAGTCCTGCAAGATCCCATTGTATGCCTTATAGCGATCTCAGAACACACGCCTGAGTGGAGATATAAGACGCCACCAAGGAGTAAACAAGAGAAGCTAAAGTGCAAACCTGTCGTTGGGGTCTAGTCTTTCATGCCTACACTACCCCTGACAAGGATGCATCCATCCACTTAGCTACTCGAGATTGGAATCAGTGCACCGGAAACGTTATGGCAGAATGAGGTATTCAATCATTAGTGCTAAGTGTGGGGTTTTATCTTTATGCAGGGCTAGGTAGTATGATTAAATGGGTGTCCAGGGCTTCATAGGGGAATGAATAAGGAGCTATCAGCAAGTTCGATGCTTGGGCCATAATGTAACAGACAGAACGAGGAAGCGGGACTCTCTCCTGTGGTGCATCATGCTACTCTACTATTTCATGTGAAGAACAGCTTTGTTGCAAGGGCTCTGTATCCCCATGGCCTATCGGCTAGGGTCCGCCATCACATAATGTCGCTATCTATATCACCAGGCTTTCTATCGCTATGTAAGTCAGAGCTGCCTTCTCTGCATCATCACTGTATCAATGCACTGTACCAGCAAAATCCTACTGTCTTACATGACACGATAGGGGTAGGCACGTTGCACATAACGAGTCCATTCACGGGCAGGGGGTTTTGAGGCCTTTTATCTTTGCTTGTTCTGGCATCGTCTATCAGTATTAAAGTATCCAGCAGTTCCCGAGCCCAGCAGTTCAACCACTGCAACGGTGGGTGCGCAGTGAGTCTAACGCGATCATCATATGAAGACTGCACAACGCCAGGGATATTCTGTTGGATGCTCCTATCGGACTTGGTATCAGGAATGGCAGGAAGGGGACATGACCATCACACAGGCCGCGTGGTACCAGTAGTGTTAGCACAACGGCAGATCTGGATAGGGCTGAAGGTAGACAAAGCCTACAAGCAAGTGACTCGTCTTCTTTGCCGCTACAACAGGCGCAATAGCTTGTGGGTCCAGACTCTAGCCATCCGGGCCACAACTGTTACATATCGAAGGAGTGGACCGCATCGGATGCAGGCACGTGCAATGAGGAATGTGAGAAGGCCACCTGGTCCAAACAGTGTCCCTGCTACTACTGTCCTCATCATTGCGTGGTGCACTCCATACCTAGAGTTCTGGGCTCAGACTGAACCATGAGCCAACCCTCGAGAGATCCCATCTCCAGAAGGATGTGTCCTTCGCTGTCTATGGCAGCGAGATCAAAGAGCTACGGTCCAAGTGCAGTCAGACTGGTTCGGTGTGGGATGCAAGCGCCCATCGTTCCCTCTCTAGCCGTCCAGTACCATGTGTTCTGTATCAGACAGGCAGGATCTGACGTTGCACAACACAAGAGCCCTTCCAGGATGTGCAGAGGGCTGTGTGATCTGTGATGGTGGCGCGTCTCTGTCTCTGAAGATG